AATCTAAGTTATTATTTAATATAGAGGATATCTTAGTATTATAAGAGAGTATCTAATTAGTTCTCTAGTCGAAATATAGGTTAAAGTATTATAATTATAGGTACCTAAGTATAAGATTATAGCTCTAATTTAATATAATATTAAATAAGATTCCTTAGTTCTTTCTTTTAATAAAAACCTTAAGGTAATTAATCTTATAGTTAATAACTTTATTATTATAATTAAAAGGTATTCCTTCGAGGTTATATATTATATAGGGCTTATATTTATGCCTTTATAGTATCTTAAGATTATTTATTATCGCTAAGTTAAAGTAATTCTACTTAGCTCTATTATTTACTAAAGTATTTAATTATTATCCCTTAACTTATATTTTTAATTCTAGGTATTATTACTTATATCCTTTATCTATAAAATAAAGGGCCTTTTAGGGTAATTTATTCCCTTATTTATCTATTTATTACCTTATATTAAATAAGATCTTTAGTTTTTTAATTTATTAAGGGTATAGCTAAGATAATTATATTTATACTTATTATTAATATATACCTTATAGTTATAATTATCTTATTTATATAGCTATTTCTAATAGGCTTATTTTATAATCTATTTATTATTAGGGTAATTATTATAGTTTCTTCTCTCTATAGGGTAGACCTTATTAAGGTCGCTATTCTTAATATAGTTAGCATAGTCTTATAGGATCTTATTAATAGGTCCTTAGTTATTTCTAAGGTATAATTAGATATTTTAATATTATTCCTTATCTCTTTATTTTCCTATATATATAAGGAAATTAAATCTTTTTTTCGCTATTTATTTAAATCTATTATATATAGCTAAGATATATCTCTTATATCTCGGGTATATATCTTTATTATAGAGTATTACTTTTATATTAGGGTAGCTTTTTTTAGGAGCTTATTTTCTTTTTATTATAGTCTTTTATATAATAATAATAAATTATTATTTAAGGGTAATAAATCTATTTACCTTTAGGGTAAAGCGGATATTAGCTATATTAATCCCTTTATTTTACTTATTAGTCTTATATTAATAGGTTTTATAAGTAAGGTAGGGTTTATTATTAGGTCCCTATAATTATATAGGGAAATAATTATTTTCTTATTTACTTTAGATATATATACTATAATAATAGTCTTTATAGGAGATCTATGAGATTTCCTTATATTAGGGGTATATTAATTAGGTATACTTATTATCCTATATATTATATTATAGTTTTTATTATGAGTTTATAGTAGTTTCTTCGTGGTATACTGGGATAGGGATATCCTCTATGTCCGAGGCGTCTTTTTTTATTTATATTACCGTGGAGGGTCCTAAGTCCTCCTAGGTTATTCTAAGGATTTATTTTTACTATTTTTCGACCTTATATTTAGTCTCCTTGCGTCTTTATATAGCGTAGTATAATTCCTCGCTATACTATGCGGTAGCAATATAGATCGATTTATGCTAATAGCGGACTAGGTATCTTTCCGTTTTATACTATAGGTATAGTTTATTGTTTAGCTAGTATAATAAAGGAATAGGGAAATAATTATTCTTCTATTTTTCTTCTTTATGCTCCTCGCACTAGTAATATTAGTATAATATCTATAAAATGCTAGGGTATTTCTTATATATGGGGTATATATATATATCGTCTTATATGCTAAAGGGGGGTTTAATATATCTAGGGTCTTAAGCTATTACCCTATAGTATATATAGATATAGATATCTTATGTTTTTTTAGTATTTATATATTCTTATGCTATTTAAATATATTATTTCTTCGGCGAGTTTTAATATTAGTTACCTTCTTTATCGTAGAGTCATAGGTAATCTTCTTTCTATAGCTTATTATCCCTTTCTTTTTAGCATTTATTATAGATCTAAGCTATAGTGAGCTACTATTAGGCTTTAGCTCTAGCGCTATAGTTAGGGTTATTATAGTATCAGTTAGGGTATTATATTACTGTAATTATTTTAGTATTTAGGTCCTTATTAGGCTTATTAGTTAGTTCTAGTAGTAGTTTCTATCTTAACCCGTCTATAAGATAGAGCTATCTTATTTTTAGGGGTTTTATTATAATATATTATAGTTTTAGCTAAGGATAATTATTATACTTAAATTATTCTTTAGTAAGGTATACTTAGTTATAAGGTATAATAATTTCTCTTAGTTTTAAACTAATATTATTATACTTAGTCTAGGCTATACCTAGTATCTTAGTTATCTAAAGAGCTATCTATAGTTTATTATTAGCTTATATAAATCTTACTTATTTCTTACCTTTAGGGAGTTATTATTACTATAGCTAATAATAGCCTTCCTTAATATTATATTACCTTTTATAATAGATTTTTTTAATATAGTTTATCTTATAATAGTATTAATATTTAAGTCTATAATAGTTATATTTCTTTTATTAGGTTATTTTAAGTTTTATAGGTCTTATATAGGTTTTATAGGATATATCGGTTTATTAGGGTCGCCCTTAATTAGTATTAAATTAAGGTCTCTAATAATTTTCCTTATTATTGCGGGGGTTTTAGAGTTTTTTTTAGGAGAATTATTAATTATTAATCTTAATTACTTAGCTAATATAATCGATAAGGTTATTAGGTTAGTCTTCCTTATAGAGTTTAGCTTATATATCTTTCTTAAGTCTATTAAAAAAGAGTAATATAAGTAATTATTAATCCTATCTTAGCTTTAAGGCGAGTTAGAGATACTTTATATTATATTCCGAGGTAGATTAAGTTTAATTAAGTGCTTTAATTTCTCGTTTTATTTATGCCTTTTTATTAATAGTTCTAAAGGCTTACTATAGGGTGGCTTTAAACTTAATATAGTCGGCATAGAGTTCACGGGTATAAAAAGAGAGTTAGGCGAAAGGAGTATTAAAGTATTCCTTTATATTAGGTTTAAACTATATAGTAGTATACTTAGTAAGTCGTCTTATAGTATATTAGATACAGCTAAACTCTTATTTAAATTAAGTTAAGTAATATATTATAAAAGCGCATAATTATATAAGAAAGGTAAGTAATTTATATATAGTATTATTAAACTTCTCTAGCGGTTTTAGCTTTAGGATTTCTTTAATATCCTTATCCTTTATAGCTATAATAGCTATATTATTAATAAGCTAAATATTATCTTAGTATTATTAATTCTAGATTTCTTAACTAATAGCTATATAATTAATAAGTCCCCTAAGCTTATCTATTTTAGTAGTTATTGCCGTGACCTAAGCTTAGAGCTATTTAATTTTTTTATTATTATTATTTATTTCTTTATTATTATTAAGATTAGCCTAAATTAATATAATAAGAGTAAGTAAATAATTAATAGGTAAAACCTATTAGTAGTTATTACTAAGAGTAGCCTAAGTAGCTATTATATTTAATATTATCTAAGGTAATATAAGTAATCCTCTAAATAAGAGCTATTAATATATAATAATTATAAGATTCCTAAGAAATAACTTAGTCATATTAGGTCTATATTAATAGAGGAGAATATTATATAACCTTAAAAAGTAATATAAGTTATATCTAGTAATATACTTAAGGTATTAAGTATAACTAAGTTATATTAATAGCTAAGATAATTACTATATAAGAAAATATAATAAGCATATTTTATATACTTATGGTTAATCTTTTGATTAATATTCTCTAGGTTTAGTCTAGGGTAGGATTAATATTTCTAATATTTGGTCCCTAGACCGATGTGGGTAATGCTTAGTCCCTTCGGTCCCTTGCTTAATTAGAGTATTTCTGCTATATTTCCCCGCCTGGCTTATATCATAGCCGTGATAACTCGGGGCGGAAATGACTCATAATATCAAACCAGTGCGGACCTTAAATCACCGGTATCGCGACAGAAGAATTAAATATTATCGAAAACCCCTATTATGTTCAAAGATAATATATGCGCCAACTAGACAAGTTTAGCAATTCGCCGAGATATTACATTTAAGCTCTAATTAATATTTTCCTTCTCGTACTCCTCATAGGTTAACTCACCTTAGCAGCCACTACCTAAACCTTTCTATCTTTATAACTAAAACCTTCTTCCTTCCCGATAATTAAGTCACTCCTATAACTCAACGACTTAAAAACCTTAATCCCCCCTAAGCCCCGGCAACATATCCTCCATAGCCTATCCTCTATAGCTAACTTCCCCGCTTTACCTATGGTCTTCCTCTCGCCGGGCCTCTCTTAGCTATTAGATCACGTCTAGTAAGCTATCGATCTAGGCTATATTTCTCTTTATGACCTCGATAAATAGGTATTTATTAGGCTCTTTATCCCTAAGACTTTTAAGTAATAATAGCTCTTAGTATTATATAAAGCGCCTAAGGTTTTATAATACCCCTAGGTATTCTAAGGTTATAAGGAATATCTCTTTGCCTAGGATTATAAGCTTAAGATAAATATCTAGCTTAATAATTTAATCTATAATAGCTCTTATTATATTAATATCCTAAAATAATAATAATTATATATTATAAAAGAGATTATATATCTTATAGAGAGGGCTAGAAGGTAAAAGATATTAATTCTTATACTAAGTAGTAGTAATATAATTATATAACCTAATAACTTTAATTACTTAATTAATTATAGTTCTTAATATTAGGTTTAAAGCTATAGTATTAAGAGATTATAGCTTAAAAAGATAAAAAAATAAATAATTCTTTTATTTCTTATATAGAGGTTAAAATAATTAAAATACCTATAAGAGGTTAGACTTTTATAATAATATAGCTAGGTATAACTCTTTTATTACTATAAAAATTTAATTAAGTTATTATATTAATATTAGGTTATAATATTATATTATATTTAAGATTTATTCTTTATTATAATTATAGCCTAGCCCTTAATAGGTTAACTAAGCCTAAAGATCGTCGAAAACCCCGCTAGGTATTTTTTTATTCTTAACACAATAGAAAGGTCCCGTTTCGAGCTATTTTTTCGGCTCATGATAAAGTCAGGATACAGCCAAGAGCAACTTGATCAATTTTTTGACCATGTTGACTTACCCCAGCATTTACGAGGTCAACCACCTTCCTTGACTCTGCTAGAGGCTCTTCACATTCATACTCTATCTACACTCCCGTATGAGAACTTGTCCATCCACTATAGCCCCTCCCACCGGGTAGATCTGAACCCTCAACACTTGTTTCAGAAGATAATTATCCAGGGCCGAGGAAGGGGAGGTTTCTGCATGGAAATTGCCATCTTGTATAACCACATTCTGCGTGCAATCGGATTCGATGCTTATACTGCGGGAGTTCGAACTCGCGGGCGACTCCAAGGAGTTCCACAAGGGGATTACCCTGGATGGTAAGATGCATGCGCACGATGCATTGCCCCCATAGACTGACAAGACCTTAGGAATCACATCGTCAACATCGTCACATTCCCCGACGGCAAGAAGTACCACACAGACGTCGCATTTGGTGGCGATGGTGCCACGGCTCCAATGCCTCTTGTCAGTGGGCTTGTTCATCGAAATATGGGAACGCAACAGATCCGTCTGGTACGAGACTGGATACCCCTTTAGGTGCACAGGTCTGAGGAATCGAAGGTGTGGATCTACCAGTATCGCAATCAGGAAGATGCGGAATGGAACTCCTTTTATTCATTCCCAGGGATCGAGTTCATGGATCTTGACTGGGGCGTGGTCAACTGGTGGATCAACACTCACCCTACGAGTCACCAACGTGTTAACGTATTGGTGATCAAGTTCTTGAGAAGACCCAAGGAAGCCAAGGAGGATGAAAGCGACGGACTTCAAGAAATCTACGGGAAGCGAATGTTGGTAAACGGTGTTGTTAAGGAAAATCTGGGAGGAAAGACACGGGTGGTTGAGGAGCTCAAGAGCGAGGACGAACGGCTTGAAGCTTTGGAAAGATACTTTGGGATTACCTTGTCCGGAGAGGAGAAGGAAGGTATCCGGGGCTACGTCTCGGACTTGCAGTAGACACACAGAGTTTGCCTTGTCTTTGGTATAGAACGAAATTAGAATCTGGAGCCTGTCTGAGATCAAGCCTCTTTCCAACCAGAGACATGTTGTCAGGCATCTGGCAAGGCCCTCGTTCTGCATTGCAATGGTAACTAAAGAAGCTGATGCAGATAATCGTTGGGCTAGATCCGGGCCGGCAACGGAGCCCCTGGAAGACAATCGTTGGGTACTGATTAGCATTTTCAGCCGGGAGGAGGTCAAAATTTCCGTGTTGTAAGTCGGGCGTCCGACGGGGTGGGGATGAGGATTTCGGCCGAGCTCCACTTATCAGAAGTCCCACAATGGCAAGCGATATTATTGGTGAGACAGCATTCTGGAAAGAAGTGGGGGGAAGTCACTTTTGTCCCCTGTTTTCTGTCGGAGAAGCGCCGTCGGAGGCATCTCCGTCGGTGGGGCCCCGTCGGGTGGGGCCGAGTGGAGTATTCCGGCACGGTTCACGGCCGAGTTGGCACACCGGAATAGGAAGGACATTGGAGACGGTAGGACTCCCAAAACATGCTATCATAAGCCATTTTATCGCATGGACTCATTAGAGATGGTTTCCAATGGAAGCTTGATTGGCGTTGCAACACAAGCGACCCCTAAACAGGCTGAGTTTACGCCATCAACGGGTGGCTTTTCCCACACATCCAGCTCCCTTGAAGCCCTGCATTGGGCATCTTAGAGGTCGTCGATATAGATGGGCACCCAAAAGCAGAATGAAGCGCTTCAAGTAGCCATGATATGTAATTTCCTTTATGGCTGGTGGTATTCCCATCCGGCGAAGCCACTACTCAATGTGTCCAATACCTCCTGCGGTAGATCAAATCCCCCAACCAAATTTAGGGTCAAGACATCTTGTAGCCCTGCATCAGAATGTACATGGTCATTCCCAGAACGTACAACCGAGCTCAGCACCGAGCTAGACAGGCCTTCAAAGACATCTCGATATACTTTCCCCGGAGGATACCTTTCTACCATCCCCCATAGAATCGAGATGCATGTGTTAACACTTGCAGCCATGTCTGTGTGGTCCATGTTGAGAGAGACATGAACGATTTGGTGGTGGATGCAAAAGACCATTGCGACACCAGCCTTGAACAAATTATGAGCAGCCCGCCAGTAAAAGCGTAGTCGACCATCGCGGAAGGCTTGCTTGATGCCCTCGATGCTCTCTGCTGCACTTATTGCAAGTATTAGAGCATCGTGGTGCGATAGGTCGGTTGGGGATGTTGAAGGATAGTAAAGGTCTATCAGACTTTTGTGTAGGAGAGCGTCGTACAGGTCCAGAGGAGCCAGTTGAGATGAGCCCACGAGCGAGGACGGCGCCGAGGCTCGCCAAGCCATCAATCGCTGCCGCATGTTTTCACGCCATGTAGGTAAATCTAGGACCGCTCCATTTACTGGCGGGCTCTGACGAAGGGTCACGTAGATTTCCGACTCGAGTCTACGGCTTTCAATCAGCCGCAAGGCAAGAAATCGAGGGTCATCGACACTTTGAAGTATCGGTAAACACGCTGTGATGGCCTCGTCGGGGATGGAGAATGGTCGGTCGATGATGACACAAACAGTTCTCTCGAATATGTAGGTTGTCCAGAACAACCACCTACGTTTGTTCTCCTCTGTGTCAACCTCTGTTGTGACTGGCCGTTCATGATGTAAGCCTAGGTCGATGGCTAGCCGAGTCGCGAGACCCAGAAAGTGCCAGACTGCCGTGAGATCTGATGCGAAACAGCTGTACTGAATTATCAGCAGCAAGTTACACAGATGACTAGAGTCACCAGCGCAAAGCAAATCCGGATACTGGGCGAAGACATGAACGGCCGTTGCAAAATAACCCTCAGCTCTGGAAATTGGGAATGACGAGTCAGTCCTGTTTAGGAGCAAGACGGCCGTGGCAAAAACTGCAAAGACGCGGAACTTGTGTAACGCTATCAAAGAGTCTGACTCGGCCTCCGAAGCAGGTCTGTCGGTGTACAATTGTTCCAAGGAAGCCAGCAAATCCTCTCTCGACGAAATGACAGGGGAGAAGAACTCGGTGTGTTCAAAGTACGTGGCCACCAGTCGCTGGGCAGCCTCTCTACTGGGCAAGCTAGCTCGGGTCTCAAACGGCAGCTCTCGGAGAAAGGGCCGATGGTCTGTTGGCTGACCTAGGTCGCTCACGGGCGCACGCAATAAAGAGTGGAGAAGAGACTGGCTAATCATGCCCCTAGGCAACTGTGCCGGGTGCCCGTTGAGGAGGGACTGAGCATTAGAAACGTGGCTGGGACCACTCTCATGCAATTCGGGGTGCGTCGGAGGTTCACCGGACTCGTTCGGGGGTCCCGGTGCGAGGCTTTCGGGAGAAAGCTCCGAGACAGAAATCCCATGGGAGGCGAGTTGAGATTCAAGATAAGCAACCCGATCTTCAAGGTTTCTGATATAGCTGTGGAACAGCGTCAAAGAGAGCACATGGCTAAAGGGGCTAAGGGGTCGAACCTTCGGGGGGCGGATCGGCCGTCGGCGTCGGTATTGACACAGGGAACGCTGGCCCGATCACAGTTCAAGCATCCAGCGGGAGTTGGATCACAGCGTTGTTTTCTAGAACGACACCGAGAGCAGGCTGTCATGTCGTGGAATTGAGTAGTGCGTGACCTTTGGTGGTGGGATGGCGGAGGAATGAGAAAAAGTTAGACTGATTGCAGTTTATGTGCCTGATAGGCTAAGCCCAAGCTTGAGGTTTACTAATAATATAAGCCCACGCTACTCTCTCAAAGGGTAAAGGATTTTAAGTAAAATAAAAGAATTTAAAAGAAGTATTAAATTAATTTTAATAATACTATTATTAAATATTTCTTTTAATAAAGATTAATTAGTTATTCTCTTTTAGATATTTTATAGGCTCTTCCTAAGTATAATACTTCCAAGCCTCTTTAGGACTTAGATTACTCACACCTTTATTAGTCTTAGAGATATCACGTCACCCATCACAATCTTCTCTCAAACACCACACCGTCTCGAGCAGATCACGAGGCTTATCCACCCTAAGCAAGATGGCCACACCGACGAAGCTGATCCAGTCGTTGAGCGGCAGGTTAGTAGAATGCCACCTCCTGTTACTGGCGATCATCGGAATATCTAACCTGTGTAAAGAGCTCTGGGATCTGCTGCGGCAAATGTCCCAGCCGCCTTGGGTCCCATTGTCCCTGATTTACAAGCCCAACGGCCCAGCAGGAACATAACGCTCGCTGGGAGATATGGTTCCATCGTCCCTATTAGCCCTGCCCACGCCAACGATCTATGGGAATCCCTACAGGTCCCTGAGTCGGCGAGCCTCTTCGACTACCTCTTCGACGAGCCGTACCCCTCTTTAGATGCGCTCAACAGCGCCCTCACCCAGAAGGCGGCGGCATCTGATACATGGACCTACGCCATTCTTCGGAAATCGCCCTCTGGTCCACCAAAAGCCGTCGGGATGGCCTCGCTCATGAGAATGGATCTCCCAAATCGAGTTATTGAGGTTGGGAGCATCCTGTATACCCCCACCCTTCAACGCACCCCATGCGCCACCGAGGCGATGTATCTGCTGGCCTCATATGTGTTTGAGACACTGGGATTCCGGAGGTACGAGTGGAAGTGCAATGACTTGAATGCTCCATCGCGCCGGGCGGCCGTCCGACTGGGATTCACGTACGAGGGGACATTCAGGCAGCATATGATTGCCAAGGGCCGCAATCGCGATACGGCGTGGTACTCTATGCTAGATGGGGAGTGGCCAACGATAAGAAGGGGATTCCAGGAGTGGCTAGACCCTTCCAATTTTGATACGGAGGACAAGCAAAAGAGAAAGCTTGAGGACTTTATGGCCGAAGTGTCAACGAAATCCGATGCCTAGAGGTTCTAAGTAGCGACCGAGAGAGTAGTCGAACCAAGTCTCGTCATAGAGTTGAACTGTTACTGACCTATCTCTGCTGAATGACTGTTCAACTCTGGCTCTCCGTACTATGTTAAGGCTTCGTTTTGAACTTCAGTCATGCATCATGTGCTGAATGGCTTCGGTTGAAGGCTTTTCGCTTGAGGCGAGCCGCTTAAGAGTTTACCCACTGATCCATCGCTTATAATTTTTCCAAGGGCTAAGAACTTACCTACCTTTTTCGATCCCTGCCTCTGACCTGAATCGACTATAGGCAATTGTGATACACTTGTCGTAAATGGATGCTTAGTCCATCTCTTCGGACAGCTCTCAACTCTTGATGACAAAATCTGGGGAGTAATGAAGCCTGGTAAGGCTTGTTGCTTGGCCGACAAGAGCTTTTCAGTTGCGGCCAAGGTCGCATGAGCGTGAATCCCCATGTGATATCCCGCTGCCATGCCATTCCCCCACCTGACCCCAGTTACTTGGTTGCGCACTACCAAGAGAGGGTTGGTTCTAACGGAAGTTCCCTGCCGGTCCACCGGGCCGGGGTATTGTTCCTTCAAACGCCTTCGGACCCAACTGATCATCTCCTGGAGTGCTACATGGACGGCTTGGCGAATTAGAACATACGGATGTAGATTAGTGGTTCAATGAACGGTGACCTGAAGGAGAGATGTCCGCTTAGTCACGCCGCAAACAAGCCTGGAGCCGGAGCCGAGTCCGGTTTTTGACTGCCTTTTCAATGCCTGGGAGCGCTTTGCCGAGACAAGCCGTCTTCGGGTGTCACGGGAAGTTGATGATATAGTGTGCGGGGGAAATGTCCTCTGAAAGGACCAAGGAAAAGGGGTCGCCCTGAGTGTTTCACGGGGGTTAACAAATGAACGAGACATTAGAACATGACAAAGGGGAAACCAACACAGTTAAAGCATGATAGAATCATAAATATTCATAAAGTATGATGAAGATCGGGAAAAATAACCATGATCCAGGTGATAGTTTAGAGCTCTCCTATCTGCTCTTACTAACTAGACTTTATTAGCTATCGTTAGGGAGCGGCAAGACAACAATGGTTGCTTGTACTCGTAAGTACCCACCAGAACACATCTAACCAGAGCCGGCTCCTACACCTTCTCCCACCTGAAGCAGCTCATCATTGCTGCCCTTCCGTCAAATTTCTCCTGATTGACGGCCACGCCAACGCGGATTGACTGATCATCAAGACACTCTTCCTGGACTGGTTCCTCAAATTCTCGACGAGTGTCAGTAGGCGTGTTGACTTTCCAACCACGGACGACGAGAAAACAAGCCACTGCGGCTAGGAACATAAAACCGGTGAATAATTGTGTACCCAGATAAGACTCTGTCCCAGATACAATCGGTAAGGCTATTGGTTCACTGAACAAGGAAGGTAGGGCAATAGACAGCCAGACCAAATTCAGCGCTGTCGGGACCTGTTGAATCCCCGCGACTTCTGCTGTAACAGCGCCAATGGTTGCCCAAAAGGTCCCGGCAACAGGTCCGCAAGCAATAGAGAATAGAACAAGAACAGGGTACGTTTTGGCAGGAATCCAGACGGCAAGCGAGAGTAAAGACGCAAAGAGGGTCATCAGAATTGACATGTTGAGGCGCCCGGTCTGATCACTGAAATAGCCAATGACGGGGCGCCCGAGCCCCTGTCCAAGGTTAAAGAGGGCACTGATAAGAGCAGCCTTCGAGGGGTCGAGCCCGATCCAGGTTGCGTAGTTGGACAGGCTGAAAATCAGGATCACGTACGCAAGCATGCTGAACCAGCTGAAGCCAAGCAATAAGAGAAACTCAGGTCGGCGGAGTAGTCGAGTATCGAAGGCCAACTGAGTCGATCCAATCGCGCTACTGCGGTCTTTCACAAGACAGGCGCAGAGAGTGTTGACAACAAAGGCCACGATGCCCAAGACACGAAGTGTCCACGGGACCCCGAATTTTTGGATCATGGCACCCGAAGCAATCGAATAGATCAAGCCACCAAGTCCAGAGCCGCTGGCGGATATGCTTGTGGCAAGGGAGCGGTGCGTGCTGAACCATTGGGGAACAATTGCGGCAGCCGGACTAAATAGCAGTCCCATTCCAAGGCCGAATAGAATGCCTTGGGTAAAGAATAGGTGGAGGGCCTTTGTAGCAAGGCTGGCCAGTATCAAGCCTGCCGTGTGTATTACCACGCCACACAGCATGGTTGGTCTCGCCCCGATCTCTCTCGTTAGAGCTGTTGCGATAGGTGAAACCATCAGAGCACAGCTGATACTGAGAGACCCAATGAAGGCATATTCTAGAGGTGTGGCGCCGGCGAAGTACTCGACCGACAGGTAATGGGCGAGGAACACCCCATAGCTCGAGTTGAGGCCCCACGTGTGGGCATTGATCATGGCAGAGGCGGCTGTGCAGACCCATCCGTAGCCACCGTTCGGAAATGTTGGGACTGTACCGGCCCGGAACTCATCGGCAGGGGAAGCCCTGCTGCCTCGGCGTCTAAGTTGCATTCCGTGTTGGCTGTTGCAGTCTGTGTCTAACATTGAACTCCGCTGTAGAGCTGGGGAGATTTGAAGCTATGTTGAGGTGGCCTGTGAATGGATGTGGTTGGTTGTTCACCTGAACGAGTCGATGATAAAGGGCGATGGGCATCGTGGAGCCCCTGATATTTTGTGCTGAACATGGAATTGCAAGCTGAAGTACCCCAGACTCCTTATCAACCTGATCAATGAGTATGTGAACGTCGCAACCGGCCCGGCCTCATGACCGAGAGTGTAACCCGAGCTTCTCTTTTTGGACTTCCCAGCTTGGGGAGCACGAAAGCCTCGGAATGTCACTTATTCAGTAAGGTGTCTCCATAACCCCCGGAAGGCCGACGGATGCCAATGACGGATGATTTGGAATCAGCTTGGCGCAGTGGGGTTTGAGACCGATTTTCCCACCCCCTGACTCTGCCACCAACGCCGAGCCAGATCCATCGGCAAGCCTACTACGCTAGCTTTCCGAGGGCTCATACCGCCTCGATATCGCCTTGGAAAGGCTTATTTAAGTGGGGTGCTATTGTGACGGTTGAGAGCGAGCGTGATCGTCACGGGATGGATGATCTTTTGTGATTCTCCGCATCGTACCCCCTATCGTGGCATGTGCAATTGGCCACTGAGCTCAACCCTGCTCTGGATCCCAGACTGGAACCCGCTCGGTTACCTTCTCCCACTCGCGACCACCAGTGAATTGTATCACACTTTGGCTAAACTCAATGACTTCCTTTTGCGACCGGAGTTCTTCAATCAGTCACAACTCTTCACATAATTTGACAGCTGTATTCCGGCGTGTACCTCAAACCGACCATGATTTTACATAGAAGGAACGAAAAGAGGCTAATTTACAGTTATACGCTATGAAGGGAGACTCGGCTTCTGCTGTGTGCTGAAGTTTGTCACTTTGTTCGCTCTTATGGTAATCAATCACAGGAAATGCAACTAGCTCAATAGCCATAGAAACATCAATCTATAGACAGAGATAAGAAACTGAACTAGACTCTTGCATTCGTCACTGATCTAACCCTCCACAACAATATGTCATGAGCCGAAATGGCTCCCACTTACTGACTTCTGCTACCGATCAAAGCTTGGAGGAGGTACTAGAGCCCAAGCAGCACGATTGAAGTGGCTCCTTCTCTGCCTTGTAGTCATGTCTCGAAACAGTGTCCACGCAGATGGCTGAAGGAGGAACCCAAAGAGCAGGGTTCTTCTCAAAGAAGTTGGAAGCCCGCATCATAACAGAAACCGGTTCAACTGGCATGACTGGGAAATCCTCGGCGCGAGGGAAATGTGTCAGACCGAATTGGATGTAGCAGACAATATCGGTATTTTCAATTGTCTCGTTGCGGTTAACCCAGTCATCAATCGTTTGATTGAACGGATGACCCGTTTCCCCAGTTGATCGACAGACATAGTCTCCGGCAGGAAAGACCTCGTAATCTCTGTACGGCACGACCCATAGACTCTTGTGGGCGAATGCAGCTCGCTTGTGCACAATGCTTCCTTGCTGCGCTAGAAGAGGCGGGCAGCTGGTGTTGATAATCTTATATGCTGGAGGCTTGCCTCTGCGCCTACTACCGGGGTTGATGATATCCCAGGTCCGGCCAGTTTGGTGCGAGTAGTTGGCACCACCCTCTGTCGAAGTCTGTAGAGTTTTCTTCTTGCAGAAAAAGCCATTACCATAGAGATTTCCTGCGGAACCAAGAGGTTTGTCACTCAAGACAGCATCGTTCTGCACCACTGAATTGTTTGGTCCATCGATTTCTGGGTTAACGCGAAGGGAGAAGATGTGTTGGTGGTTGTGAGCGTTGATGAATGGAGCAACCTCTGTACCATACGGCGCTGCGGTTTCCGATGGGTGAAGGCAATAGGTGTTGAGAATACCCGTCAGCTTGACATCGAGTTTGTAGGTACCATCAAGGGAAAATGTATGATAGAAGCCGTAATCATAGTTTCCCGCCGTGATGAAGTGGGAGATGATGAGCTTTCGGTCTCGTGCCGAAATAACACTTCCATCACGATAATCAGTATGCTTGTAGAGAAGCCCGTTGTCTTCTTCGTGGATGCAAATCGCGTTTCTCACTATGGCCGAGTCGCCAGAGGAAACAGCCATGATAGCATCGAGATAATGGATCACCCTTGCAGTCGCAGCCGAGTTGAAGAGAGTTGGTCATAAGACCCATTCCGTATTCGCCGACATCGAAAGGATGTTTCTGGTGATGTGGAGGATCGGGGTTGCCATACGGGACAACCATTTCGACCACACTAATACGGTTGAACAGGCTTCGTTGGCGGTTCTCGTAGGGGTCGTGGACAGAAACGTCGGAGAGCACAATTCCCTCACGATAGTTGAAGCCGATATGCATCTTGAGGCCAGCCCAGGCGATTTCGTTTCCACGCATGTGGAATGAGACTCCTTGAGGCTGGGTGATATCGACGGGCTTGAGTCTAGCATGCTGATAGCCATCTGCGATAAACTCGGGAAGGAAGTTGTGTTCCTTCAACTCAGGCTTTGTGCGTTCACCGTTGTTCACTCGACGAATATCAACCGCGAGAACCTTCTCAGACTCAAGATCGATCACGACTGAAAAGTCGAGGGGATGGGCGAACTGGTTGTCCATGGCCGACTTGCGGTAGAAGACCAGGCCGCGCTGGATGCGCCGATCCTTTCCCCAGCGCTCATCAACGTCGATGGCCCAGGCTTCGATAAAAATATTGTCCATGTCGGTAATGCCGATCTCGCGACAGGCTTCAACCACGAGAGGATTCTGACGGGCAATTCGCTCACAGACATCCATATCCTCAACATTCATGATAGGGCCTGCTCCGGGACGAAGCTGATGAGATTCGACATGGCCGTTGGTAAGGTCGACAATGAGCTCGGCAACTTTGCTAGTCACCTTCTCAATGATGATGGCAAAGGCCTTGCGACAAGGTCGGGGACCATTTCCTGAACGGAACGCGGCGTACTCGGTCTTCTTTGGTTCCCGGAGAGTAATGCAGTTGAACTTGAAATCGGTGAAGCTGCAGTTTTCACGGATGAGGCGTGCTGCGAGACGAATCTCTTCAACAGATAGCTGATCTAAGCATTTAATATGTCAGCCGCCCTGATTCAATGGTCCACTGGCATCGAAGGGCACCTACCAAGGGGATGGGGTTGGCCGAAATCTTGAGAAGGACAGGGTGCAGGATCCCTGGCTTCTTCCCGCAAGATGATATAGCCAGGAACGGAAGAGATATCCTCAATCATGGTAAGAACTGGTGAAGTGTAGAGGATATGCTCGACAGCTTGAGTGGCAAAAGAGATGAAATGACAGGCAGGTGGCAGCTCTCAGAGGGTAAACTGAAGGTGGTGGCAGGCTCTGGTGTCTGTTTCAATGGTAGGGGATATGAACCTCTCTTTATAGCCGTCACAAGTATTAACAAAACCATCTCCTCGTACTCAATACCATTTTCAGCCCGGTTACAGTTATTCATGATTCTTGGTGCAAGTCAACTTACTCTTTCAGATGTTCTTGGCGAGCTAACCGTTCTGGGGTAAAGAATTACACATTTCTGATCTCCTGCACGCAACACGCCGTCCGGAGGCCCAGAATCTGTCCACTGGGCGAAGATTACGAGAAGGCTGCAGTGAGAGAGGAAAATGATTCCTCATCGCCATGCATGGGGCTTGTGGGCTGGGTGGAAGTTGATCGGAGTTGATCTTATTCCCACCCCAGGTGATGAGACTCAGGCAGGGGATGGCGGTACGGGATGCAGTAAGGGCCATAACCAGAAAACAAGAACATAGAATTCATGCGAAAGCGTGTTTCCATAGACTTCTCATCTTCTATAACAGCCCATGCGTCTTGGGCTGCTGTGCTAAGGTCCTTGATGTGATATTTGGGCTAGAAGACCCGCAAGGACTTCAAATGTTGGACTTGGTTTTTAGCACTTTAAGAAGGGATTCAAATCTTGTAGCTCATCACGCTTAAATCGTTTGCCTCATTTCAAGGCGTGGCTTAACCACGTTGTTCACATAATGGTGTAGTAGTTTGTCGCCCAGCCACTCTCAGACTGGGAGTGAACAACTACCCTGAATTCCATGTCACCTTCCCCCTGGTCCTCATCTTCACTGCTCACCTCGAGTTCGGCCTCTAAGATATCGTTCTGGCCTGTTTGAAATGGCTCCTCCTGCTCCTTGACTCGCGCCGCGATAACGTTCCAGTGCTCAGCACGAGTCCTCCGCTGAAGAATTTCACCATCCAGAAACATCATGAGCTTTCTGGCATGTCGAACATTCCAGATACCCTCGCGTTGGCCGTTCTTATTATAACCCTGTAGCCAGTTGACGATCCACCGGCGAAGTTGGGGATCAGTAGTCCACCAATATGCACCCACAACAGCTGGCATCATTCCATGACCAAAAGCCTCCGTGATGGCACAACTATTGGGAGAGAGACCGGCAGCGATTCGACAGATGTACAGTGCCATAGAGTCTGCATTGGAAGGGGGTATCTTGGTGCCATTCTCTAGGTATCGGGTACGAGCTCGCATACGTGTGCAGATAAAGTGGGCGTAATTCACGGCGGCGGCGGTAGAATCGATAGCAGTAGGAAATGTCAACGGATGAACCTGAAGCGGATCGGGATCTCCGGCTTGTGCAGGGAACGAGACTGGGTTGTCAATGCCTGTGTCGACAGGCATTTCCAGCGGTGAGAGGCACCGTTGCCACTCAGTCAGCCTGGCATCTAGTGTCTCCAGCTTGCCCGTCCACTTGGCAAACATTGATGGTGTGCAACGAAACTTCAGTTCAAGTTGACCAACTTCTCTAATGAAGCCCAGAAGTCGATCACGAGCTGACATTGAACCCTGGATCATCGTTGAAAGCTCATGTGCGACACCAGGATTCATATCTTTTATCCCCGTCACAGCTAACTCCTCATTCTGCAACTCGACGAGCAGGGCCATTCTGGCAAAGACTTGGGCGAGGATCCGGCCTCGAGGGACTTCTCTGATCCGTTTGTGCCAAGCGCTAAAAACCCGGCTTGTGGCGCGCAAATGTGCCCTCCATAGTGTCAGGTTGCCTCGACCAAGTTCAAAGTTGGCTAGTAATAATCGACATAGGAACCAGTCGAGCAGCTCTTGCAGGGGAAGACTGCTAAACGCTTCTGGTGTGTTCTGTGGATGCTTGATCCTCAAGGACCTGAGCGAGTTGGCGTAATGACGGAGAGCGTGTTTCTTCTGTGTTGCCATTGCTGGGGTGATCAGTCCCGGGGATGTCTCAATCGACAAAGTCAGGGCTGAGACGGCAAGTACAGCGCTCCAAACGTGGGGAGCAGCCGAGTAGTCTCCGTTGAAGATATCTTTAAGTGGCAATATTGCCGATAGTCCGCGGATTTGGTTGTCGAACAAGCGCTGACAATACTCGGAATCTTGAGAGAAAAGAAAGCAGTCATACGGAAGGGTTGGGCCGAGGGATAATGAATCGGGGATTGAAGTCTGTAGTAGCGAAGATTGTACCAGTGCACATGCATTGTTGGGCCCGAGAGCCCCAATGTCTCCAAAATCGACTTGAAATGCTTGTGGCGGTGATGATGGTAGCTGTGGCATGATGCACAGTTGATTCTCTGTGTCTTGTGGCCATGGAGTCCCCAGCAAGTCCCAGTTCTCGAACAGAAACTCTTCGCCCACAGGCGTGTCGATGGTCAAGGTTGGTACAGGCACCAGATCAGGTTGAGGTAAGTTTTCGACAATGCCCAGACCCGCCAGTGGTTCAATTGATTGACAGGGACTTGTTGGTGACTCTTGCGGTATTGGTGATCTCGTAAAAGATCCTGACGCTGAGCCTTTGCGTACTCGTCTTGACTCAGGTTTCTGGACTCTTTCAATGACCATCATGGTCTGGTCACGGAAGGAGATGCCTCTTGCATAGCCCCCACAGGTCCGGTTTGCCTTGGTACACTGAATTGGTACTATTAGCTGAGTCCAGAAGAGGTTGGGTATGACCAACATTATTACACTCCGGCTGTGCCTTGTCGCACCTCAAGTGCCTCTCACGACAAGTGACGCATCCGAGGCGATCACGGGATGTAACATTCCTCCTGCGGACTTTGCGGGCTGTTGAAGAAGGGGGTGATGCTTGCGGCTCAAGATTCGACATGATGATGATGTTGGAGGTGAATGAGATGAAGAGAGGAGTTCATGGCAGATAACAGATGGGGAGAGAAAACGCGGAGACGATTAGTTAGCTGGTCGAGATAAGGGACACAGGGAGCCGAAAGAGGAGATTTCAGTGACCTTATCCCTGTCGAGTCAGGGTCCCTTGTCAAGGGTTCTTATCGCTGCGATTGTGGGTCATTTATCTCCCCAACTGACCTCGAGACACGATTAGATAAGATAGTCATACGATGAAGCCATCCATTGATGAGAGAAACAGAGCCCTTCAGATAACTAACAACCTTTGAGCGTCCCGCCGTTGCTCCTGATCCATGCTCTGCCAAAGCTTCCAAAACTGACCCTGTCTCGACTCAAGCAGAAGCCTGGGGACCCCGCGTTCGATGATTCTACCCTGATCCAACACGTATACCTCGTCAAAGTCCACAATTGCCGCTAATCTGTGCGCTATCGCCATCACTACCTTGTCCGAGAACCTCTCTGCCAGGAGCTTCTGCATCCGACTCTCGCTTTCTGCGTCCAGACTTGCCGTTGCTTCGTCAATGATGACGATCCGGGCTGATGTTGCTAGTGCCCTTGCGATCGCTATGAGCTGTCGCTCTCCTTGAGAGAGGTTGGCCCCATCGCGTTCAATCTGCCGGTCAAGAGACCACTTGACCGCGCCGTCACTGTCTCCCATGACATCGGATAAGATCTGTCGCAACCTCTTGTCGGGTACGGTGCCGGTAAAGTCCAGGTTGAACCTGAGCGGGCCAGTAAACAACATTGGGTTCTGAGGGATGAAGCATATGCCGCGCCGCAAGTCTTCCACTCCTACCGAGTCAATACTCACGCCGTCTATCAGAACTCGGCCATCAATTCTACTGGTCAATCCCAAAATGGTCGCCGCCAGGGAGCTCTTTCCACTACCAGAGCGTCCAACGATGGCCACTCGCTGTCCTGGGTGTACCCGGACGTCAATGTCGGCCAAGATAGCCTTTTCTGGCGAGTAACCAGCAGTCAGGTTGACTATCTCGAGCTCGCCCCTGGTGGGCCACTCTTGATCTTTCATACCTTCATCTCCCTCGGGCTCGTTTTTGGGCTCTTGAGGAATTGCGTGAGTGTACTCCTCAATCCTCTGGAAGCAGTTCATCTCGATCTCCAATACACTCGATAGGTACACGAGATCTTGGGTTGTTAGCCTTGGTTCATACTGAAAGGGGGTTATACACTCACATAGTAGTGCTGTACATAACGCTGAAGCGCTTGTCATACTAAATCCGACTACCGCTGGATTCGCGTTTGGCGAAATGATTGCGAGTATGGCAGTAGACACTTGGATCAACCCAGCGAACACATCCATACGAACAGCGAGCCATCTTTGCGTGCCGCTTACCGTTTCCCAACCGCGTAGGTACTTTTCCAAAGATTCAAGGAACAAGTGTCGAAACATGGTCTCTCGGTTGTACGCTCGGATGATCTCGCCACCAGACACAGCGTCGGTGAGCTCGGACAAAACAGGAGACAGAGAAGCGGCGTACAGCCTCTTTGCGGCAGTCGAGCCATACAGGTAGACTCGCCCGGTAAACCAAGCCATACAAAGGAAAATGAGGGCAGGAAGCAAGAATAGTGGCAGCATAGAGGATACTGCTGCTAACCGGAAACCGATGGAAAGGGAGTTTTCGACGACCTGCTTGAGCAGCTCATTGACAGTGTTGTCTTGTGAGAACACATCCGAAGAGAAGCGGTTGAGTATCTGACCGGCTGGTGTCGACGTGATCCATGGAAACGTGGCCCCAAACACCGAGACAAGCATCCGATAATGTAGCTTGCGACTGGCTCTAATGGCGCCTCTGTAGAAGATCAGAGTTGATGCGCAAGCCAGTACGAGTTGTGAAATCCCCATCATCGAGTATACGGATGCGAAGAACAGCGAGGTCATGTCTGTCTTGCGCTCCTGGTCGAAGCTGTAACTGGCAGACCACTTCGTCAACCAGAGTGAAGACAAGGTGTCAGCAGCCTGACCTGATAAGATCAAGACACACAACAAGGCCAAGAACGTCGGAGACCCAAACATGCCTAGGTACTTGAAGATGGTAGACTTTCCGATGAGACCATCCAGGACTTTCTCGGACTGAGCACGCGATGAGTCTTCCCCTGTTGGTGGCCTGGAAAGTCGTGTCTCTCGTATGACTTGGGTCTCCGAGTCTGGCTCGTGGAAGAGTTCAACTTCCCTAATGTTTGATGTCTCGACGGCTCCAGGCTTGAGGGCGGTCGTGTCCTTTTGCCTCGCAGAGACCCGAGCCTCTCCGTCAACCAGTTCCACAACCTGATCGGCCTGACGACATATCTCTGCCTTGTCCGAGACTAGAATTGTTGTCCGACCTCTCATCAACGGCCCAAAAATGCACTCGTCGATGACGTGGCTGGAAGTTGTTGCATCCAAAGCCGAGAGCACGTCATCGAGAACGACAATGTCTGTATTGGCGTATATAGCTCTGGCGAGAGCAACACGAGCCTTCTGGCCACCTGACAGTGAGGATCCAGCCTCTCCAGTAGTAGTAAGATCACCATCTGGGAGAAGGCGGAAATCGACGTGCAGTGCCATAGCTCGCGTGACCTCGTGGTATCTTTTTGAGATGAATGGCGCACCAAAGAGGATATTGTCTCGGATGGTGCTGTTACGGATCCATGGAGCCTGGCTTGCGTACGATATAGTCTCGGACCCGTTGGAACGAAGGGACGCTTCGCCAGAGATCACTGGGGCTTCTCCAAGAAGGGCTTTGATAAGTGTGGACTTGCCGGATCTTGCCAAGAGTCAGCATTCACTGTGAAATTGAAGGAGTATAAACCTACCCAGTTTTCCCTTTAATAACGGTCAAACCACCTCGAGGAGCCTGGAAAGAGATGCCCCGCAGAATTGTCCGGCTTGAGTTATCAGGCAGTCTGACAGCAATGGATGCGTGCCTTGCTCCAAGGTAGTTGGCTCCTTCGCCCCTGCTTTCGTCGCTGTAGGGGGTCGTGAAGGTTGTGTCATCTTGTTCCAGGAGGCTGTCGACATCTTGATCCAAGAATTGAACCACCCGGTCAACGGAAACCATAGCCTGCGCGTGTGTGCTGACACCAATAACAGCCAGAGACATCATGCCTTTCAACGTATTGAAGACTGACACAACTGTAAACACGACAGCAGGACTGAGGCGATGCCCAGCAATGAGAGTGTGGATACACAGCGACAGGATCAGTGGGATGAGGACGAAGGCGGAAGAGAGAGTCTCTGAGGCCGTGGCTATCACAAGCTTCTTCCAGATAGCACGAAGCTCTGCCTTTCTCTTCTCACCGATCCACAAGGTGAAAGCTAACGATTGACCAAGCATTTTGATGGTCTGAAGCCCATCGATGACTTCGCTGACACGACGGACTCTTGCCTCGATTGCTCCCATGACCCGTGACTGGGCGCGGCCTTGGTATCGGTTCACATACCAGGAAATGGGAATTCGAGTAAATACAATCAAGGCCAATCCAGGGACACTCGACCAACCCAGCGTCTGGTACAAAATAACACTGGCAACAGCCACCTCAATAGGAACCATGAAACCAGCCATGATGGTGTATCTCAGGACAGAGATCTTGTCGATGTCTGCGGCGACGTGGTTTGTCACCTGGCCTACATCGATGCGACCACCGTCCCTTTGCTTCAGAATCTTCTTGTGGATAACGCAGATGACCATTCCCTTGAGTCGGCAGATTGTGTCGGTTGAGAAGAACTCGAAAGTCTGCATGAACAAGCCACGAATGACAGGAGAGGCACCAAACAGAAGGGCAGAGAACCATGGCCGAAACGATCCATCAGGTGCACTACCCTCGAGACTTGTCAAGAGACTTCGCAACCCAATGGCTCCCAGAAATTCGGAGAAGCCGCAAAACACCATGAGAATGGCCATAATCAGAAGTCGATCCTTGAAAGTATACCATAAGGCCTGCCTGGTAGAGTCTGATTTGCGCCGCGCCTCGACAAACTTGGTCGACAGCAAGAGGGGGTCGGCGGCCACGGTCAACTCTGGAAGATGGTCCGTATCAAGCTGTCCCACCTTCTTGTAGGCCGAGGCTACGAAAGGTGTGACCCATCCGTAGGACCACCATCGGACAATGGGTGAGCATGTCAGTGAAGGGTGAAGAGACGAGCCTCCGTCGGGCAGAATGCTATGTGCTGGCGTAAAAACGGGGAGGATAATTGATGCGAGTAAAGTTGAGGTCAGGTTGCAGAGAGTGAGTGTGTCCAATACAGGGCGTCTTCCAGCTGAGGGGATAATGACGAGCGGATAGACGATAGTAGGGACGGTATTGACCAGGAAGAGGATAAAAGAAAGACTGTTGGCCAGCATATGTAGAAGTCGCCTATATATGGGAGAAGAAAAGTATGCCAGTCGAGCCAAGAGCACGACACTCTGCCCATCATGCGTTAGCTAGGGCCACTAGATAGTCTAACAAAGTCGGGACTCACCCATGCGGCGGTGCAGGAGGCACCTTCAAGGCGTTGATATAGTGTAGATGTACTCAAAGCCTCCAAAAAATGAGAACCAATAGCAAATACTATAGCAACGAGGCTGAGTGTGTTGAAAAAGACATGGCTCGACGTGTAAGTAACCAGCTTGTGTGACTGTTGACGGCTACGGGCGAGTTGAGCCCAGAACAACCCCAGGAGTGTAAGGGTGCTTCCCAGGGTTAGCGAGACCCTCAGGACTGCCCCTAAAGGCATTGTGGTATTTGAGTCGGCCATTAAAACATGAGCATGATGATACCAGAGCTGCCAACTAAAGGTATCAGTGAAGGTAAAGAATGGGGAGTGGTGTTGATGTAATCTACTGTAGCCAGTTGATCGATTCGCTAATGACAGTTGAACCGACAGGATCCGAGCCTCCGGGCTTATCATTATCTAGTATCTAATCGAGTAACAAAGTGCGATCAATGCAAACAGAGCCCCATGGCCACAAGTGGAAGGCCTGATCGCTCTGCGGCCGCTCGTACAGAATTACCCCTTTTGGAAGTGTTTACGAGTGGGTCAGTCGAGCCGGGATGGATTCGAAGCCGGCCGTCTGATCCGGGCTCACCCTGAGGCGTTTATTCCCGGTAGCCCCGGCCCGAGAGCAGACTGATAAGCGTCTGCAGGACCCTGTGATCACTCGCAGTGGTAGTTGAGGCAAGCACAACATACGTTCCAAGATACTGCAACTTGTGCTCATCATGGCTCTTCGTGCAATCACAACCTTGACGCTCGCTCTGGCCGCTGTGGTCTCACCAGCCTCTGCAACGCCGATTGAGCAAAAGCTCTTGGGGGGTGACTCGAATGAGTGGCAGTCTTTTGGCCTGAAGCATTATCCCGGATACTCAATGCGTATTCGGGAGCAGTCTTCCAGCCTTTGTGACACTGAGTCGAAGCAATACACTGGATGGCTAGAGGCCAAAGGGAAACACCTCTTCTTTTGTAAGTTTCGAATAGTCTATATCCATGCTAGCTTACTAACAATATGGCGAAGGGTATGTTGAGAGTCTTTCCGACCCTCAGAATGATCCCCTCAATCTATGGATGACGGGTGGTCCGGGATGCAGTGGGCTTATTGGTATGTTACCCTCAATTGGCCTCACCAACGTCGACGAAACTGACAGATGTAGGAATGATGATGGAACTTGGCCCTTGCCTGATCAATGAAGACGGTTCTGGGACACGACGAAACCCCTTCTCTTGGACCGCCAATGCATCCATGATCTTCATTGACCAGCCAGCTGGAACCGGCTTCTCTTATGTTGACGAGGGTGTTGAAAAGCCTTCAGACTCCTTCACCGCCGCCGAGGATGTCCACATCTTCCTTCAAATCTTCTACAGTGCTTTCCCGCATCTGAGCTCGTTGCCTTTCCACATTTCGGGGGAGAGCTATGGCGGACATTACGTGCCAACTGTCGCTGCAGAGATTGTGCGCTACAACAAGATTGATCCTGGCTTGAGAGCTGGCCTCGAGATCCCTCTGAAGAGCGTCATGATTGGAGATGGATTTGTTTCGCCGCTGGATACCACGTACGGATACTACGACACCCTCTGCACGACTAAGCCAGGCGTTGACATACCGGTTTTCAACGAAACACGATGCACACAAATCCGCGAGGCTCTTCCTCGATGTGTATCACTTCACGAATCCTGTTACCAAAACCCTGATCCAATTCTCTGCCACGCCGCAGATTCGTTCTGCAGTGGTCAGATCCGAGCCTTGTTTGACAGCGAGACCGGAGAGGGCGGCCGTGATCCATTTGATATCACGCGAACTTGCGAAGTGGACCAGCTCTGTTACACCGGAGTCCTCAGAATCCAAGATTACGTCAACGAGCCTTCAGTTCGCGATGTTCTTGGTGTTCCTAAGCAGGTTGGCAACTTTACTGTTTTGAACGAGGAAATTCAGGAACTCTTTGGCATGGGAAATGATCTCTACGTCAACACCGCTCGAGAAGTCCTCTTCCTCCTTGAAAACGAGGTCGACGTGCTCATCTACAACGGCAACTTGGATCTGGCATGCAACACGGCCGGAAACCTGCGATGGACTGAGCGAGTGGCCTGGGCCGGCCAAGCCGAGTTCGTGTCACAGAGCATGCGGGTTTGGCACGCGCCAAAGGATGGGAAGACGATTGAGGCGGGAACAATGAAGGAGGTTGTCGTAAAGGCTAACTCGAAGAGTAAGAAGCCTTCTCGCTTTAGTTTTGTTACTGTAGATAGGGCTGGACATATGGTACCGTTGGATCAGCCTGAGATCTCGCTGCACCTGATCAACACTTGGCTGGTTGGCGGAGAGCTGTAAATGTGAAAGGTTTCTCTTAGATGGGATTAGAAATATCTAGAAGTAAGTACAGTAAGACTGAATGAAAGCTGTTGCGATGACTCCACCCATAAGGCATCAACATGACGTTCCATATAGCAGGCCATAGGTATGTGATCTTGAGTGGGAATAAGTCGACAGTTGGGAATGATCGCTTTCATTTTGTACTTACAAGGAAGTCGACCCACTGAGATCATTGTGATAACGCAACCAGATTTCGATTAGCTTACTCAAAATGGAAAATTTAAACGGTGTTCAGCCTTTAAGCCATGGCTCCCATAGGAACTTCGGATAGGCTATTATGTGTGAAGTTTGCTCGACACTACACCCTTCCGACTAAACTCTCTGGTTAACCTGCTCTGTAAACACAATATGGGTTCTCTCCCAACGCTCTTGCCTGGGGCTTAAGCTACCGACAAGCCCACGATTGTCTATCTCGGAACTCTTTTACCAGCTGCAGCCAAAATCGCTGTCTCCTTGGCATCTCGGTTCAACATAATTCCCTACAAGCCTTTCTCTCAGGAAGATTTCTACAAGGATCTCGAAAATCCAACATCCCCTCTAGCACGTGCCTCTGCTATTCTTCGTCTTGGGGGTGAAAGCACAACTGGTCTTCCCAATGGTTGGACAATCGGAGTAGGGCGTTGGACGCCAACCTTGCCCAAAAGTTTGACTCTTCTCATCAACTTGGGTCATGGGTTGGAAGGCTCAGTTTCCCTTGGTAAAGTAGGGCTTCCAGGCGGGTCGCTCCGTGGAGGGAATCTGGGAAGTATGGCGGCGTCTATGGTGTCTCTCCGCCGCAGCTCTGGCCCCAGATCTAGCCACTTCACGGGCAGGGACGGCCTGCTCAACGGTGTCGTTGGCCTTGTTGGCCCCAGAATCGGTCTGCTTGCAGTTGCAAGGCTTCAGGGTCTCAAACTGAGTCCGGAGAAGCGTGATCTCCGTCTGCATGGCCTCGAGGAGCTTGTCGGTGGCGGCCTTGGACTCATTTCCTGACTTGTCGACTTCAAGGATGAGGGCGAGGAGACCATCGGCGCGGCTCAAGGTAGCCTCAGCGCGGGTGAGGTCAGCCTCCTTGTGATGAAGGGCATTGTCGCCGCGGTCCAGGGCATCATTGGCGCGGCCCAAGGCAGTGTTGGCGCAGGTGAGGGCGGCCTGGGCGCGGCTCAGGGCATCATCGGCGGAGCATGCGGTGCTGAGAGTGATCTCCATCCTATCGCACCTGTAAGTTGATATCAATAAAGGTGAGGGACATGGCTTTACTTACACTCCGCAGCGATTCTGGAGATCAGCCTCGACCACCTCCAGGGCTCCGACTTTCTCCTCCAGCCCCCCGACTTTGACCTGCAGCTCTTCGATGTCAGTCTGGGCGCTAGACTGCTTGTCTTTGGCTTCCTTGGCCAACTGCATGTCCTTGAGCTTGGCCCAGATGTTGAAGATGTGTACGAGGGTGACGACCGCCAGGGTGATGGTCGCCATGATATTGGTCCAGAGCCCGAAGGAAACAGACTGGGACGCCATGTTGGTGAGAGGATCGTCTAGAGGAGATTAGCGATGTTGACGGAGGTGGAATGGAGCACAAACAGAAGTTCCGCAACGTGAAGTAGATTGAATTGGAATGTTAGTTTTGAAACTCGGCGATGCATGTTTGTTGTTATGCGGTCGAAGCGAACAGTGGCGGCTGCCAGTGTCAGGACTAAGCTAATTGGCAGATATTCTAAAACCTCCACGAGAAAGACCACTTCCAGAGCCAATTACAAGACCAGTTTCTAAGAGCTAACAATATGAACTTAGACCTCGCATCAGCCAAAAGCTGCTGGACCTGGACTGTGTCGCGCTGCTCGCTCATGTTGCCGGTTTGTCAGTTGAATCAGCAGAGGTATTGCTTCACCCCGATCGGAACGGTACTAGGACTAACCGTTACTTGACAGAACCATATGAAGCACGCACTTGAACAAGCAGCGGAGTTATTAACAGAAAGGGCAAAGCGTTATTGACTCGGATGTTTTAGGTTTTCGAGGTGTATTTAAAGTACAAGAACTTCATTGTCGTGAAAGATGGGAAGTTATCCAACGGGTTAATCATTTTTCAAGCTCGGGATTCATGTGGGAAGTCAAATACGGAATATGTATAAGCCAGCACTCAAATAGTCAAATGCAAGGCATCCTTTTGGAACAGATAAAGTTATAACACTTTACAAGCATCGTCTCTAAACATGAATATTTAAATTATCGCTAACCTGTCATTTAAACGCTATGATAGATCTCACCAAGCGACCTTACACAACCTTGCCTTGAACTGGGCCCCAGGCATGTGGCTCGTTCCCATACATAATATCTTTAAGCCAGTTCCTCAACATCAACGTATAAGGCGCCACAAGATCACCCTCCGCGGTCTTGTGGCCGATATTGATGTCGGTGTCTTTGTATCTAATCATACCAACTGGAGCCACGAAAAACTGGTTCAGAATGTCAGCGCGGAGCAGACATACTGAGAGATGCAAGACTTACAGCAGTACCAGTCACGAATGATTCTAAAAGCCTGCCTTCATTGGAAGCCTCTACCATCTCTGCCATTGTAAATGGCCGTTCCACTGCCACCAGAGGGTGCATATCCTCCGAAGGCTTTTCAAGTCTCTCCTGCGTGAGCTCCAGAACGCTTCGACGGGTCACGCCATCAAGGATGATGTCACCCAGCGGTGCAGTGATGAGCTCCGGCAGCCCTGTTTCCTTGTTGCGAATAATGACAAAGAAGTTGCTTGCACCCGCCTCGGTGACATTGTCGTCGGGTCCAAATAGCCACAACACCTGGATAAATCCTTGTGCGTTGGCCTCTTCCTGAGCGACTAGAGAAGGGGCGTAGTTGGCACCAAGCTAGAAAAGAGAGTTAGACATAATCACAATCCGGACACCCAGAGACAAGGATCCTCACCTTGGCATTTCCGAATCCACCAGGCCAAGCTCTGACCTGTCCCGAAGAGCAAAGCAGCTTCAAACCAGGCCCTGCCTGCCCAAATTGGGGAAACAGGACTGCGACGAGAAACAAAGTGGCCTCAGCGGGACGGCTAACTCCCAGAGCAGCACTAGTCCCAATGATTGCAGGACGGAGGTATAGGAATGTTCCCGGTTCAGGTAACCATCTTTCTCCGTCAACATGGACAAAGGCCTCGATGAGCTTGAGAAGTTCATCAGGATCAAAGTCAGGAAGACCACCACGAAGGGAGGATAGTCTAAGGCGGGCACAGTTGAGCTCAGGCCTGAATAATCTGAGCTTCATATCGAATCCACGATACAGCTTCAGCCCTTCCTATATCATATTAGATACAAGCTCAGGTACAATGCATGGTTTGAATTCTATGTAAAGTAGTGACAAAGACTCACAAAGCACTCGGTCCCGTAATGCAAAACACTACTCGTCGGGGCCATGGAGAAGTTCCCATACGGCTTGATACTTGGCGCCGCCCATCCAGCATCTTTTGTCCAGTTCACAACCAGCATGTGGCTAGTGGTGCACTTCTGTGATCTTCGAATGGGGTCATCGCCAGTTGGGACTAGAGCTTCATCAGCCGGAGCGACGAGGGTTGTCTGGAGCAGCTTTGCATTCAAGGGCGCTGGGCTGACACCGTTGGCGCCATTTGACTTTGGTCCTGCTGTCATGTTGAAGGGCTGAAAGTGAATTGCTGCTTGGCGAGATTGAATGGTATTCAAGAAGTCAATCAAACTGTAATCACAATCGTATCATTCAACTTCCTGCTAAAATACGAGCGTTGGAAGACTGCTATACAATCAGAACTGTATGCTCAAGAGGGAAACGTCCTGTGTTTCCAAATGCGGTAGTTGTGAACGGGGGGTTTCCGGGAATGTGGATATCAAGAAGTACAGTCCGGATAAACGGCCTTGACGATTATCAGATACCAACGATAAACATTGACTCTCTGATAGGGTTAGTAGTGACGCTGCCACTGTCAGGTGTTCAGCCAATATCATGAGATGAAGAAATCATAGTCAAAGTAGGTAATTTAGTAATCAACATGGACGGTGTGTGCTACACAATAATCAGATGACATCAATCAATGATAGGAGCAGTATCATAGACTAATACGTTCTTATCGAGTCTAACAGAAATCACAGCATCAATGAGACCACGCATTTTGCCACTTTCTGGATGCAGGCAGTAGCTAGACGATTTGTTGAACATAGTCAAAGGACAAACGTTGAAGCTGTAAACGTGTAAACAAATTTCTGTTTTGAAATAGGTAATAATAAGGGCATGACGATGTTACAGAAGAGAAAATTGAGCTCTTCTATGTAACTGGTAATTCTCGCCATAAATCCCAGATTTTATTTCCATTGACTGCTCACCATAACAGTCGCGTCGTTTCGTCGCGTGGTCACTTACCCTACAACACCACAGAGACCAGGGTTGACACCGCGCGATAACAGTAAACCATTAGCAGAACTTGTCACTTCTGTGAATATCGCCACCTCGTTGCATATGCGTACTTTCATGCATGAATAAGCCGCGAGGTCCCGTATGTTGTGCATCTGAGTTGATGCCCTCCCAACATGTCGGACAAGCAACCCGATCCTCGGCTGATAAGAGACGAACTAATCCTAAACAAGAACCAGATAAAGAAACACCAAAAGGGAAATTCTGTACGTGATATCGCTAGCGTCTCATCACCCCGGCCCTGTCAAACAGATAACGATAAGCACTTAGTTACGTATTGGAGATGGCGATGGAAATAATACCCACATCTTCCCCGGCTGGAGAAGCTTCAGTCTGGGCCAGTCGCAAGAGCTTTGACCTCGAGACAATAGCAATTGAGCCAGGCAATCCTTGTTTGTTTGTTTCATCAAGACTTGAGCTATGGCGCAGAGTCAGGTTCAACAAGACCCAGCCTCTGATGGCGACAGTCATCTGAAGAAATCCACGGCTGAAGCTCATGATGCCGAGATTGAGAATGGCAGCATCGAGGACTCGTAAGTTGGCTGTCTTCTATTATAAGTGTGCTTCAACTAACACTGTTGATCAATACAAGGCCCTTTGACCAGGTTCAGGCTGTGGTGCCTCCCTTTGACGACCCAGAGCTCCCCGTCAACACATTTCGAGGTTGGTTCTTGGGCATTGTATCGACCTTGATCTTTTCTGGGATCCTGCAGTTCTTTCAACTGCACTCTCCCCCGAGTACGTATATCGCAACCTGAAGTTTCTACTTGCTCTAGTTGTTGACACCCGGTGCTATAGTCTTCCTGTCGTCCAACCTCGTCATTATTATCACATTGCCTGTCGGCCATTTCATGGCCCGCGTCCTTCCGAGCACCGTCGTCCGTCTCCCGTTCGGATGGGAGTTCAGTCTTAACCCAGGACCATTCAATCACAAGGAGCACACTATCACAGCCATCATGACATCTTTGGTGTCTGCTTTCGACAATGGCTCCCTTGCGAGCGATGTCTATGTCGCCTTCGACAAGTTTCTCGGCATCCCTATATCTCCGAGTTACAGGCTGCTGTTCCTGCTTTCGACGCAAGCTCTCAGTTTCGGTTTCGTTGGCCTATTCTATCGTTTCTTGGTGCAACCAGCGTTTTGCGTCTGGCCCGGTGCTTTGCCCACATGTTCCATGATCTACGGCTTTCACGATTCCAAGTTCCAAAACGTCGTCGCCAACGGCTGGAAGATGCATCGCATGAAGTTTTTCTGGGTATTTACCGTGGCTGCAGCAGCTTGGCAGGTTGTTCCATCATTCCTGTTTACGGCCTTGACAACCTTTGCCTGGATCACTTGGATTCGCCCCAACGATGTCACTCTCAACCAAGTCTTTGGCGCAACTACAGGCATGGACCTTCTGCCTTTGACTTTGGACTGGAATCAAATCTCTGGTTATTTGGGAACACCTCTTGTCGTCCCTTCATGGGCCATCCTCAACGTCCTTGGAGGTAGTGTCTTTTTCCTCTGGATTGTATCACCCGCTTTGCATTGGCAAAATGTGTGGTATGGAAGATTCTTTCCCTTCTCATCGTCGTCTACCTTCGACAACACGGGAGCTCCTTACAACACCTCTCGTGTTATGAACCCTGACTACAGCATCAATGACGAGGCGTACGCCGAATACTCACCAGTTTTTCTATCTACAACATCCGTACTCTCGTATGGGTTGGGATTCGCTTCAGTCACATCAATTCTTGTTCATACGGCCCTGTACCATAGGGAATTGGTATGGGGTGCTTTGAAGGCCACCATTTCGAAGAACGACAGCCATGAAGGAGAAGACATCCACGGCCGTCTGATGCGCGCTTACAAGCCAGTTCCTATTTGGTGGTATGGAGGTGTCTTTGCAGCCCTGATTGGTATCAGCATGGCCTTCCTCTACGTTGAGAACACACAGCTTCCTTGGTGGGGACTCATCATCAGCATCTTGCTGAACATTGTGCTGCTGATCCCAATTGGTCTTATGAAGGCCACCTGCAACATTACTGTTAACACAGGTGTCTTGGCTGCACTGATTGGTGGCTTCATCTGGCCAGGAAACATGATGAACAACGTTGTCTTCAAGGTGTTTACCCTTGTGTGCACATTTCAAGGTCTTGGATATATCCAGTCTATGAAGATGGGCTACTATATGAAGATTGTACGTCATCTCATTGCTTTAAATTTCGCGTCTTCTCTCTCTCGTCTCTGCTGACACACTGCTATAGCCTCCTAGAATTACCTTTACCGCTCAAATACTCTCGATCCTCATCTCGTGGCTAGTCCAAACAGGCGTCAACCTGTGGGCCATGGCCAACGTGGAAGGCATTTGCACTCCTGAAGCTGTTAATGACGTGAGTGAAGCTTGCACCTTTCTAGTCCCTAGCTAACAATGAAAAAGTTCCGCTGCCCCTTGGCAAACGGATACGCAGCTAATGCCGTGTTCTGGGGATTGATCGGCCCTACTAAGCTTTTCAAGTCGGGCTCTATGTACAACAGCATGCTCTGGTTCTTCTTGATCGGTGCAGTGCTGCCAGTTATTGTGTATCTGGCTGCTCGACGGTTCCCAAAGAACAAACTTCTCCAGCATGTAAGTAGCATCATCACACATGCCATACGCTAAGGAAACTCACAAATTCTAGACTCATACTCCCGTCATCTTTGCATCGACATCATCAATCCCACCCGCAACTGCCGCCAACTGCATCTCTTGGGGTCTTGTTGGACTCGCCTTCAACATGTTGATCAAGCGACGCTACCACGCCTGGTGGACAAAGTACAACTACCTTCTTTCGTCGTCCCTAGACAGCGCTCTGGCCATCACCACATTCCTCGTCTTCTTCTGTCTCACTTATCCGGGTGTGTCCCTCCGCTGGTGGGGAAACTCTGTTCAAGATACGACTGCCGATGGAATGGGTGTGCCTCTCGATACCGTTCCCATGGGAGAGACATTTGGACCATCTGAGTGGCTGTAGTGACGCAGTTATTGGAAAGCTACATTGAAGGATTAATTACATCGCATTCAGCATCAATACATCCACAGTGATCATGAAATCGACCACAACCGCCTGACTCGGCGAGGTTCCCAAGCTTACAAATCTTGACTGACATTGACCACAATCTTTCCAGCAGAACGACCCTCTCGCAGCAGTCGGAAAGCTTCTGGAACATCCTTCCAATCAAACTGGGCCGCGATCACTGGCTTCACCCTGCCTTCTGCCAGCCACCGCCCAATGACCTGGAAAAACTCGGCCGAGTTCTTCATATTGACAAAGTAAAAGCGAGGGGTTCCAAACGGCCAGATCTGCTTCTTCATGGTAGATGCGACGCCCTTCAGTGACATAGACTCCCCAACACCAACTTGAACAAATGTTCCACCGGCCTTGAGCATCAGGTGGCTGTTGTCGTAAAGTTCTGGTCGATTTCCCACGTTGTCAATCACAAGGTCGTAGACAGCACCTTGATCCTTCAGGAATTCGATAACATCATTCTTGGTGTAGTCAATGATGTGGTCGGCGCCAAGACGTTGACATAGATCCAGGTTTTTTGTTGAGCAGGTTGTTGAGATTTTGGCGCCCATGGCCTTGGCAAGCTGAATAGCCCATGTTCCAACACCGCCACTGCCTCCATTAATGAAGACATTCGCAGCTGGTGGTAGCTTATCCGGCATCAAGGATTGATACGCAGTGGTTGCCGCTGTTCCTACAGCAGCGCCATCGTCTGGATCGATACCCTCTGGAAGCAGCGCGCAGCAGGCTGCAGAGACAACAGTATACTGTGCAAGCGTTCCCAACTGGTTATGACCTGCGTGGCTTCCAAATACGAGTTGGCCTTCTTCAAATCCGGTTATCGAGGAATGTTTGTGGACAACACGACCACAAAAGTCGAGTCCTGGCGTTGCAGGGTTGGGAATCATGATCCTTCCAATGATGCCCGACTCGGGAAGCTTGTAGTCGACTGGGCTGATGGAAGCCGTGATGACTTTGATGAGCATTTCATCTTTGCCCAATGAGGAGTGTGGAGGAATAGGAACTTGATCCTTGATGGCCAAGGAGTCCTCGATTTTCTCAACGGGGCTGGAGTATTGCCATATTTGCATAGTGGTCGCCATTTCGTAGTTTATTTTGTCGATTTTGGATGCTGGATAACAAGACGAGTCACTGCCAACTTATGGATGCTTGATGTCCCGAGCCCAGAAGCTTTAAAGGCCGGCTCTGAAGGGTGGATGGAGCGGAGCGGAGTTTAGGTCGGCGTAAATTACCCTCCGAGACGCATGCGGCTCATAAAAGGCGAGGAGTACCGTTGACCGGCGTTGGTGCTAGAACCATTCAGGCAATCTTCCCGATGATCTCCGCTATGGTTTGATAGCCCCTGACATGGCCTGTCAATTAAAGCGCATTGCCGTGGCTAAGCTTTCACGGTGTGCCAAGGGAATGAGCGCATCGCGTCCACACTTCTTTGGAAATACGCGTTTAGTCCGCCCAAGAAATCATTCCAGTTTTATAGATTGTAACCTGGTAGGTCACAGATTTAGATCAAGGATTTGACTAGAGACAAAACATCTTCAGATGGCAAACCGAGAGCTTTGGCATCATTGATCTCTTCGCTCAACTCTCTGTTTTGGCCATCCTGGAACTGAAAAGCCTTCATGAGATCCAAAACTCCGAGAGGATTCTTCTGGCCAAGCTTCTCCAATCCTATCTTCTCCAAAGCGCTGGTAGAGACGTGTCCCTGGGCCCATTCCTCTCCCGTCTGCTCTTCAAGTATCTTCAACAGCTGGTTTTGAGAGGATGTGAAAGATGAAATGGCGAGGTACTGGTTCTTCGTTTGCTCTTCTTCAGAGAGAATAGCCGCAACAGCTCGTCCGACAAGGTTGAAGGTGGTAGGGGAGAAGAGCGCATCCCCTGAGTCGAAGATCGTGACATGTTTTCTGGCGACATCAAACCCAAAGGCACCATGGAGCAAACCCTAAACATTCAAGAAAGATTTAGCTTGATCTCCAACATTGGGAGGAGCGGAGCGCCGTACAAACTCGAAAAGCGATCCAGTGGCCAGTGCAGTCCAAGAAAAATTGTCATGCCGCTGAGCCTTCTCCTTCAAATACTCAACGACCTTGATTTTTCCCGCAAGAAGCGGTTCAAGCGTTGTCCCTGCCACCAGCCGAGTGTCAACTCCGAATTCAGACGGGATGAAGCGCTTGACATTAGCACTGGCAGCGGCATCGATCAACGCTAGCTGCGCGGAAACAGCAAGTGTGCTAATGGTTTGATATGACTGCGTCTTGTCCACTTAGAGCCTCGATGATCGACTCTTGGGAATCAAAATTGACCTCTTTGTTCTCAACATCTGAGGGTAGAACAGACGACGAAGAGGCACGGGTCAAAGCAGTAACCTTGAATCCATGATCAACAAGGGCCCTTGTGATGTGGCAAAGATCTGGGTCATACCAGCCTGGGCGATTGCCTTGCCAGAGGGCGCGAGAGGATTGTGCTGAATGTAGGGGTCGACAACATAAGAGAGGAGAGTGTCCAGGTTCTTAACAGCGTATGCTTTAGCCCAGATGGCAGTTGTTTCGCGTTGAAGGCGGAGCAAAGCTTCAGGACACTCAGAGATTGACTCTGGGAGATCGGGAAGAACTTTGCAGGCGAGAGAACAAGTGACCGTTTGGCCTAGAAAAGCCACGACCGTCGCAACAGGGAGTGATGAGAAGCGCATGATGAGTGGGTGTGTCGGTCTTGGAGACGTAGAGGATGAAATGGAAGTGATGAGTTGGATGAGGCTTGGAAACGGCTGCTAGGAATGAAACTATATACTCGGCGTCTTATCATGTTGTAATCGTCTTGGTCTTGACGACGCTCCGGCTTGGCAGAAGAAGGGCCGAAAATGAGATGTGAGCGGTGGCGATCATGGCCTTTCTGACCCACGGATCAATGGCCGAGACAAGCAGGTTGATAAACCAAGGGGGGAGCATACCATCTTTGTCCAGTGGCCGCGGGTTGAGTTAAATCCCGACCCGCGGAGACGGAGTTAACGGCTTGACCGGTCCACTTGCTGAACTCTGTGTTCTCTGTGATAATCATCCAGGGTAATCGATCCATACAAATTAAGGATCTGACAAGTTCAAGCCCATCGATCTTCGGGCTCAGTTAATCCATCGAGGGCCGGGCTGCAGCTATAATGAAGAACAGATTGTTCAACTCTATCAATGCCCCAACAAAGCCCACCAATGAACCTGATTAGTTGTTTGGTGGTAACGTTACATGCCCTCGTTAGAGCCGTAGTGATATTGGACATAGCAAAAGTGGCTGATATTGTTACGCCTCCGACAGTCCGTTGAGTACCTAATCGCCAGTTGATCATGTCTACAAGCGAGGTCTTCGATGGCAAGAGGTCGTCGGACCCGCCATTTATACCTACTGCCATTGACAATCACTAATAACATATACACAGCGTTCTATGACGACACAAGCGATGAAGTAAAGACGTAGGTTGAGATTGATGGGAAATAAAAAGTTTGCGAGACGTGTTGACTGATGGGCGTACGGCCTAAACAAATATATGCAAATATGATAGTACAAAAGTAGAAAGAAACGTAGCAGCTGCCCCTAATAGGGTGCATGCAAACCACCCTTTACACCACAAGTCACGGCTCGACGCACTGAAAGTCGTCGCTCTCGAGGGCCTTCTTCCCCTTTGCCTTTCGCTTGAGCTGAGCCTTCTTCGGATACGGGCAGAGCAAGCGGCTTTGCTTCTCTCCATCAACGTCAACATAGTGGTGCTCGAGAGTGTTCGGGACTGTCCCATTCTCGACCCAAGCTCTGAGAGTGTCGAATGTGTTGCTGGGCTGACCCCCCGGACCACCAGAACAGTGAAGGAGGCCTGGAACCTCAAAGATTCGGTAGAAATCGTGAACTTTGGAGTTCTTTTGGGAAACCTGATTGTAGTAGTGTTCCGTGTTTTTGGCGGGAATGATCTGATCGCTCTGCGTCGAGTTAGGATAATGCGATCCATCATGGCGGACTTCACTCACCATGCCATGATAGCCAAGCAGCTTTCCCCCGGCCTTATAAAAGGCACTCAGATCGGGATCACTTGTTCCAACCATGGAGTCGTAACGCTGAATGCCGGAGCGGAAGTAGGACTGGAAATCCTCATGAGTCATGTTCTCGTAGGACCAGTTCGGGTCAGATTTGATCCAGTATTTCCACCAAACCTCACCGAGTCCCACAGGTACACCAGTGCATGTGCCATTGGAGCATTCAGTCATGGCAAGGCCAATATCGTTGGTCAACGCCGCAGTAGATCCACTCAGCTGGCTACCGATGTTGGGACCATACCAGAGGAATTCGCCGTCCTTGGTCTCTGGACCAGCCCATGTCGCCTTGGCCAAGATTGCGGCCTCTTTGGAGATCTTCATCTCCTTACCGGTATCAGAACAGTTGAAAGATGTCTCAGCAACTAAGAGAGGGTCAAATCGGCATGCCTCTTCGTCAGAGATGATGCCGTCAATGACGCCGTCTAGGCCATCACACGACTCGACTGCTGCATCGGTGATGGCTTTGAGCTCGCAAGGGTACGGATAGTATTCCATGTCATTCATGAGAAACTGCGCCCAAAAAGTAGACCCAACCAGCTGGTTCCAGTAAATGGCTGGGGCACTGGCATGGATGCCGTCGTAGGCGTTGGGGAACCTCTGCGCAAGCATCATACCCTGCCTTCCGCCCTGGGAGCAACCATTCCAGTACGAGTACTCTGGGTCCTCACCATAGAAGTTCTTGATCAACTGCTTTGCAATGATAGCCTAGTCATGTCAGTACGACCCAAAGAGAACTGGCAGCTCGCTTACCTGGTCATTGAGAGACACTGATCCGAGATTGTTGAGAGCGTAGAGGTTAGGGTTTCCCTCACTTTCGAGGGCCCAACTGTCTGGTCCCATGTCCAACTGCATCTTCAGGCCAGCGTCCGTGGTACTGGTAGCATAGCCTTCCCCGATAGCACCGCCCATGGCAGTGTAACTGGGCGGATATCGACCAGCTACCCAACCTCCACCGCCAACGGACTGGAGCCTACCGTTGTAATTATCCAAAGGCAGCCATGTCTCTACGTGAATGGTGTCGTTCTGGCCGGGGTGCGTGTAGGTTACCGTGATGTTGCAGAAGTTCACGTTTTCAACCTTGACTGTCGGATGGCCATAGTAAAGCATAGAGATGGCTGTCGAGTTGTAGTTCTCAACCAAGTTGACGTCGAAGTTGAGGACATGGCCGCCGAGGAATTTTGGCGCCGCAAGCGCATCGGGCGAGCAGAGGGAAGCCATAGTCGTGCCTTGATGAATGAGACGAAATGCGATGGGGGGGGATGAAAGCAGTTTGCTCATGAAGGCATGACATACTTATATGATACCTCCCGAAATAATATGACGCGGTCCTTTCTGATCTACACGCTTTGTAGATTACATGTTACGGATTGAACATTTTCTTTCAGGGGGCATGAGTGTCCAGGCACATACGTCACCTCAAACTGTTGTTAATACTCGTGACCTTTAACTAGGTACGGATACGCGTGTTCCCTAGAACCTGGAGAAATACAAGCTACGCAAGCAACATCCACTTTATTAAGAGGCCATTAGCTTGGGCCAAGACTTGTCCTTCTTCCAATATGTGGACCATGCGTTACGCATGCCTTGTCGCTATAATTAGGGTCCGGTATTCGAAGTGCGGATACTCGTATTCCCACCTCCTGGGTTTGTGGGCCTGAACCGCGAAACATGGCTGAGTTCAGCGGTTAACAATGCTCATTTCAATCTTTCGTAGTCTTCCTGGTCTATAAGAATTGCCTGCAACACTGCTTGGTGTCGATTGTTCCATGTCATTCATTCACTCCTTTATAGCCTCCAGTCTTTCATTTTACTATTTTCCGATCAACTCTTTTAGTCCCAAGACACTCACCAGATCTGCATTCTCCAACGTCTCTTTTGACAACCCCGAAAATGGCAACCCTGGAGCCCTACAAGGGCAACTATTACCTATGGAAATATCTACCTTCTCTCGAGGGTGCAGCTATTTCTGCTGCCTTGTTTGGCATCGCCACCATAGCCCATACCTTGCGGCTCTCCAAAAACCGAAGCTGGTTTGCCATACCCTTTCCCATCGGCGGAATAAGTACGTATATGATACACACCCTTACTGATGGATGACTTACAACAGAGTGTTATAGTGGAAGTTATCGGATTTGCTACCCGAGGTGTCGCAAGAAAGAAAACCGGCCAACTGATGCCGTATGTCATTCAGAATACCCTAATTCTTCTGGCTCCCGTCCTTTTCGCGGCCTCGATTTATATGACGCTCGGTCGACTCATTCGCATGACCAATGGCGAGCGCCATTCTATCATTAGCTTAAAGTGGCTCACCAAAATCTTTGTAACTGGCGATGTCCTCTCGTTGATGGTCCAGGGAGGTGGCGCCGGTATGATGGTTATGGATGACTTTGCCAAGATGGCGGAGAAGATCGTGATAGGGGGGTTACTGATCCAGATCATCATCTTTGGGCTTTTCATCATCACCGTCACCATGTTCCACATTCGAATGCGTGGGGATCCGGTCAGCAAGCACACCTTGGCTGGCGGCTTCGACTGGGAGCCGACAATTTGGATGCTCTACATCGTTAGTGTGCTCGTCATGGGTCGTTCAATCTTTCGGGTGGCAGAATTTGTCATGGGTAACGATGGATATCTTCTTTCTCACGAATGGCCTCTCTACCTCTTTGACGCACTGCCGATGTTTGCGGTGATGGCTGTGTTTTGGCATTGGTGGCCGCTGACGTCTTCGCGTCGATCCAGTTGGACATCGCTCAGGAGTCTCAACAACCAAAGTCATACGAGACTTTAATATTAGACCAAAAGAGGGATAGATATCATCAGATGTATCGCGCAATTTGCTAGGAGCATTTATTCTCTCATTCTATTCAAGTCTTCGTCTATTCAAACAGAGTGGCATTCATCCGTTCCCAGGTGTGTCCTATGTAGTATCGAAGCACCAGATCCATAACCCTAAATCTCTTCAGTTCCGGAATTTTTATTTAGTGTTCATCAGATCCCTATATACCCTCCATATGCCCTTGCATGTGGGAAATGCCAAGGAACTTTGTCAGCATGCCCAGCATTTTACCAGACTAATTACCAGCTGGACTCCTACCTTCAGCTTCAGCTAACTTCTGAATCGGCCATGCGAGCCACGCATGCCACTCCTCGTCCAGGCTCTGGACCACTGATCTTATTATATACTGTCCCATATCGCGGACTACGCAGTACTCCCTTATGCTATCAAGCGTGACCCCGTAGTGTGCGAGAACAACAAGAGCTTCTGGCTGCTGCGTTTCCAACAGCTTGGAAAAAATCCTGAGTTACAAGTACCATCCAAGATAGAATAGCACGGACACGCCGTGACGTATCTGAACGTGAGATATTGATCACTCTTTGAAGTGAGCTAATTGCTTGCCGTAGCACATCAGATAGGCCGCTCTGGTTAGAAACGATGGTATCAAGAAGCGTGAATAGGTCATGAAAATCATTGCCCTTATCAAGGCCATCCATTCGACCGCATTCCTCAACACTTTGCGGTTGAAAAGCTCCGATAGCCTTCACAGAGGTTGCATCAAGGTGTGGCAACAGTTGAGGCTCGACGGACGGCCAATATCCGGACGTGATGGCATGGATCCTTCTATGGAGGCCTAGGTACCCTCCAAAAGGCGCCAAAAATGCTGCAAGGTCACCTCTGACCGACGAGAGCTCCGAGAGGGCCTGATGGCTCAGGAAGACGGAGAAGAAAAAGATTGAAACCCAATCTCGACCACCTTTGGTGCTTGGGTCGATGGTGTTGAAATGGTTCAAGGCACGGATCTACCAAACCGTGGCATCTCTGCGGTAGAACTGATTGTCGCTTCTAGCTGAGCCGAGATGTGCTGCCGAGATAGCAAGGAGTTGGTTGAGCAAGTAGGGAGCTTCTAGGGCATGCTTGGAAGCCGATCTCAGGAGTTTCTCTGCCGAGGGATGCTAGTTCAGCATACACTCGGCAAAGCCATCTCCAACATGGTGGAAGAGGGCAATATCTTGGACGGTGAAGATCGGGTTTTGACTCGAAAGAGACGCTACCGCAGTGGAGATTGGAGAGATACGTGTTTGAGCCAGGGGAGGGTGTAGTTGAGGAAGTGCACTTATCCGAGCAACCAGGCCAAGATACGAGCAATGGCGACGAGTAGTAGTGCAGTTGATGCAGGAAGGAGTCGTCTCGTCACACTTGATATGTTGCGACAACCAGTCCGTGATTTGCGGGCATTCACTGGTGGTATCGCGTTCGAGGGGCTCAGGTTCTGATGATGTAAAAGAAGAGGTTGGTTGAGACAAGAGGTGGCGGGGATCACAAAGGAAATTCTAATTATAAAGATGGACATGCAGACACGCCAAAGCCACAGAGAGAACCTATCTAATAATCCCCTTCTACCTAATATCTCCCACCTAATGTAGATCAACACAGTGAAGCAACGCCAAAACCCCTCTACTTCTGAAGAGAGTAGTTCAGCCCCACGTCATCTGAACTGCTCGAAAGCCCAACATCAAGCTGGCTGGGAAATCTCCAAGCAAAGATGACGGTAACAATCCACATCAGCAAAGCGTCAAAGACGTACAACGTCCACTCGTGGGAGAGAGCATAGCCTGTGTAGCCCTGGGCATACTCTATGACTCGAAAGATGGATCGGATCATGATGAGAATGCTGACGCCGTAGAGCATGTACAGAGTCGACTCCCATGGAACAAGGCTTCCAATTGACGCTGCCGTGGGAGTGCGCTTCATTCTCCTGTGAAAGACAACAGCCACGACGCAAAACAGTCCGAAAGCGATGATCTGGATCAAAAGGCCAATAATGACGATTCTCTCAGCCCACTTGGCGAGGCTTTGGCTCTGCACGACGGACATTCCTGCGCCGCCGCCTTGAACCATGAAAGAGAAGACGTCGCCAAAGACAAAGATCTTTGTTAGCTTAGACGGCTTGATCATGGAGTGTCTTTCGGCTCGTATGCTCCTGATGATTCTACCGAGTGTCATGTAGATGCTCGCGGCGAAGAGGGCTGGGGCGACCAAGATGAACATGTTTTGGATGCAGAAGGGCATAAGCCGCCCGGTCTTGTTGCGAGCACCGGCGCGAACACCATATCCGACCATTTCCACTATCATCAGTTAGTATCGACACTTGGTGGATAGAGTATCTCGGCCAAACTCACTGAAGCATCCCACAGCAAAGACGATGCAAAAATTGGCACGTGTCCTCCAAATCTTCCAAGATGTGTAAAGGAATGAGCCCATAAAGAGCACGAGGAATATGGCGGCAGCTGCCACGCTGGGGACATATCGCCAAAGGTAGATGCCACCTTTCGTAGGCTCGACCCCGGGAACGGGTTCCATAAGACCTTCTGTAGACATTGTAGGATCGGATCGGTTCGGGGCTCGATTCTCGTGGCTATATATTGTCGAGGGTTGGGAACGACTTGAGGCTGAAAAATGAGAGGCAGATGTTTGTCGTAGCCTTTCGGCGAGGGAGGAAGGTATGGCGCTTGTGGAGGAAATCGAGCCAGAGAGAAGGCTGTTATTCGATCTGCGAAGCACGAATTGGTGAGTCTGAGTGAATACCAAATTGAAGGCATCTGGTGCACACAAGTAGGATATATAGATACTGGAGATGAAAGATCTATGTCCCAACTCAATCTGAGGACGCGTAAACACATTCTGCACGAGTCTCAAAGCCCCTGATAATCCTCCTCATGCTTCGCAATTCTCCCGCTTTTGCATGTCGAGGGAATACGAATACCAGTATCCGTATTCACACAAAACACAGCCACCAATCATATCCCGGTCTAGTCAATGCCAAGGCTGACAGCTAGACTAAATATGGAATGGCTCAGGGTGATGGAGGCTAGTGCACGTGCCAGGGGCCTAGGCTGGGTCGAGAAATACGAGTATTCCCCTTCATCTTTGATCTTGCTTGATCTTGATGTCCTCCTCGTATTTTTCTCCCTCCATTGCCGTGCCTCTTTCTTTCCTCGTTCACTGAACTACTACTGCATCGATTGCCTGCCATGGCTCGCCAGAAAAAGAAAGCCGCTGATAGGTCAGAGTCAGTCAAGCCCCGTCGGGCGCATCGCAAGTCGCGCAATGGCTGCACAGTCTGCAAGCAAAGACACATGAAGTGTGATGAGTCCAGGCCGATCTGTCTGAACTGCAAAATATCGAATCGCCAATGCGCATATGCCGCTTCTGACTTGTCGCCATCCCCGCAAGAAACAAGTCCTGATACCCAGACGTCTCCGGCCAGCTGTGATCCTGCATATGGGACCCCTAACAGCGACACCCCTGGTCTCGTTCCCCCGACTCTTCTCTCGGCCATCACCCCAACGTCGAATCCCACCAGTGATAGATCCTTTGAGGGCATTACAAGCACTTACAACGCTACATTGGAAAGGGGTGACTTGTTTACTCTCGACCACCTAGCTCTCCTACACCACATCGAAACAAGCATTCCCGACATGATGTTGGGCGACTCTTTCGGCCACACCCTTGTCAACGACATCATGGAATACGCCTTGACATGCCCATATCTCATGAACCAAGTCCTCGCCATCGGGGCTCTCCACCTCAGCAAAAGCGATACAACCCAAGTAAGGCATCTTCAACAAGCCACCGCCCTCCAGACTAGAGCGGTAGCATTGTTCAACGAGGCGAGAGACGAAATCTCGGAAGAAACATGTGTGCCCATGTTTCTCTTTTCATCCTTGCTTGGAGTCCATGTCCTCTGCGATACCCTTCAGGGCCCACGAGAGCACCTGGGCGCCGTCCTCGATAGATTTGTCAGATACTTGTCTATACAACGAGGTGTCCGAGCAGTGACAGGACAGTCATGGAGTATGATTAAGAGATCAGGAATCGGAGACTTTCTGCAACGCATCGAGGATGCCATCCCGCCTGGGGGCCACTCAACAAGAGAGACGGAGCCATTGTCTAGGATGATTGACGAGTCTGGTCTTGGTTCAGCATCTGTTCATGCGTATCGGGAAACCATATCCATGTTACAACAAGCGTTTTCTATTCATCACAGCTTACGGTTGCGAGGCCGACGGTTTGATGCTGCGCTCATGTTTTGCGCCACGTTGAACGAAGAGTATATCGATCTTCTGAGCCAGCGCCAGCCAGAAGCACTCGTTATTTTGGCATTTTACGCAGTTCTGTTGCACTGGAATAGAGACGTGTGGGTCCTTGGTGATGGTGGAGAGTACTTGATCAAAGCCATCGCAGCTCATCTGGGGGCACATTGGGCATCTTGGCTGCATTGGCCAGTTTCAGTTTTGGAAAACTCTTCAGGTTTAGATACTTAGCTAAGATTCGCTTGTTTCGCGTCAAACAATACAAGGCTTGCTTGCATCATAGGGAACTGAAAATGTGACTACTGACATTGCAGTCCTCTGATAGTCATACTGGTTGATGAGGGCGTCGTGGCCTTGATCGTTGGCCATCACATCTTCGGCCAGCTCGGCTTCCTCTGTACCTACATCATCGACTAACGGGCTCACTACGTCGACTGCGAGCACCTCCTCTACCGAGACAACCACGAGCGCAACGTCAACTGACGAGTCTTCCACCTCAACTGAGACAACCTCTGTTCTCTCTACTACCAGCGCCACTGCCGACACCTCCACGACCGCGAGCATCTCGACAACAAGTGCGATTTCTTCTACAACCATATCAGTGTCAACTATTACCTCTGCCGCAACCTCGTCAACTTCAGCAGCACCTGAACCCATCGCTGCTTTCAACATCGTCGCAAGTGGTGCCAACCTCGATGGCGAACTTCTAAGCGCTTCTCGGGAGACTTCGGGCTACGCCATATTCAAACCCAACCCTCAACTCTCCTACCCCCGAACTGTCCAATTCTCAATCGAGCCTGACACGGGCTATCTCCGTACTGACAAGGGCCAGTACGTATGCATCGAGTACTATAGCGATAACTCCCCTGGCCCAATGGCCTACTGTGATACCCAAGGAGGCACCCTGGCCTACCTCGAGTGTGAGAAACCAGTTCAGGGCCAGCTTGTCTGCTCAGTATCGGCTCCCGTCTGTGTGCTGGAGTACGATGGTGAAGATTTTGTACCAGTTTGCACTCGTGGGACAAGTGGTGAGAGATGGAATCGGTTTTATACCACTATGGGTGGTTCGGGGTATTATGTTTACATCGGTGTGGAAGACGGCAATGGATACGCGCCCATGGAGTGGAGAGTAGACGAGGTCTAGATACGATATGGGATTGCCCTTGACTGCTGACTACATAGAGTTTTTCTTTATTGACTTTAATCTAGATACCAGTGCATAGTTGGCTTCTTTTTCTATAGGGATGTCAACATTATATTTCCAGTGTAGTTAATAGAACACTAGAGCCTTGTTTACGCTTCCCTATGGTCGCATATCGTATCTCGGGTTCTCAGTCAGGTTACATCGTTTGCCTACGGGCGGCACATGTGTCTGACCCCGTAGCAAAGAGCCGTCAATCTTTGATTGAACCACAAGCAGAGCCCTTAAACACGTTTAAGCCACAGCCTTGCAAACACATTTGATTGGAAAGTCGCAGAGGAAAAACGGGGGATGAAACCGGGTGATTGTGGGTGCGCGCGGACTCCGTGAAGTTGGGCAAGACACCAAACCCGAGCGGTTATAATTGCAGAGACTCGGGCTCCATGGCATTCCGAGAATCCGATTGGGGCCAGGGGAGTGAGGCAAGACTTTGGGGTAAATCCCTTGTCAAGACCTACATATATGTACAGGATGTTGCTCCGTCGCCATCCTTTGCGTTTCCATCATCATGCCGACTGCCATGTTGCGCCAGACATGCGTTAGAGGGCATCGAGTTGCTCCTGCTGCCTCTTCCATGCTGCCACGGACTGTTAGCACAAGTTCCAAGAAACCTCCAAGAGTTGAGATGGCCCTTCAATCCGAAAATCAGAAGCCGTCGTCCATCGCCGAGTACGCAGTGTAAGTGTTCTTCCAATCCACCTTGACGCAGCCAAAAAAAAACAAAAAACTCGTACCAACACAAACACGTCAACAGAGCCAGCCTCGATATTATCGCAAACTGGGCCAGACAGGGTTCCCTCTGGCCTATGACATTCGGCCTAGCCTGCTGCGCAGTCGAGATGATGCACATCGCCGGCCCACGATACGACCAAGACCGCTTCGGCTTCATGTTCCGGGCATCTCCGCGTCACGCCGACATTATGATAGTAGCTGGGACAGTGACCAACAAGATGGCCCCGGCTTTGCGGCAGGTGTACGACCAGATGGCTGACCCTCGGTGGGTGATCAGCATGGGCAGCTGCGCCAACGGGGGTGGGTATTATCATTACAGCTATTCTGTGGTTCGGGGGGTTGATAGGATTGTCCCTGTTGATATTTACGTGCCTGGATGCCCTCCTACTTGCGAGGCCTTGATATATGGAATGTTTCAACTGCAGAGGAAGATTCGCCGGACCAAGACGTCTAGGATGTGGTATCGGAAGTAGCACATAGCTAGCAATTATTCACTCATTGCACCCATACCCTCAAGGACCCAAATGTGAAATTCACTCTAAACATTCAGAATACAGTACACTTGTTAGTCATAAGACAGTGAGCGTTGATGTCCCCTTCGTCATCCTAGTCAGCCACCACTCCACGAACTGCCAGCCCCCTAGTCGAGTAGTCCCTCTCGCATAGAATACGCGCTTTCGTATACGAAGCCGCGCATTCACCACGAAAATGTGACCCGGATCCGCGCTCCGAACCTGCAAAACGAACCCGCCATACTCTCAGCTAACGCGACGCTTGTCAACTATATCCCTAGAGTCGGAATGGGTTGCCTATGTTGACAATGAAAATTATCTCTAAATTTGAGGTGAAAACTCATGCAAATAAATTCAAGAAATTCTCCCTTCTTTCAACGTTCATCACTCTCATTAATTCCTCTGTCATCATGTTCAAGATCCTTACAGCTCTTTTACATCCCCCGAAACCGTCTGCCCTTGGCCTCGATGGACTTACGGTTCTGCTCGTTGGAACATCGACGGGTATCGGACTCGGGGCAGCCAAGAAACTGGCCACAAAGGGTCCAGCCAAGTTGATCATCACCGCTCGAGATGCCAGCAAAGCATCCAAGACCAAGGCTCTCATCGAGGAGCATCTCGCGGCTACCTCTACCGCCCAATCATCGACAGCGACAATCATCTCTCTCACCGTAAAATTGACATCTCCAAAGTCCATGTATGTCTTTGCTGGCGACCTTGCCCAAGCGACCGACCATCTCGACCACGCGATCCTGAGCGCCGGCATTCTGTTGGGCTCCTACAGCGAAATTTCCGAGACGGGCTACGAGACAAGTTTCCAAGTCAACGCCATCTCGCCGATGCTCATGTCGCTGCTCATCATGCCCTCACTTCTTGCTTCCTCTCGGATCCACAACGAATCGGCTGCCGATAGACCTCGCCTGACGATCGTCAGCTCAGGGGGGGCGTGGTTAGTGAGGAAGTCCAGCCTCTCGCCATATGTGGACTTTGACCATCCTCTCCGTGAGCTTTCAAAGCAGAAGAATTTTCCCCCTGGAATGATGGGAGGGCAATGGCATTACTCGCGCACCAAGCTCATGTGCGAATACGGCAAACGACGCAAAAGGCTAGCCAAAGGTCCTAATAGCATCTGTCTGCCCAGGCGCCGTGAACTCGGAGCTATCGCGACACTCTGCTAACAGCGGTGTACTAGGTGCCATGGCCCGAGTTGTCAATGGCACCGTAGCGCGGACGCCTGGGCAGGGCGCAAACATTTACATTTCGAGTTTGACCTTGGGGGTCGAGGGACGGGGAGAGATGTGGACTGACGACGCCATCTCCAAGGATGCGCGCCCATTTGTTGCGCCTGATGAGCTAAAGCGGTTGGGCCATCATGTATGGGGGGAGATTAAGGATTTTGCCAGCAAGGCAGATGAGGTGCATGGATCTAGTGTTGTAAAGCGGCTGTTGGCATAGCGCGCTCTTTCGTACCTTTACTTTGGCTGGAGTATTTTGAAGATGTATATATAGAGTCCTTAATTCAACAACAACAATGGAGTTTGGTTCAATTTTAAATCACTACCGTTTTATGAGCAGGGTAGGGGGACTTCCAACGCCGCGGAATAGGCAACTTTTTCCACACATTGGCTTTCTAGTGCAAGGTGCTTCCTTGCAAGCGATTTCGGGACTCCCTCTGTGCTTAATAGTTTTAGGGGATTTCAGCCTTGTCTTTGTTTACTGTGCCACAAGGCAGAATATTGCTGTTCTTAGCTCGCGCTTTGATCCTTATCATATCAGCCTCCGTCAGCTCCAGCAAATAAGAAGGCGTTTTATGGAATAGCTTCATGCACGGTATTCCACGTGACTAGTCACTCTAGCTCACGACCTCTGCTGCCTAAAATCACTCGTTTGTTTCGATAACACGTCTCGGCCAAGTTCAAGGAGCGCCGTCGCAGCCCTATCGCCTCTCACCATGGGCCTCTTTAGTCGTTTATTAGGCAAGAAAGACGCCGCTGCCAGTGGCTCATCAGACTCTACCGCCCCCAAATCCTACGAATATGACGGCCCCAAGATCCCGCAAAAGCCTCTTACGCCGCGTGAGATTGAGGAGATGCACGCTAAACTCTTCCCTGCGAAACACGAACCTGTAGAGCCGGAGCCTTGGTGGCCTCTATACGACCCTGAAAGTGGAAAGCCCCTCTACGATGTATCTCTGGAAGACAAGTTCTCTGCGACTCCAACGGATCAACCCCAGTCACCGCTATTCCGTCTGCCGCCAGAAGTTCGCACCCAGATATGGAGCTACGCCATGGGTAGCCAGAAGCTATACCTCACCACCAAGAAGGAGCGTCTAGTGCAGGCAGAGAAAATGAATGAGTTCAACTGGTGGCCGAAGCGCGTACTGCTGGACGTTCCGATGATTTGCAGAGCAGCGTAAGAAATAACAGTCCTATCCAGTCGGTGAACACTATTCTAATAACCACAAGCTACCTCGAGTCCATCTCATGCCTCTACTCAAACAACACATTCTGCGTTGGCTTTGGCTCCAATGACAACAAGGCACCCCTCACCTCGATAGACACATTCCTGCCCCCACAACACGTCGCGGCCATACAGCATCTCGAGGTCGGTTGGCACTTTATCCGCGGCTATACCCAGTACTATGACAGTCACCCGCAAGCCTGGGACCCCTCTATTGTCATCTGCTCGCCTGACAGCGATCAAGTGTGGATCGAGTTTTGCGCAAAGATGGCACAGCTATCGAACTTGAAGACGTTGAAGATTGTTGTATGGACTTCTGGAGACCGGAGAGCAGAGTTCAAGGGATTGGAGAAGGATACTTTGGCGCCACTGCAGCAAATGAAGCATCTTAAGGATTTCAGCATCTTTCTGCCATGGCCGCAGGATGACAAGACCTTGTGGCAGGACGCGCAGTTTAGTATTTCGAGAAGATTTGAGGATAGAAGGACGTATGGTGTAAGCATTCCCAAGTATTAAAAACACAAATAGACATATGATGCAGTTTTCGTGCCAACTACCTATACCAACTTGAACACCCTGACGTCAATACCAGCTTCGTGGAGCATTTCTGGTGTGACGCTTCTGAGCCAGGAGTCATCGCCATCACTCCTGTCACAATCGCTACCTCTATCGCTAATGGCCATGTGCTCCTTACTTTCCTCGGCCTGATTTCTGTAGTTGTTGTCCCTTGCTTCATATGAAACACCATGGAGCCACTCCATCCTACTTCGAAGGGCAGCGACGCTGGAATCCTTCATCGAGCGCTGTGGAAGTCCACCCAGGATGGCCTCACCATCCATAAAGCCAGAAACATAGCACTGTCCTACAACTTCATATGCCCCAGATTCATCTAGGCGCAGAGCCAAGGGCGCATCGCAGCCTAGCAAAACGGCGATGACGTCTCCAGGTTGACTCCCAGCAGGACAGAGGCCTAGGTGCCCATGGTCGGTCCAAAAAAGTGATCGACCGTGGCAGTGTCGGGGAATATGATACTCCAAGGCCGTAGGGGGGTTGTTGAACTGGTTCTCGGCATTCTCAACAAGGGCCTCAACGTATAGCATTGTTGTCTCAAGGACTGGAAAGTCGCTGTCGAGCTCGGGCGTGTTGAAGTCACCACAGCAAATGGTGTCGCAAAACGCCTCCAGGAGACTTTTGCCGTTGACATAGGAGCCCGTTGTCTTTGTCTTGGCGAGCCGCTGTAGCTCGACATTGAAGTTTGAGCGGTCACGGTGGAACCTAGTCTTGTTTAGAGACTCGATGCGTGAGATTATTAGGCCTGTCGCCTTTAAAGTGCTGTCTCCGACACATTCGGCGTCTGACAGCACAAGAGAACTACTCTTTGCCTTAGCTAGGACCCTTGTGCAGAATGGATTTGACCAGTCTGGAACCCAAGATGGCCAGCCTGAAGGACGAGTTGAAATGTCACAATGAGCAAGTATCGATAGGTCTCCCATCTCGAGGTCGACAAGGACAACCTGCCGATAGAGTTCCAGAGTGGACATGCTGTAGTCGACCTTGATCTTGTCGCGATATATCGATTCGGTCAAGTTGAGGTTTGCGTAGATCCTATCCTTGGGGTCGAGGCATCGTGATGGTCTGGCCTGGTAGAGTCGGGAGAACAACCGAGAACTTGGTTTCCCTGACATTGGAAGAATAGCACGGCGTGTTTCTTCTAGCACCACCGCCGTCTCCCCTAGGTGCTCGACATAAGGCTGTGTACGTAGCTGACGCAACACTTCACGGAAATGTTGCCACGGCATCGCTATATGGCCACACATGACGACAGAGTCGCCGTTTGCCAGTCCTATTTCTTGTCGAATCCAAACCCTCTTGAACCAGGGTCGTAGAAGGAGGAAGTGTAAGGCATGCATCGCCCGAGATTTGTATGCCTCGGACTCCAAGTATTGAATCCAGCCATCGGGCTCCCGTTGCATTCGAGCGCCAACGTCTTGCACCAAACTCATGATGAAGTCACTGTCGTTTTCGGCCTCGCCGAGCCAAACCACCACGCGGCTCGCCAATCTATACACATTGCCCATGTTTCGAACTTGGTTGCTTCTTTCGGCAATGTCTTCTTGATTGATGCAGAGGGCGTCAATCCACATTGTCCGAGGCTTGTCAGCTCGTCGGAGATGCTGTAGTGCGACAAAGAGTTTTTGTCCAACCATCAAGGTCGACTGGTAAGGATCGTCGCTGTAGGCAACCGAAACTGCAACTCCATCATCTGATGAGCCCCATACATAGGATAAGGCTTCGTAGATGGGCGGTGTCTCTTGTGCCATTATCGTGTGACGAATCTGAAGTGAGACGGGCTGCCTATCAGAGCCTGGAAGTATAGTAACCAGCCGGATAGGCTGGTCCCCTTCGCCCAAGCCCCGATACTGGAACTGAGGCATTGTGGTGAGGGAAGAGCGGTCGACGTGGTTTGAAGGTATTCAGGCGGCATAAGCTGAATGCGGGAGGAGTCATCCAAGGGCAATAGTTGATCCGAAGTGCTGCGCCTCAGTCGAGTAGTGTGCGGAACATGGCGCGGTCTAGCCCACATCAAAGAGCCAGACTGTTAAGCTGCGTGGTGAGGCAGAAATTATTATCTGTCTACTGCCTTGCCCTAATGCGTTTCATCCCTCAGCACTGCGAATACCATATTAGCAGTACTGGAGCATCCTTTACTTGATAGGCATGCGAGGAAATAGACGGTGTAAGTTGCCAAGCCTCGTCACACGCTATAGTAGAATGAAGATCAATCCCGCCTTGGCAAGAGGACTCTTCGATTCAGCTATACTGTAGGAATAATATCCTTATCGCACCCATAAATGCCTTATCCATAGAATAAGGTTCGTGCCAAACAGTATGTGAAACACACTCTCCTTGCCAACACTCAACTCGAGATCGGCGACATAGTTCCGATAATAATAGAGGCACATTCCCAAACATCTGCAGGGCCCATAATCAACTCCATCACTCGTTCACGATAGGTCCATCAACTGCTGCCGAATACGATATCCGACCCCTTGGCACTAATTTAGTGAATGCGGGGAGCGGAGAAAAGCCCTGGACTAAAAAGACGGATATGAAAATATCCACGAGATATCCGTCGAAGGAAATACAACCTCACCCCACTAATGGCCTTTTCCCCTAGTCATGACCCGTGCCGACACCATCTGCCGACCTCTTTACCCCAGAAACCGTGGATTCCGCGGGGATAAGTTTGTAGATCTTTGCGGGGTTTGATCAAAAGATGGAGACTTGACGACGGGGAGGCCGAGGTCACTCCTACCGAGTTTATTAAGTCGGTGTACTTTTATCCGTCTATAAGTTTCAGCCTTGGGAACCCTTCCCCCTTATGATCTCTCACCTATCTGCATCTCTCTCTCAAACTCTAACGGCTGCAAGTCATCACCTTGGCCATGGCTTGGACACCGGCCCTCGTTTCGTTCCTCCTACTCGCCCTACCAAAGGTTGGGGCCTCCCCGAGTCAAAGCTCCTCCTACACTAATGGCTGCGCTGGCTTGAAAGAGAAAGTACAACTTCCCAATGCCACGGTTCATCTCTCTGAGCTTGTCAAAGCCGGCACAAATTTGACTTTTCCCAACTACGACCCGACTTGCACTCTCACGTCTCAAGTCGTCAAGTCAGACATATGCCGCCTTTCATTCGATGTTGCCACCAGCTCAGATAGCAGTGTTCGCTTTGAAGCTTGGCTTCCTTTGGACTGGAGTGGTCGCTTCCTGGGCGTTGGTAACGGAGGATTGGGAGGCTGCTTCAAGTATGACGATCTCAACTACGGCTCTTCCCATGGATTTGCGACCATTGGCACAAACAACGGCCATGATGGAAACCAGGGGAAACCTTTCTACAAGCATCCAGGAGTCGTCGAAGATTACGCGTATCGTGCCATTCACCTAGAGGCAGTCCTCGGCAAGAAGATCGTTCAAACCTTTTACGGCACTCGACACAAGAAGTCCTACTACTTAGGCTGCTCGACAGGCGGAAGGCAAGGTTTCAAGGAGGCCCAAGAGTTCCCGGAAGACTTCGACGGCATCGTTGCAGGTGCGCCTGCTTTTGACATGACGGCCCTATTTTTCTGGACTGGTTACCTTCCCAAGGTCCTTGGAAAGCCAGGATCTCCAAGCTACCTTGGCGCCGCTGAGTGGAATGCTGTCTATGATGATATTCTTGAGCAGTGTGATGAGCTGGACGGTGTCAAGGATGGTGTCATCGAAGACCCTGATCTTTGCCAATACCGACCCGAGGCTCTCATCTGTGGAAAACGTAAGGGCAAGACCTGTCTGACGGGCGCGCAAGCTGCTGCTGTCAGAGATGTTCTCTCACCTGCGTACGGCCCAGAGGGAGAGCTCGTCTACCCAAGGCTACAGCCCGGTAGTAACGTCACCGACCGATTGGTGTCGAACCAGCCTTTTGGCTACCTTCTCGACTGGATGCGCTATGTTGTTCTCGAGAATCCTTCTTGGGATCCTTGGACTTTCAACGTCAACGACTGGGTTCAACTGTCTGAAAGGGACGACTACGGTGTCAAGACTTGGAACGGTGACCTGAGTCGAGTTCGCGACCGAGGAACCAAGATCATTCACTTCCACGGCCTTCAAGATCCTCTCATCAGCAGCGACAACTCGGCTCGGTACTACGATCACGTTAGTCGAACAATGGAACTGTCATCCAAGGAACTAGACGAGTTTTACCGGTATTTCCGCATCTCTGGCATGGCTCACTGCCGAGGAGGAACTGGCGCCAACAAGATTGGAAACAACCTGGATACACTCGACAAGTACGAGCCAGAGAGCAACGTGCTGGCAGCTATTGTGAACTGGGTCGAGAAGGGCAAGGCACCAGAGTCTGTTTTGGGTACGCAGTATGCGTTGACGGGGAGCAAGGAGAAGATTGCTTCAAGAAGGCACTGTCGATGGCCACGACGCAATGTGTATATTGGAGGTGATTCGACGTCTCCCAGGAGCTGGCGGTGTGAGTAAGTGTTGGTCTACGAGTGTGCAGAGTTGAGCTGGTTGGGCCTACGAGGTTCGGCCAAATTGTTTATATGGAGATGCTCTTACGATTCATGTATATCATTTCAATGACACCACGTACATCATCAAACGTCAGCTCAAGAAACATATGCCTGCAGCAATGTGACCTTTACCGGTATCTGCCTTCTATCGCTCTCCAGAAGGCAACCACCGAGACATAGTACACTCTAACCCCTATATCCCACTTATCGTCATACGTCGAGTCATTCCTCAAGACTACCCTCTTCGAATCTCCCAAAATCCTCTCGAGGATCATAACCGCCCCAACACTCCTCCCACTGATTTCTCAGCAACTCAGCACCTCCAGTCCTCTCCAATGTCGCCTCATCCCAGAATACATAGCCCCAGCATCGCATTTCATCAGGGATATGCAAGCCGTAGAGATTACTATATGTATCTCCCCAAATCATCGTCCAAGCTCGCGGTGGCCGATTCAGCTCGTCTCGAACAAACACCAACGGGACTCTATCGGCTTCCATTTTATCCCTGATGGATGGTTGTTCCTGCCGCCGTATAATCTGCTGTGTTTCGCCAAACATTCCAACCATTCCATTAATCGGGATATATGAGCTTTGGATTTGCTTTTGCATAGTCGATACGAGATGTTTGTGCTCCTTGATTTGAAAGAGAACCGTGTGCAGAAAGGTGAGGCCGCGTATGGCTGTCCCTTCTAGAAGATTATCACGCACAACTATTGTACTGTCAATATCGATGCCACATTATTGTGGTTCATGAGAAACTTACAACCACTGTCCAGGTCGAAAGCGCCGTCTGGTGTCGGAGGTCGCCCTTGGTCGTCGAACTTGGGGTTGTCAGGATGTAGGTCCCAGTAAATTTCGGTAAAGACTTTGTCGTAAACGTCGAGGGCGAACTGGTAGAAAGTGAATAGCTCCTCAACCTCCCATGGCTCCATGATGTTGAAGAGAGCCTGCAGGTTTTCTTCTGTGGACGACCTTAAAGTCCTGTCGGGGCTGGTGAGTTGACAGAGTAATTGGAAACGGTATGCAGCTCGCGTCAATCGCATCATCTCTGTTTGAGAAGGTCGAATCCTTTGCTGGTCGCCATGATTCTTCTCTGCATTCTTGGCCAGATTATCCAACATCCGGCGAGCGCACTCTTCCACAACGGGCTTGACTGAACGTATATAAAAGCCAGCTATGGTCGACGCTACACCTTCGGTGAGGTCGTTGATAATTGGGACCGTACGATGCGAGTATTTCTCTGAATACCACTCGAAGAAGTCCGCGGTATTTCGTGGAGCGGATAAGCGATGAACAGCATAAGCCTCCACGGTCAAACAACCAATGGTCGTCTCAAGGCTTTTGCAGAGAATGTACCTCCGGTCGACAAGGTATTGCTGGTGAAAGGTCGGAGAGGCGTGGACCAGTGCGCTGAGGTGTGAAAGATCCAGTGTCGAAAGGATATAACGTCGGACCTCTGGGGGAAGACATTCAAGCCTACAGTTATCAGCCTGCTCGACTTCCTTTGGCCTGGAGGCTATTCCTGATTCCGCTGCTGTTGGGGCTGCCCGTTCCCCTACGTTTCTTGACTCATGAGATATTTCGACACGGCGTGTGAGCTTTTCAGTTAGCCGTTTCATCTTGCAGCGGTGTGTCACGAGGTAGAATAAGTACAAGTGACGGGCTGTCTCTGTAGTTGTGAGGAGTCAGACGAAGACTCAACAGGGGATGGTGTGGGGGCAGCCAAGGCAAGGTCACGTGTGCGCCCTCATTGTGTTCAAGTTTGCCCAGGTAGCCGGTGACAACTGGCGTATAGCAGGTGCCTGTATGATATGGCATGGTTTATTCTTGGCCTCTCCTTTCCTCCGAAGTGTTTTAAATGAGTCCAAATTTTCAGATTAGCATTTAAAGCAAAGACCGCCTTACCCAAGTTCGAGGGTTGGGAAAGACAAGCTGGTAATACTCCAGTATCTTTGGCAAACTTGGAAGATATTTGCAAGGATATTGTTTTTACTACTATAGAGAAATTTCAATCTATTAAGAGGTTGGCAATGCCAATTCGCCATGGTTAGCCTACTGGGGTATAGAATTGACGTTGGTTCACTAATTCTAACTTTGACCAAAATAGCTTCCACTTCCAATTTGCTCCGCGTGTGGTCTAACATAGTATCTTTGTGCATAAAAATTGTCCATGAAACAATAATTCGTCAGACAGCCACTTCAGAACCAAATTCTTCCTTAGTGCGCAACTATTAAACCGGGCTTATAATGCAGTCGTCCGTCATGACTCAATAACTACTGCTTACGCGTGACGTCAGTGTCTAACATGTCTCAAGTCTTTGAACGCTCTGACAATACCCAATTTCTCTTTTTCTTGGCGGGGATCCCCGTTCGAGACTTGATCGACTTTTCCTCGGCATATTTCCTTCATCATGGCGACAGAGTATATCGATGGACCAAAACCGGAGCAATTCCCGTTCGAATTCCTCCTCCGCCATGTCGACGATGAACCCACCATTGCCGACTATCGGTTCTTCCAGCAGGCTGCCACTGGCATCATTGAGACCGCTTTGGGCTTTGCAGTTCTTGGCGAGGTCGAAGGTGCTACCAAGCTCCTTGAAACTCTGAAGAATCGAGGTATCGATCCCTTTGACGTCTTGGGTCCCGAATATCCGTTCCTCAAACCATGCATGTACTTTGCATGGGAAGCAACCTCTTCATGGCCTTCATGGATACCCGACGAAGAACGTACCGAAAAAAGACTTGAGGAACTGGAGGCTGAGGGACGAACCCCATGGCTTGAGAGGTTCAGCGAAGAATGGCAAGTCTCAGAAGAGACAGCCAAGAAAGCACTGGACATGGCGTATCTAGGGATTGCCACAGTTCTGCCTGACTACAACGGCACGTTGGCTGGACAAGTTGCCCAGGTAGAAATCATGTGGAAGAATGGAGAGTTTTCTTCGGCTGCGAACCCCAACAGACCCATGACAGTCCGTTACTCCAAACTGGCCATGTGGTGGCGCCAAGGCATCTATCCTTATCCGTACGTCCAGGTGTACCGTACGGCCGGGTTCATGATTGCTCTAGACATCTACCTGCGGGTGGGGAAGGAGGAAGAGGTTCAGACTACGTTCTGGAGGATCTGTGAGAGGTTTCAGTATGAGGAACAAGTTGAGCAACTGGCGTGCTCACGCATGGCTTGGAAGAAACTCTTGACAGCGCCCAGCCGACCTATTCTCGATCTCCTGCAAATCCATCCGGCGAAACTCAGGCCAGCAGTTATTCGAGCCCTGCATATGGCTGAGCATCGTTTGGAGCATGGGCCAAAGCGTCGATACAAAGGCGAGACCATTGAGAAACTGGCTCACGCCGTCAGTGCAAACACATTTCACAACTGTCCATACGACGTACTCGCAGCGTACCGCCCGCCAGAGAAGCCTCGTGCTCGACCTGAAGATGCCAATGGTCTTTTACGGCCACCTTGTTCTCCATCAGAAATTACAGACCTGGAGAAACGACTTGAAGTGACGCTTCCCCAGGACTACAAGGAGTTCCTCAGCGTCACCAATGGGTTGGGGTCTATGTGGAACGGCCAGAATCTAGTCGATTACTTGGTCAAAGCCGATGATGTATGCTGGCAGGACATTGACTTCCTCGAAGGGAACCTGATTCCTTTGCTGCGCGACAACGACCCATCGCCTTGGACTGACAACAGATTAGACTGGCCTGAAGTTGGGGATTTTCGGGCCATATGTCTTTCAGGCGACCAAAACAGCGAGGAGTCAAACGGCCACCTCTTTCTCTTGCCCCCAGAGATGGTCCAAGAGCGCAAGGACTACTTCTTCAAGGAGTATGAGAAGAGGAACGATTCCCAGCGACGTGAATTGGACCGTGTGGTGGAGGAGACTTATGGAAGCATGGAAAGGTTTCGGAACTTGGAGTACGCGCTCATCAGTTGGACACCGTGGGATATTGAGTTTTATCCATACGATGGTATCAGAGATCTCCTTGAGCGCATGGCTGAAGCTGCGTTGCACAACGATAGGCCTTGGTTGAACATTTTCGAGCCAAGATTTCGCCGGCTTGGGTGAGGAACCGGATGAGGAGAAAAAGTTTCAGATGATTGGATGTTTAAGTATTTCATTAGGCAAATGGGAGGAATCTGACCAAATGGTGGTGTCGCTATGTCGCATGATGTTGTTCTTGCCGCCTATCTTCTCTATCTTTGCTCTCGCGCCCGGCTCTCTATTTCCCAGTCTATTAACCAACAACTTGTCTCCCAACTGACAACCGTCCCATTCACCAATCGAATTGGTCATGTGGCTGGCCTACGTTACTGTGTTAGTTCAGAGGCGTCCTAAATCCACATGCTTGAGTTTCCACGGAGGTAGGCCAAGAAATGAGTAAGACGCGAGAACAGTAAAGAAAATATGACTGTTTGTAAAGCTTAGAACTGACTCAATTTAAAATAGGTAGTATTACAAGCTACCTAAACATTTAATCTCGTTTTTCTTATCCGCTTGTGATTCTTCTCATACCTAAGGAAGAGTGAGTTAATATGCATCTTCGTCCCGGTGTGTCGTTTTTCCTTGGTTCGCCTAGCTTCCCCAGAAGATGATCGACAGAGCGAAGTGGTCGAGACTGAGCAGAACACCGCGCGGCAATCGATAATCCCAGATGGCTTGGCAAAACTTGGTCGTTGGGCTGCTTTTTAGTCAGGGGTTCCTGTCTCATGGCGCTCAATAGTTTGGGCCTTAGCGTCGAACGAAGCAGGCTCAGTCCTCATTCTCGGAAACCTCAGCCCGATCCAGCCAGTGAAATTTCGACAAGATGTCTTTCAATTACCTCATTTAACTCCGAAATAGATAGGATCTTCAACTATTAAATCGTTTGGCGGGCATATATGGTCAGCAGTCAACCCATCCCCGCGTCCCCATGGTGGGGTTCTCTCAGACGTCAAGTGAGCAATCATGAAGGCATTTGGAGTTGTGACACTCCTTGTGACGCTCTCCCCAATGGGGGCGTATGCGGGCTTGTGTTGGCCAGGCTCAGTGCTGAGCTCTTCGACTACTGCTCACAGTGAATCCAGCACGTTGGTTACTGATTTGACGACCGTGTCTGCTTCTACCTTATCAGCGACGGCATCCACTGACTCCACGACATCTGGGGAATCGAGTGCCTCTACTACCGAGGCCGTCTCAACTTCTACCCTTTCTACCGCTACATCCAGCGAATCCGGTGCCTCAAGTACCGATTCCACGGCCCCAGCAACTTCTGTTATGTCAGCCACGACATCGAGCGAGTCCAGTGCCTCAGCTACCGATTCTACGACATCCGGCGAGTCTAGTTCCACGGCAACAGATTCTACCACTGCCTCAATTTCGATCCTGTCGACCACAACATCTGACGCTGCTACAACCACAACAAGCGCAGCACCCCAAGGAATCGAGGGGCCAGACGGTTGCTGCGGCTATCCGGGCTACTTTGATGGTCACGTCCTCGCGCTCAGTGGTCTCTCTGATGATCCTGATGATCTAACCGCTGAGGAATGCGCCGCAACGTGCACATCAGACCTCGACTGCACGTGGTACATCTATCACCAACTGAAAAATGGCAATTTCCAATGCAACACGTACGGCACGACGCCGGCGTTCGTTGTCGACGAGACAAAGTCAACCATCTACTATCCACGAGAATGCAAGACCTGCGCCGAGTCTCAACCACCCCCTCCTCATCAGCCTTCATGCATCGCCGATATTCCGTGCCGCGATGAGGGTACACTAGATGGGACGCAGGTGCAATTCTTGGGACTACGCTCAGTCTCGGCCACAGACAACTGCGGTGACGTGTGCGCTACAGTCCAGGACTGCACTCATGCGTCTCGCTTCTACGACATTACGTATGGTTGGCGGTGTTCTTTGACCCAAATGGGGTCTGACACCGTCTTTATCCCGGGCACTGAATTCTACCAGGTATGGTATTCGCGTGGCTGCAACCTAGACACGTGCAGAGATGGATAGCCGAAGGGTGTATTGTGTCATTTGAAAGGTGTCTATAATCATGTTGGTCATAGTAAAGCTGTTTAGTGACAAGGCACAATCTCGATTAGTCTAGTATTGAGTCAAGCTTGTTTCTTTGCCACCAGCCCATTCTTCTCTCTCAGTCCTGTTACATTGTAGATCATTCCCTTCTGCAGTAGCCGATAAGGTTGCAGTTTGCATAACCAGAGCTGAATTAGATGCCCCCAGTATGGCACCCTGGCGACTGCCCCAGTTCCAGCTGCTGAGTCGAGAATCATGCTTGCCATGTTGTCGGAGCTTGGTGTGAAAAGACTCGTTCCAACCTTGTGCCCATCACTATCTGTGTCACCGATGAGAGCAGAGATAACTTCCACGTGCTTTCCCTCTCCTTTCAACTCCGTATCGAGTGCTTTGCTGAAGGCGGTGATGTATCCTTTTGTGCCGCTGTATACAGACACCCATGGAAGGCCCAGCTCTGCCAAAGACCCAGAATTCATAACGAAACTCGGGCTGTTTGTGGTGGCATTTCTTTGAAGAGTGGGCAAGAGTGCGTATGTGAGGAACGTCATGAAGGAGATGTTGACTTGAATGAGCTGCGTGATTTGCGCTGGGGTCTGCTCGGTAAAGGTGATGAAGTCTTTGGTCGGATTGTGACCGATTCCAACATTGTTGACCAGGATTTTGAGGTTTAGATCGGTGATTGAGAATAAAGCATTCCATGCCTCTTGTCCAGTCTCGCCAGATGCTGTGAATGCTGTGGCAGCATCAAGCACAAGACCTCTGATGTCACGAGAGGGGTATTGCTCTCGAAGGTCCTTGATAAGAGCGTCTAATCGTACGGGATCACGTCCGTGAACAATGACATTAAGTCCACGCCGACATAACTCAACCGCCAAACTCCGGCCGATGCCTGACGTCGCTCCTGTCACGAGGGCGTAAGCCTTGTCGTGTCCTGCTGTTGGTGGGTGAGATAGCACGTTTCGTGGTTTTGACCCAGCGAGACCCATCTTCTGGAGACCTTCAAAAATGGGCAATCCCTTGGTTACAGCAAGAACCTCTTTTTAAGGGGGCATTGACGCTGGAACCTTGACTGGGCAGCGATATTTTGTGTCGTAGGTGGCTGGCAGCCAATGATCGATAAGATAAGAGACCACAACATGCACGAGATAACGTGATAACGACTGGAATGGTTGTCACGGAATAACGTATATCCGAAATCTCGACGCGTGGGAGCAACGCGTTTGCTTCGACCTCGATCACGTTCAAGGGGCCATATCCTACTCCTACGGAATGTTCCTCTGGGTGTCAACTTACGGCCTCTTGAGAATTTCCTAACTGCGAATCCTTCCCAAAGATGAAGTCTTGCCAATGCTAACATTTTCCCTCTAGCTAGTTGTATCGCCGCGTCCTTGCCTGTACTGCCCTCAGTCAAGACAAACCACGTCTCCCTGCCGAGAAGCCATCCAACAACCGTGATTTTAACATCCTCCCATGCCGCAACCCAACCCAACCTCCTCGACCCTTACAAATCCCATCCAAGGTTCTGGCTTCGGTTCTGGACCGCCGACGCGATCAAACAACACAGGGGACGACGCGACAGACTTCGTAATGCCGCCTGGGCTCGATGTTCCTCTCAACAATGGCAACCTTTCGTGTCTCATGCCTCGGTGTAAACACACAAGATGCATCGTGATGGGCAAGGGCCGCACGTGGTATATGGACACAAATGTCGCCCAAGTCTTGCTAGCTTGTCACAAGCCGCAGCAAAACAACAACGTCGGTCCAATTCCGAACTCGCTTGGGAGAGTAGATTTCGCCCCCTTCGCGAGCCTTTCGTCCGTAATTTCCATGCCATGTGATGCCCTCTTGCGCTATCAAGGCCTGTTACCCACTTGGCTTCATCACATGCTGGACCCATTGCTAACAAACTCATCCCCTGTCAATCTGCCATTGTGACCATTGACGTCATTGCCCCTTATCAATCTGGAGCCCCTTTTCCAACCCCCACTTCCCCATGTGCCCCAGAGCATTTGCTCCAACATTTCTCCTGCAGGACCAAAGTCTCGAATCAATTCAGAAGACCTTGACGCTATTTCTGTCCAGGGTTGAAGGGAGAATGTCAGTATCATTGGTCGGACAAATTTGACAGGATCCACCTTACTTTCTTGTCTGCCTAATCTGATCTGACGCTCACCACATCTCGCCATCGTCAGAATGTCAGACGTGACAGCTTCGTCCATATTCACACATCAATGATCCTTTAATAATTCCATCATGCCTGCAGAGTCAGCCATGGCCGCTGAAGACCCTGCCACGCTCATCGGCGACCCGGCCAACTCTTCTCCTTTGATCATCTGCTTCCACGGCTCGGGCGACTCATGCGCGTCCTGGATACCCCTGGCAGAGCTTCTTGGCACCAAATACCCAGTGCTCCTCTGGGATCGTCAGGATCCTTATATGAAACCCGAGTCACTTATAAACGGGATTATGCGGTACTTGGATCAAGCGAAGCTACCACCACCTTACGTGTTGGTGGCACATTCGTATGGTGGCATGTTTGTGCGGCTCTTCCTTCAACGAAAACACCGCGACGTGGCGGGAATTATACTCGTCGAGACAGGCCAAGAGGCCGAAACAGGCAAAGGAATCGAGGAGAAGCAATACAAGAACCAAATTCTGAGAAACAAGCCCCTTGTGGTGATTCGAGGGAACACGTTGATAGGGAAGTGGAAGCAATACGAAGAAGCCCTTGCTGCCGCTGAGGAAAAGACCAGTCCCGGCCTCATAGCACAGAAACAAATGCTGGACGCGGCAGATAAAGAGGATGAACGCCTGAAAAAGGCACAACTAGCACTGTCGCGATGTCATCGCTACATTCATATTCCAGACTGTGGACATGACGTTATCCAGCAAAGACCAGAGGAAGTGGTTAAGGAAGTCACCTGGGTGATGGAGCATCTTCAGCCAACGAATGAGCATTCAACTGTGGGGCTGAAAGCGTTGGTGTGGTTGAGAAGTCTGAAAGAGCGGCTCTTGAGTTGATGGAGAATGATGTACACTGAGAGGGAACAAGCAGTTTCGTTATCAAGGTTTCAGGTGGTTCTATATGCGTCAAAGATGGAAATTAATGACTAGATATATCTGGATAATTCTGAAATGTCTGCTTGAGGAGTACAGAATATTGCAGCTTCATGAGATGGTGATCTAAGCTTGAATGAGGTCGTCGTTTGATTCAAAGTATTTTTCTTTTGCACCACCCACCTACCTATTTGATGACCAACTAATGCCGGCAAAAAGAACAGAAATGCACACTGATACAATTGCTTCTATACACAACCTCAAAATATCGGTTACGGGTCGGCATCGCTTCAATGAGGCTCCTCGCGGCTGTCATGAGGCATCTTTAGGGTAGCTCCAACAACCGACCCGAGCTAAAAATGAGACCTCGGCAGTTGACGCGAATGCAACGAATGCATGATGATCCATACCAAAAGCGGAGAGACCAATCATATCTCGTCCCCGGATTTTAAAGTCCCCCACTTACCGCGGTCAGGTCATGAACCGAGGCTCAGTTCGTCCTTGGCTTCGGAGATAAGATCCGATATCGGTTCCGAGAGAGACGCTCAAATATTATGTCCCTTTAATCTTCCCCACGAAGTGATCAACAACTCAATCTCCAGAATCAACAACCTTTCACATCCTCGACATAATGCCTCCTCCTAATCCAGACTGGGTCAAGGCCCTTAAGCCTTCGGGTCCTCAGGGATCAGAGCTTCTCGAGCAGGAGCGCGCCAAGTCGGCCGTCAACGTGGACCAGCTAGCCGACTTTCTCTTCACAAAGGAGGTTCTGGAGCGTAACGCCAAGATTCTCAGCATTTTGGAGTCGGACCCCATCTTTGACAAGTCGCAAAACTATTTCCAGGGCCGAAAGGACAGAATTGAGGCTGCTCTCGCCAGAGGAAAGGCTTTGCAACGGCTTTCTGTCAAGCACAACTGGAGCCAGGATGAGTACCAAGCCGCCAATGACCTCATCAGCGAGCCCACTCCATATGGTCTCCACGCGTCCATGTTTTTGAAGACGCTCGAGGAACAGGGAACGCCGGCACAACACAAGCTCTTCCTTGAGCCTGCTCAACGATACGAGTACATTGGCTGCTATGCGCAGACTGAGCTTGGTCATGGATCCAATGTTCGTGGTCTGGAGACAACGGCCACGTGGAACCCCGAGGACAAGACCTTCACCATCCACTCACCTCATCTCACCGCTTCCAAGTGGTGGATTGGCTCCCTGGGCAAGGCTGCAAACCACGCCGTCGTCGTGGCCCAGCTGATCCTCAACGGCAAGGTGTGCGGCCCTCACCCATTCGTCGTTCCCATTCGAGATCTCAAGACCCACGAACCCCTGGAGAACATCCATGTCGGAGATATCGGCCCCAAGTTCGGTTACAACACCATGGACAACGGCTTCCTTCTCTTCAACCACGTCAAGGTCCCCCACATCAACATGCTCAGTCGCTTCTCGGGCGTCGACCCTGAGACGAGTAAGTACATCCGACCCGCCAACCCAGCGCTCGTCTACGGTACCTTGACCTTTGTCCGATCCTCCATCGTCCTTCAGTCTGGATCCGTCCTTGCCCGTGGTGTCACCATCGCTACGCGTTACTGCGCAGTTCGACGCCAATTCCAGGACCGCGATGCTGCTTCGGATGAGGTTGGCGAGAACCAGGTTCTCAACTACACCATGGTTCAGCAGCGTCTTCTGCCTCTGCTGGCCGCTTCTTATGCTCTGCATTTCACTGGCCGTGCTATGATCAAGCTCTACGAGGCAAACCAGAAGCGCATGGCCCAGAAGCTAAGTGCCAAGGACAACGCTGGCCGCGCTCCTGGCCCCGAGGAGCTCAACCCCGGTAGCGACCTCTTGGCTGATCTCCACGCCATTTCGTGCTCCCTGAAGGCTTTCGCGTCCACCACAGCTGCTGAAGGTCTCGAGGTCTGCCGTCGAGCCTGCGGTGGCCATGGCTACTCGGCCTTCTCCGGCATTGGCAGCTGGTATGCTGACTACCTCCCCACCGTCACATGGGAGGGCGACAACTACATGCTCACCCAGCAGGTTGCTCGCTACCTGCTCAAGTCTGCCCGCGCTGTCCTGTCGGGCAAGGCTGTTGATAACAGCATCACCCGTGTCTTTAAGGAGTACATCCGAAGACAAGATGTCGGCGCTGCCTTTGATGTCCTGGATAGCGACCAGGACCTCGTCAACGCCTTTGCCTGGCGAGTTGCCTTCTTGACCTTTGAGGCTCTCAAGCACCGGGACGAGGAGAAGCAGTCTTGGAACAGCCTCCTGATTGACTTCTGGCGTCTGTCTACTGCTTACGCCCAGTACCAGGTTGTCAAGTACTTCCACGAGGCCCTGCAAGATGAGGAGACCAAGTCTTCTCTTGATGCCAACACCCAAGAAGTTCTTCACAAGCTGTTCCAGCTCTTTGCTCTCCATCATCTCCAGAGCCACGCTTCCGAGTTCTTCACCAGCGCAGCCACCACCGTGCGTCAGATCCAGCTCTCCCGTACAAAGCGGACGCTGGCCCTCCTTGAAGAGGTTCGACCCCACGCCGTAAGGTTGGTCGACTCGTGGAAGTTCCCCGACTGGCAGCTCGACAGCTCGCTGGGTCGATACGACGGCAAGGTGTACGAGGACATGTTCCACAGAGCATCGGAGGTGAACCCTCTGAACGATGTGGTTTTCGATCCTTACCCTAATTCGCCGGTTCTATTCAGGAAGGATGGGACTGTGAAGTCCAAGCTGTAGGATTTGAAGTCTAGCCCGTTTGTTTTCGTTCTGTATCGCATAATCAGTACTGTTGATTAGATGTTAGCATTAGAAGTGACTAGAATGATTAGAGTCATAAGAATATAGTATTTTCATACCTACATCTTCCCAAATAGCTGCCCGTGCATATGCATCTGGCTTTATGGAATGAGATGACGCTTTGATGATGATGGTAAGTATCCTCATGACTCTCAAGGAAGACTTGCAGTTGTTTCCTCATCTTATTACTTTTAAGAATTAGATTTAGTGACTTGACATGTTCGAAGCTCAAGAGAATCGTATTGCTTCCTCTTTTACAAAAAGAAGGCTGACTGTTCGCAATCTACTTCACACAGAGAACCCCTTTTCCTAGTTGGGTATGGGATCATACACTGGACGGCACTGTCAGACGCCAATGTTACCTTGGTTCCCAGCAGATGCGAGTTGTTCCACGATTGGCTCTTTTGTAGGGAAACTCTGAAGTGGCTCTTCATGGTGAAATGAGCGGTGGTTGGAAAAGGCTAAATCACCCGCTGAGCAGCAACCCACCGCGCAAAAATATGGCCATTTGTCCAAAGTGGGTAATTATTAAACTACTCGGGTCATAGCCAACAGACAAGGCTGTTTCCACCTCTTGAGCTTTTATGGTCTAGATCAGGGCCGATGATGTGAGGCTCGGGTAATGAGAGTGCTCCAAACCCTTGACCACGTTCCATAGGCACCGGATACCATGCCGGAGACAGGTTTATCTGATTTTTTAATGGAGCAAAAGACAACGGCCCTGCATGACCAGCAAAGTCCTCTTTTAGCGCACCGTTGAAACTTGACGGCGTCGATCCAAGGACAGGGGCTGATCTTCACGTATCCACTCAACTTACTTTGCGTCTGAGAGAGCGCAAGATGAGTCCCAATGAGGAAATGACAGAGAATTTCGATTGAGCTTTGCTGGCAGATCAAAGTCGGACCTGGAAGACTAGCTGAAGGATTCAAGCTGAATGGATCCTGGCTTCAGTGCTAGGGCTGAGGGTCTGTATAAAGACTCGCGAGGTGGGCTGCCCACTAGCTCTGATCTCTAGCCTCTTCAAGCCAACTTCTCTACATTCGTTTGTCACCTTATTATTCCTCTCTAACCATGGCTCTCAAGTCTCTTTCCTTGCTAGGCCTCGCCCTAGGCTTGGTCTCTGCTGCACCAAACACCCGATCAGTCAAGCTCACCATCGAACACGAGGGCCCCCTCGACCCTTTCTTCGTCGTTGACTTTCCCGACCCCGGTGTCCTCCAGGCCGAAGATGGCACATGGGTCTCTGTCGCAACACAAGGCGAAGACAAGAAGATGCCATATGCTACCGCCGACGAAATCCTTGGCGACTGGAAGGTAGCGGGGGATCTCTGGCCCGGCAAAGGATGGACCAATAACGAGAACATCTGGGCTCCTGATCTGCGACGCCTAGACGATGGCTCGTACATCATCTACTTTGCCGGTCAACATGGCTCTTTGCCTGGCAACCCCCACTGCATCGGTGTCCTTCGCTCCGACAGCATCACTGGCCCCTACAAGCACGATGATGAGCCTTGGTTCTGTCCTCCTGAGGGCTGGAACAAGGTTATTGATGCGGCTGGCTTCAAGGATACAGATGGCAAGCGATACGTGGTCTACAAGCAGGAGGGCGACACGAGCGGTCCAACCGGCGGCAACCCCCTCTTCCTCCAAGAGGTTGAGAGTGACGGCAGGACTATGATCGGAGACGCTGTTCTCCTCCTTGACCGTATCGAGTCTGAGGATGGCATGTCGACAGAGGCCCCTAACATCGTGTTGCTAAAGAACGGAATGTACGTCCTATTCTACAGCACCGGTCACTTCGAGAACATCAACACCTACGACGTCAAGTACGCCTATGCAACCAAGGTGACGGGTCCCTACACCCGCGCCGAGGGATCTCTGATCAACGCTTCCATGTTTAGTCTCAAGGGCCCTGGCGGTGCGACGAGCAACGAGGCGGGAGACACGTTGTTGTTCCACGGCTGGTGTGTTGAGAAGTATAAGCGATGCTTGTATGGTGTTCCTTACAAGGTGTTTAACCCTTGCAGACCATAGCGGAGAGGCTACCGAGTCGTAGATGGCATATGATCCTATCGCTTGGGCGCTATTGTTCCATGCGTAACCTATTTCATGACTTGAGAAACCTTCGATTAGACATAGCTATTAATCAGACTTTTTTTGCCTAGCGCATACCTAGTGAGTCGTCAATATCAGACAGTTATTATTGTTTATTCATAGACTCTTCTTCACTAGCTCTGAGCTCCGAGACTAGGCCATTTTGAGTACAAAGGACTGCTACATTTCTGTAGGACCTTGCAGTAGCCGGATGAGTGGTCAAAGCCACTGCACATCATCGTGAATCACTGTTCATTGTAGGTGAGAAGGTGATGCTTCATCCGCTAGTTTGGCAGCTGCCACCAACCGCCAAAGTGGATGGAAGATGCTCCATGGGAGACAATAGAAACTGACAGTATCAGAAGACTCTATTAATGGTGCGTATGCTATTCTCAGACATGCAATATTGGTTTCAGCCACGGAAAGGGTCAATCAGAGCAAGACTTATCACAGCCCATCCCTATCTGGCCAGTAGAGTTTTGGACATGAGAAAGCGACCTACAGAGCCCCTATGCCAAAGAAATCTGTGAATAAGTCAAGGTTGCAGGTATAAATATGTTGCTGAGATCAGTCTTCTGGGCTCTCTCGATTCTACATCAAACATACCAATCCTATCAACCATATCAAAAACATCAAACGTCTCTGCAAAAGCTCATCAACTATTACAATACTCAACAACAATGTGCGTGCGATCTTTCACCAGGTGGACCTGCGCAGAATGCCGCCAATTCTTTAAACAGGAGCCGAAAGATACCATGTGCGCCGAGGCAGGCAAGAAGACGCCTCCAGCCATGGGTGCCTGTGGGAGGATCAGTGGGACAACCGTGTCCATCTATGATGTTTTCTGTCCTCCTTGTCAGAAGAAGGCTGACAAGTTGCTTGAAGAAGAGAGGAAGAAGCGTGCGGCTAAGTAGGTGGGAGTGGTCAGGATATGCCTAGCAATGGGTAATTCTATGATTGAACTTTAATATAGTTAACAACAACTGTAATTGCACACTCTGCGAAGCGCTTTGTTACTTTAATCAACGTGACTCAATTTGCTATGTCAAGGGCGGTGGACATGGCCTAGCTTTAGGTACCTATGTCACGAGTGTCAACTTGGTCGTAGGCAGCGAGAGTTGTCTTGACTCACTCTCGCTTAATGATTGAAACGCAGACTCATAAATCACCTTTATTTGACCAGTCCCCTTGAGCAGTAAAATATACATCATTACACGGGTGTAGTGGGATCCTTTTCTATGCAATAGCATCAACCCCTTTAACTAATAGCTACTGGGAAGCTATCTCTAGACTCCATGCAGCCCCGAATCATGGGCCTCAAACGCCTTTCCTCACACGCCGTCACTAAAAAGATAGGTTCAATATGACCCAACGCACCCAAGGAACCCTCATCTTCCAGCCTAACGATCCTTCGAGTGCTCCCACATCTTTGAAACGCCCTCCAGGTTGACCTCCCAATCCTCCGCTTCCGCACTCGCAAACGATTCTTGGAATTTAGTGACGCTGGCGTTATGTTTAACCGACGCGTCGTCCAGTTTGCTCCTCGCCACCTTAAGCATCTCTTCTGCCTTGCGTACTTCTTCCTGAATCCGATTCTTCTCGGCCTCGGCCTTGACCTTTCGTTCATAGTCTTCCCTCACCTTGTAGATGCGGTTTAGAGTGTCGAACCTGGCCCTTTCTTCTTGCACCTTTCTTTCATTTTCGGCCTTTTGCTGTCGCACGTGGGCTAAAAAGGCTTCAAGAGACTTGTCTAAGGCTTGATCCCCGATCACCCTTTCCATCTCAGCCTTCTGTAGACGACTGATCGACTCATCACGGAGTCTGAGAATTTCGTCGGCGCTAAGACGTCGCAAATCAGCTTCTCGTTGGACACTTCGGAAAGTCTCGATAGTATTGCCAACATCGGTAGGGAGCAGGCGTGTGTCGATGGTGCGGAGTAGTGACAGATGATGTGCTTGCTCGACGGGAATATCGAGTGTGGGGTTCTCACTACATGGGATGCCCTGAAGAACACGGCGAAAGCAGGCTACGGCATGCAGACCGCAACTCCAAGCATCGTTTTGACGAGGACAGCTCTGGTCAAAGTTAGCTATAGCCAGTCATGCAAGCTGGTGACTAGGCACATACCTCTTTGATGAATTCGACATCTCCTGAGTAGCTAGAGACATCCATCCAAGCCTCGAACCGTTTCTTGATTCGTTCGTATCTCTCAGGCGTTGGCGCTGAATCGTGAATACGTAGTTGTAAGTTTTCCCCTTTTGGCGTCATCACACCGAATGCCCAGTGTTCCAGTGATTCCCAAGGTTTAGGGCAGTGTATAGGAAACCCAGCAGTACAGCCGTCGTCAAGTCTTGGAAAGCTTCGTGGCTGGAAGGCCTCCTGGCTCTGGAACCAAAAAGGATGGAAGAGTCTCGAGGGGCGGTGTTTCTGTCTGTGGTGGGCCATGGCCACTTCGCAGAGGACTTGGAGGGCATCATCGCCCATCTGATTGCCTGGGGTAAGACAGTCGAGCAATCGGTCGGCGGTATACGACGACAGGGTACGGAATCTCTTCAAGGCTCCTGTGAAGACAGGCTCGTTAGCGGGCGTGGGTGGCCGTTTCTTAGCTGCTGGGCTGGTAAGGTCTTGAATCTCAGATGCCCCCGCCGTCTCAACAAGCAAAACTACGTTATCGTCTGGCTCAGACACATAATCTTCGGCATCGGCAAATGAATCTGTTGTAACTTCCTCTTCTTCTGGTTCTTGGGGATCTGGCATGTCCTGGGTCGCAGCGGGAGAAGACGTATCTTGCTGCTGAAGGGATTCCAGCACATTTTTGGCGATTGCAGCACTCAAATGGGGAGGAGCTGGTCCATCTTGTCGGCGTTTATGCTGCTTTCTAGCAACATCAGCATTGACCCCTTCTCTCAATGGCCCTCCGTCGGCCCAGAGGGAATCAAGAGCCATCCCTTGGGTTTGCATCAACTCAGTAATGCTTCGCATGTGTTTGACAACATCGACGGCGGGCTGAGGGAAACCGAATTCGATCAAAGCCTTTCGGACATCTGGTGGCAGCCAATCTGCTCCTCCCCAAACGTGATCGAGCCAGGCTATGTTGTCTTCCCGGCTGTTGTAGGACTTTTCTTGTCTTTTGGCATTAATTCGTGTCTTTCTCTCGTCTGAAGACGGAGTGGGAGTCGGATACACAGGGGCGGATGTCCGGTCGGGGCTCTGCGACGACGAAGACGGTCAGTCTGGACGCTTGGCAAGAGCTTTGAACAGCTTACCAGCTGAATCGATGTCGGCGAGTAAGAAGACCTGGCATTGACGGAGGAAGTACCGGGAGAGAATCCCAGCCTTGTATTGCTGCGCTGAGATGGTGGCCTTGGAGGCGGCATGTTTGGAAGATCGTCAGCCTTTGTTTACGATTCTGTCGGACCTTGATTTGGGGGCAGTTGAAAGGGTATCGAATTCTGGCTTGCCGATGACGATTATTTGAATCGAGGAACGGAAGGATGATGCTTTTGGAGCCTGCGCTGCTTGTATGTAGTCAGGTTCACACAGAGAAGTTGTAAGGCGAGTGCGAGGGGCACGTGATTGGCGATGAGAAGACCAGGTGCGCCGTGTTGAGATGTGGCTGAACAGAGGCTGACATCACTGTGGCTGGGCTCCGAGTTGAGGGTCATGACAGAAACAGTTGAATGTGAGAGCAATGGTCCTTGATTCCGTTATTTATTTTCAAGCTGTGAGTAATAGTCTATAGAGAGCTAGGTATAAGTCTTCTACTGTTCATAGTAGAAAGACTAAAGAAAATGGTGACGATGATATCCTGCGAAGCTCCGGAGTATGCATAGCAGTATTGTGGTCTTCATCATGATGCCTGAATGGCATGGGCTTCTAAGAAAATCAGTATTATGAGTCGTCGCTTTTAAGTATCTATCTTGAGAGTGTGATATTTTTGGTAAAACTGCGGTTTCAATCTGTAGACTTGGGTAGCAAGGGTAATAAAGGCAAGCTGGTTCAAATCAAATGACTCCTCTCAAATAGCTTCCGCAAAATCGAACGCAATATACCGTGGTCTGGCTCGCAGTCCTGCTAGTCTACTCTGCCCTCTGGTCACGGACTTTCGGCCTTCGCCTTCGCGTATCTCGGACTTTTCTTATTATCCGCTAACCAGCCTCCCAAGCCTTCCCCACCATGGTCACACATCTCCCCTATATGGAGCATTGTACATGCATTATGCGGGTAGATGCAGGCCCCTCGAACAGATCAAGGGCCTTCTTGGCTATGATCGTCGATCCAAGAACGGAGGTCGGCGATTGGAAAAGCCGACATGGCGGTTGGTCACATTGTACGTGGAGACATTCGCATATTAGAGGATGGTATAAATACACAGGAAATGCGTAGACATCGCTTTGATATTCAACATGCAAGAAGTTGACCTGTCTGGGATATACCACAAACTGTTGAGTCATGATTCACACACTGGAGGGTCTGCTTTGCCGCAGTCACCTCGCCATTTTCCTTGCCCTCGTTGGGCTTATCTACTTGGTGTCAATCGTATGTCGTCCAAAGCCAACCGAGATGTTTGTTAACATGGTTGTAGTTAGTTTACGGAAGATATTTCCAACTACTTGCGCGGCTGCCAGGTAAGTAAGCCCAATTTGCTTTGAGACATTGCTGATCTTACAAAGGACCTGAGCTTTCAAGATACACTGATATCATTCTCAAGTATCATTGGCTGCGTGGCACACGAGCACAATATGTTCACTATCTCCATAAGCACTACGGTTGGATTTTCATGCCCCGATGTCTCGGTCGCACGCTGACTCGTCTTGGCCAGGTCCCATTGTCCGTGTTGGACCCAACGAAGTTGATATCTCCGACATCAGCGCCGTCAAGGAGATACACAGTGTCAAAGGCGGTTACAAAAAGTCCCGATTTTATGAGTTGCTCGTACCTGGAACAACCAACGTCTTTAACTCGACAGACACAGAATTCCATCGTCGACATCGTCGCATTCTATCCTCCCCTCTTTCGGAGTCGTCGATCAAAACTGTCGAATTAGCTGTTGATCAGAAAGTGAAATTGGTAATCAGCAAGATGGCAGAGGAAATGGCAGCGCGACAAGTCACAGATGTCGCAAAGATGTGGTTGTTCATGGCAACTGACATTATTTCTGAGTTGAGCTTTGGCGAGTCATTTGGCATGTTGGAAGCTGGCAAGGTATGTCGGTTCAAGGCTTATAGTGGATGACAATAAATCACTGACGGCCAATACTAGAAAAACCAGTATATCGAAGACCTGGAAGGACTCGCAGCCAGAGGTCCTATCCTCACAACTTTCCCAACCCTCATTGCCATCGCTAGAAAGATTCCCCTTCCGGTCCTTCAAAAAACAGCTGCGGCGGCAGCAAGGTTGAGGAATTACGCGCAGCACGCTGTCCTCAGGTATAAGAGAGACTTCGCGAGCAATCCGGCTGCAGCTAAGCCGATGCTCTTCAAGAAACTGTTTGAAGCAGGAGAAGATGGCCTCTCTGATGAGGAGATTCGAGCTGAAGCACAAGCCTACATCGTGGCTGGGTCCGACACAACTGCGACCACCTTGACTTATCTGATCTGGTCTGTCTGCCGAGACATGAGAGTCAAGCAAACCCTCGTCTCAGAGCTTAACAAACTCCCGGCTGACTTTGACGACAACGATCTTCGCTCCCTTCCGTATCTCAATGCCGTCATTGATGAAACCTTGAGACTCTACGCAGCAGCGCCATCTGCCCTTCCTCGGGTAGTGCCACATGGTGGTTCTACCTTGGCTGGATATTACCTTGCGCAAGACACTGTTGTGTCGACACAAGCATGGACACTGCATCGCGATCTGACGCTATTCCCGAACCCTGAGCGATTTGACCCCTCAAGATGGTTGGAGGCGACCAAAGAGATGAGGGATGGGGTTATGCCATTCGGTGGGGGAGCCAGAGGTGAGCATCGCTGCTATTGTTTCTCCTATTCTTATTTGTATAAGTGTCACTAACTATCTAACTAGTTTGCATCGGCAAGCACCTCGCTAGAATGGAACTCCGGTTGGGCACTGCAAGATTCTTTCGGGCCTTTCCCTCTGCTGTAGTTTCGATAAGTGAGGGTATGTCTGATCAAGATATGATTCCCAAAGTGTTTTTTCTCCTGGCACCAAATGGAGGGCGCTGTCTCATTGAAGCCAGATAAGGCACATTTCCAATCCAACACCAAGGAGACATAACTAGAAATGCTTTGAGAGCCTGGATATTACCTAGAAAATTCCTTGGGTGTAGACGAGAGAAAGATTAGCGCCGAGATAACGTTGAGCTATGACCGCAAGACTCAAGGTTTTGATTTGGACACGAGTCGAATAAATTACCTAGGTGCCTAACTAAAGATACCACTGGCAATTGCGTTCGACGAGTCCCTGGTTTGGTAGGGAAAAGCCTCGATACCGACTAAGCTAATACCCTAGCTCTCGGAATCGACTTTGCACCCAAGCATCGTACTCTTCGTCGGTGAGGCATCCCTCCTCGCCCTCGTTGCGTTCGTCTGTCAGACACAGATCCTCGGCCGTGTATTCGAGGCCTATACATAGCGGACATAGTAAGCTATAAGAGCAGTTACCGGAGACTTGATAAAAGCCAAAACTCTCGGCAATCTGATAACCAAATCCGCAGCCGGGGCAAATGATTCGACCTTGACCACAAGTGTAACACTTGCCATCTTCAAAAAATGCAATGACGTCTGGCACCCTGAGCTCGCCACAGAGTATCATGTCATCTTGACTAAGAGCTGTGACTGGGATTTTCCACGTTGAGTCTTCGGTGATGTCTTGCGGTAAACAAAAAGGTCGGTTCTCGTCTGGACCATCACCTGGCTGATCAAGGTAGGACTCATAGGCTCTAACCGCGCTAGCATTTTTGAGACAGGCACATGGTTTCCATGAGGGAATTTCGGCGCAGACAATAATATCGATCGACCCCTCTTCCAAGCGCTGAGGCTGCACAAGGAGATTGCAACTCCACCTTCTTGTCCACTCGAGGATCTCGAGCCATAACTCCAGGGGCAATGTCTTTTTTCCTTTCTTGGTCGTGATGAAATCCGGAGATCGTCGAATGGTGGTTTCGATAAAATTGGCTGAGAGTTCATTGACATCCAACATGAGGACTGGCTTGTCTTGGAGCAGCTTGTCGAGCTTGGTTGGGTCAACCGGCTTCATGGTGTGAGATTTGGGTTGTTATTATTATTGTTGTTGTTGTTGTTGTTGTCGTTGTTGTGCGGATGAAAAGATGTGTTATTGATAGAATCGGTGACTGGAAGTGGGCGCGATATTTATAAGAGAACAGATTGAACACGCTTTATAAAAGCTTTTCCCTGAAGGTTTGATGCTACTCGTGTTGCGTTTTCAGAGCGTTGGGTGGCTGCAGTAACCTTTGATTAAACCGAGAGCCCTTTCTTGTGTGAACGGAAGCTTTATGCCGTCTCCCCAGGATTTATGGAAGGAAAACACAAACAGCCAATCTCGCTGGACATGAGAGATGCTGAGATTCGTGATGAAGGGTCGTGGAGGAATTTTTTAAAAAATACATTCTGGCAAGAAAGAAATTTCAACTTTGCATCGAAATGAACATGTAAACAATACAGTCAAAATTCTCAGCGATTGTGAGCATCGCGGCGGCCTCAAACTTTGTCCTAGATTTACTCTACAACCTCTCGGCATTGAGGAAGGATGGGTATCGCATGGTAGAATGTCGAGATATGGACCCATCATCAGTTTCTTAAGGATGACTTTCAAGCGGTTTATTGTGTGCAATGGGGTCATATAGCTCGGAATGTTGAAACTGTTGACTACAGAGAATGTACCAGTCACGGTTTTAAACCAAGATATATCCACTCATATCCATCGTCCTGCCCTTGCTCGTCGCTCACCACACAGCAACCCCCCTCAAGCCGTCTTGCCATCCCACTCCCGTGATTCTCCAATGATAGGCTTGAGAAGTTCAGGCAAAACAACCGCCGCATCACTCACAAAGATCCAATCTCTGCCTGGGACGACACTCTTGGCATCTTCAGCGCGGGTGTTGATATATGCCACCCTTGCACCCTTGTCGCGGGCCATGGCGGCGTATCCAGCTGCCGGCCAGACCCTATTGGAGGTTCCGATATTGAGACAGAGATCGATAGGCTCGGGGTCTTCGAACAGGGCCTCTGTCTCATTCACAACCTGGAGAGGTAGTGGCTCGCCAAACCAGACTACATCAGGCCGGAGGATATTGGCCTTGCACTTCGGACACTGTGGTAGATCCTCCTTTGTCAGACCGGATGACAAACGGACTTGGGCGACTGGATCAGCTGCAGCATCTTCCGGGTGCTTGAGAGCGGCCAGATCTCGTGTTGTTGGGGCATTGCCCTCATATTTGTCTCCGAGGATCTGAGCGTGCTTCCGAGCGATGCCTGCCAGTAGAAGTGGGCTTGCTCTTGGCTTATTATCGGGATCAATGCTCCCCATTGTCTCTTTCTCATCCTTGGAAGGGTCGAGAGCGGGTGTAAGACACTCTTCAAAGTTGTCACGCTCTACATACCCACATCCAATCTTGTCGATGCATGACAAGGTAAACAGGTTGCCATGGAGTTCCTTCATCTGACCGGGGGGATGCCCAGCACGGGGACTGAGGTTGTCGACATTCTGCGTCAGGGCAACAAAGCCCGGGACTTGACGAGCGAGCTCAGCTAGGGCGTAATGAGCTGGGTTTGGCTTTGCACCAAGAGCTTCCTGTCGACGATATGAATAGAATTGCCAAACGAGGCCGGGGTCATGACGGAAGCCAGCTGGCGAGGCGACCTGTGTCACGTCCTGGCTTTTCCATAATCCGCTGGTTCCTCGAAAGACGGCCAATCCTGAGGATGCTGACAGGCCAGCCCCAATGACGGCGATAATGCGCTTTGACTTTTTGAGGGTGTCGTGGAAGTCAGCGACGGCTGCGGGGTCCAGATTGGTTGAGTCGGCCATTGAAACGAAGTACTAATTCACGCTTGTTTGAGTTTTCAGAGTAGTCTTGAGAAGCTCAATAAGAGGAAATAACTTTCTTTAAACTCATATCTCGAGTTGGATGCCTGCACAGGTAGAGTCAAGGCAGCAAGGCAGCAAACCAGGCACCCAGTGTTGCCTGCTTACTCGATGATCTCTCTGGTTAGCCAGCCAACCAGTCAATAAGTAAATATTTTTCCACTTTTAGTACGCGTCAGATCTCACCACTGGGAATGCTACCATCAGCCCATAACAGCTCAGGCTAGGGTCAGGAAGCTCTCGGCATAAGAGTGGTCCCCTTAAGGGCTACCTCACTAAAACAGAAGTATCGGCTTGCCTGGAACACCAATGGTCCGGAGGTGTATTTACAATGCATCACAGCCGTTTCATTCGTGACTCACTATTAATGCATGCCCGCATGCCAAGGGCGGTCAGTGAGATACTGCAGCACAATGGTTAAGAAAAAAAAAGAGGCTAACTATCTCAATGTTCCAAGGTTTATATAGAGCAATAACAAAACTATTCTACGAAGAGCAAATATTATTAAAGGCGCTTACTATTTTATTTCTGCCCTTAGAGCGGGATAGACTTACTTATGCGTCCTCACTCGGATCGCATTCTCCTCTAAGCCCCGTGGCTGTGCAGCTTCTCACCCCTTTCCATTCTGGGGTCATTATGCCTTCATATTTATCATGAGTCACCAGATGCATACAAGAAGAAACATATTGAGTCAACAATTGACCGCAATGAAAAGAGGAAACCAGAAAAGGGACACTGTTTCTCGCTAGCTGTCGCTGTCAGCCTGGCCTAAATCTCGCCCTGCGTCCTTGAGGCTTCATTATTGGTCGGCTTCAATCTGACAGCATCACTTAAATTGTGACTCAGACCACCACATCGTGGCAATATCATGCACTAAAGTACTATTTCCTATCGTCAATACGTACCGCAAGATATCATTTATGTTAAAGTATTATAGACCTTTCTCTGTCTGACGACTTCTCCCTCCATGTTCATCAAATGGACACCAACGGGATGGACTTCTTTGTCCAACTTCCACCCGAGATCCGTATCAGGATCATGGGTCAAATGTCCTCCAAATCAGCGATATTACGCATCATCCAAGCATCGCCGGCAATGCTTGCACAGTGGATTCAATCGAGGGAAACCATAGTGCGAGCAGTATTGATCAATCTTGTCGGCGGCGATATTTATGGCGACCTCCTACACGACGCATTAGCCATCATTCACCTACCACCTCTCGACTCTTCCTCCACCGACTCGATTATTCACCATGTCGGCCAGTGGCTGACCAAAGGATTCTCGGACCCATTCGAGCAAAATGCTGGCGAGACTCTCGATATGCTGTACCGACTCTTGTCTCGCCTTTCTGTTTTTATTGAGGACTACATGACCAAGGCAACGGCTCCTTTCCCACCTCGAGCCTACCTCTGTCTGCCAAGGATGAGGTCGATGGACGGCGAGCTGCGTTTCAGGGATCAAGCCATAGACGCACGACATATCGAGCTCGACGACTTGACTTGTTCAGAGAGGAACCGCTTTCTGCGTGCCTTTGTACGATACGAACTGCTCTGCAAACTGTTCACCCCGCGGCTCTGGAAGATCGTCGAACCTAGCGAATACGGCGACCAAGTCAAGCAGTCGTATTCAAACCTCCATATCTGGGACTATGAGATGTTACATTGCGTCCAGGAATATACTCGAAGCGTCTATGCGGCCATATTTGCAAACTTCACTCCTTCGTGGCTACCGAACGGTCAGACGGCATCGGACTCCGAGCCTTCAAGAGAGAAGGAATTCCTGTATCCTGATAACTTTTGGACCAATCCGAATGAATACTTTTGCAACTTGGATCTGCCGCGCAGCAGCTACCATACGGCATCGTTTCTGCACCTGCGAGGCTTTGATATTCTCACTCACGTCCTGGTGTATTCAGAAAGCAAGCAGGGAAGCCGCAGAGACCTCCGAAAATGGTTCCTCACTATGGCTGCTGAACGGGCGAGGACCAACGAATTCGAGGCGCTCTCTCAGGACCACTCGCTTGCACAAGACCAAGGCCCCACGTCCGCTTCCTGTGCAGATATTGGATTTCGAGGCCAATTATTCCAGATGATTTCAGCCGCTCTTATGAGGGAAGGTGTCGTGTCATATCCACAAGTTATGGGGCTAAACCCGTATTTTCAGCTTCGAATATTCCGACAACGAGCATGGCCCTTTTTCGAAGACGCAAGGTTCTACCCAGGGGCGGACAGCCTGTGTCACTTTCCAAGCCTGGATGACCTTGCTGAGCAAGACCGCCTGGTGAAGCTCAAATTTCCCTACCCGGAGGGTGAACGGGAACGGAGGAGGTCACAAAAGTGGCAGGACTTTTTCGCTGGAAGGGAGACGGGAAGTGATTTCGATTGGCAGGACGATGACGACAAACTGGAGCGTATGGCTGGTGAGCGGATTGTTGTACCGCGTCTTTCTGAGCGTCCGGTTACGGAGAGACTGATTCCCTTTTGGCGGTCTGGGATGCCGATGAGCACATAGTAAGAACTTTCAAATGGACTTTTGGTTTAGGCGTTAGGAGGTCGGTACAAAGGCATTAGGAACAAAGTCAATTATTTCGAGGAAACCGTGCACAGTTAACGAGACTGGCCGGGTGAAAACCTCACTTCAATCTATGTATATATATCCACATTGCACTGTTTATCCTGTGCTCCAACGCTCATTTCTTGGGGTTAAGGGCACCGTTGCACACGCCATCATCACAAGTGCTCGTAACATAGTTCGCAGTAGGCTCTCCCTTATCAACATCATTATCAATGAATGGAGCTGAGCCACAGCCCTTGCACCCGTGGTTCTTCAACCTCAGGATAGCCTCCCTGACCTCTTGGCCCGAAGCACCATTAGACGTTTTTTGCAGGAAGGCACAAATGTGGCCGGCACAGGCAATGCGCTCGCCATTAGAGAAGTGGTAGTTGGGGTCAACGCCGTTGATGTTGTCGGTGACGAAGTCGGAAACCTTGTCGAGGAAGCCCTTTTGGTCGCCGCAGAGGGCGCTGCCATCGCAGTTGATTCCCTTGGCGGTGGCTGACTGGAGCATACCCAGACAGGCGAGACTGGATACCGCAGAGAACTTCATATTGTCTATTGACTCGCCATTAGTACCTAGGAGAACTGATATATGCCCAAGGAGTCCTACCTGGTTTATAGAGAGGGAGGCACAGGTTATAGAGCTTGGTAGTGGATGGATGAGTATTGGAGAGATAGGTTAGGAGGAATCGTTGTTGCTCGAGTCGACTCTTTCGCTTCTATTGCCAGAAATCGCCTCCTCTTATACCTGCTTGGCCTCATGGCTCTTAGCAAGCAATCACTATGATCTACCATTTCATCGCCGACGGCCCGAAAGACTCCAGGGATCATTGAATCACATGTTGATTCATCAGCACTAATGCTAACTCCTGTCCCGTTGACCATGGATCTTGTGGATTTTGGCCGATGATCGTGATATAGGCTACGTTACATGAACTGTGGTATTATACGGGGACCATTTCCGTCCACCTACATAGTACTTTTGCTGGAGACGTTTCTGTACAATAATGCCAAGCCGGATAGGACGGACGCGTCCTCCAGAAAGAAGGTGACGTGAGCGACGACCAGCGCAACCTGGAGTGTGGCCAGGTCTAATACCTTCGTATCACGCATCGTACGGGCCTAAAAGCCCGCTTCTACAAGCGAAGTTCATATCTGCTAGATGTAATGTTTACGAGCTGTACATTATACATGCTTTGGGAAAAACCTAGCTGAACGCTATCTTAGAATACCTAGAGTCAAGACAGTAAAGCCCGCAAGTAACTTTCTCAGTTCAAGAGGGTTGATATGAAAGAATCCAAGCCTCTTTGCATTGGCTTAGAGGGCTGGGATGACTTCAAGCCGAAAGGTGTCTTGCCTATTACGAGAGGGCATTGCTAGGCCTAGGATCACCACAGGTGTCAATTTTCTTAGACTAGAAGGCTCTACCTAACAAGGGTACGTGTGAGAGCCCCACAGTAGCGCGGCAATACCTGTCTACATTCACCGCGATGGCGGACAGCGGCATCTACAATCTCCCGCTGCCGCGCTACGCTAATCCGATTCATGCCAAGTTTGCTCATGTAACCGATCCCGTGGGAAGTAAGGATCTGTAGACGCTGCAATCTCTGTAAATAGGAAATGATATAGGCGTTAGCGCATGAATGTCTTATTGGAGCTGAATAAGTTTCTGGGTTGAGGAAGGGGCATGTATGCCATGGGATTGGGCGGAGGTCTACTGTCCGCTAGAATACATGATTGCAGAGAGGAACTAAATGATTCACTAAGAGTCTTTTGAAAGTATAATAGTAAAGGCATAGAGGGAATGATCTATTGCATGCTGATATTGGCCTTCGAAGAAAGCCTGAACTAAAAACCAGCAACCACCTCAATCAACAACCTCATTAATGAGGGACCAAGAAACTTTTATTGGTTTGATACCTCTAGATTTCAGATGTACTTCAAGGGAGAGTTCTTTAAAAAGACAATCATATCGCACCGTAGTTTTGTTTCTAATCTGCACTATGGGCTTGAATGAAAGAAGCGAAATGAGTAGGTGGATGCAAATCGCTTGGGGTTTCTCGAAGCGCTTACATCATATTGACTTAATGTTGACTGGAACTTAGAGGATAATAAAGAGTCAATCAGTAAGCGAACAGTTCCATAGAATCGGCCTTAGTGTGGGCTCTAGATATCAATGGCTCGTTGTAAGTTAAGGCAGCCCAAGCGTTTCGGTTTTTGATGTAGGGTATCTCACTCGAACTGAGGAGTCCAGAGCGGTCAAAATAAAGTCCGTCTCCGTGCTGACCTGCTACCCAACGTGATGGGACGTCTTCTCCCTCTAACAACCTAACCACCGAACGACCAGATCAGAGCACAATGTTTAACAGACTGAAATCTCTGCTCACCAGCAAGCGAAGATGTGGAGTCTGCCTCTTTACGCTGGAACCTGGTGTTGAATCCCTTAAGCTCGACGTTGATAGCTCACCAGACTTTCTCTTTGCGGAATCCGACTGTCATGAGTTTACTCGCGATGACCTTGTCAAATCAGCTGCCCGTGGATGTCGGAGATGCCAAAGCATCATTGAAACATTCACTTCCTGTGGAGCTGACTTCTTAACAGCCAGATGGTGGCCGGCACAGCCAGGGATGAGGGAGCCCTATCTGGAACTAGTGGAGGCTAGTTTGAAGTTTGAACTCAATGCACTCCCCAACACCGAAACAGCTCTGCTAGAACGAGATCCTAGCGTCAACTCGCTTCATCCGTGTATTCGGCACGGGTTCAAAGTTGCCGGCAGCACTGGGGACGACAAGTGCCTTGACCAAGCAGCTGCTTGGCTAGCATCATGTCGTGAACACCACACCGATTGTCGCCCGAATGAGGTAGAATTCTGCCCAACCAGGCTCCTCTTTCTCGGTGACGAAGACACAGGAATGATCAAGTTGATTGAGAACCCGCCCAGGGAAACACCTTACGCTGCACTCAGCCACCGCTGGACAGAAGAGACCCTCAAAGTTCGATTGGTACATATCAATCACTCTGAGAGGCTTTCTAGTGGGTTCCCACTCGACAAGTTTCCTCCTATGATGCAGGATATGATCTACCTGCTTCGAAGACTTGGTATCATGCATGTCTGGATAGATTGCATGTGCATCATCCAAGACGACCGGGAAGATTGGCGACGTGAAGCAGCAACCATGGCATCTGTTTATTCCGATGCCGAACTTACCGTTGCGGCTACCATGGCAGGCGAAGATTTGTTTAGCCGCCGTGACGGCAAAGATCATATCCAAGCCGATCTTGATGACACTGAGGAGACACCCATCTTCTTACGCCGCAGTCTTCCGCATTTCACATGGCAAGATATGGAGTATAACTGGTTTGAAGGCGACGAGTTTGTGGACGCCGAACGAGAATGGCCACTGCTTTCTCGCGGCTGGACATACCAGGAACAACTTCTCTCCAAAAGGACCCTCCATTTCACAAGGCACGAGATCATATGGGAGTGCAACAACTCTATGGAGTGTGAATGTGGCTGGTATACCCACTCTGGCATCCTAGAGATGCCTGGAACGACACAAAAGAAGCAGTCTGCCGAGTCCAAATCGTGGAATCAGATTGTCAAGGAGTACTCGAAGAGAGAGCTCACATTCGGCACCGACAAGCTACCCGCCCTAGCGGGAATCGCCAAGGCTTTTAGTGAAGGGAACGATGACCTGGGACAGTATGCTTGTGGCATGTGGGAACAGCAACTGGAGAACTCGTTCTTCTGGTCAATTGTAGAGAACCCGAAGCCGAAGCCAGATAACAGTTCCTTGCCTTCATGGTCATGGGCATCTGTGTCTGGGAACGTTTTTTGCTGGGAGGTGTCCGTTGAGAATATCGAATTTCTGGGAGTCAGTGTGTCATACAACGGCGAGTCGCTTATGGGCGACGCAACGGAAGCGGTTGTGACCTTGTCTGGACCTTTGGTCCAAGCTACGCTTGAGTATAGTCAGGAATCATTGGACAGTGTTGAGGGAACTTCGACAACAGGAGATGACAGCCCAGATCTCGTCACCAGTCAAGGAAGCCGTCACTATAGGCTTCGAATCGGAGACAAGTTCTCGGCATTTCGTCCCGATTACACTCTCGACAATCCCGGTCCGGCATCCATCCCACGTGGCTCTCCAGTATTCTGCCTCATCTTTGGCAGAAGCACCTCGAGTTCTTTTGACCCCGAAAAAGGCATCACAGACGAACATACTGCCGCTTGTTTCCTCGTTCTCACTCCTGTTGACGAGACTAACACCGTGTTTCGACGTATTGGTCTTTTTGATGGTAGTTCCGAGGATGAGGAAGACGCTTGGGAACTGGAACCACTGTTGGAATTGTCGCAAAAGAAGCAAGTGACTCTGATATAGCCTCCAGACCCAAGAATATCCTTTTGGAGCTGGGCCTGCAAATTCTTTTGTGTTCATAATGACTATTGAGCTCGTGATATTCTCACAGCTTGTGTCCAAGATCCCTATAACCTGGCATGTGTAGTCTAATCAAGTAGATACTCCTCCAAAACGACCTTTCCACTCTCTATATCCTGTTCTAGGTCACCCTGGTATTTCATCAAACTGTGCACGTAAGCCTGTCCAACGACCCCCCACGTCGACTTGTAAAGGTCCCATTTGTTTTCTATGTCTGCCCACCATCTCATTCCGCCGTGATCTCTTTTATGCAACACGAAAGGAACCTGGCTGCCAAGCAGAATTACAACCAGATCACCCACTTGCGTTTTCTCGTGGCCGAGACCAAAGTCACCGTTCTCGAGGAGGAACATTCTGCGTTCCTCACAAGAATCGTCCCGGATGCGGCAATATTGCGCGTGAAGCTCCGTAGGTTCAGGTTCCGTGTGACGACTCATGTTGTAGCCGGTGAAATTTTCATCTTGCTCGGTGTCATGAGTCCACCAAGACCACGCATACACCTTTTCCGAGTAATTCTTGGTATTCCAAACCCTCCAATCAGCTGGCTCGGTGTCCCAGGCACCTCCCGTGATCGTGTGCGCAAATCTCTTGGACATCTCTGGATCTTCCCACGGACCTCCGACGAGTGACTCCCACTCCTGGAATAGCTCGACATAATTCGGTCGGCCGAAACCAATTAACCATGAGTTCACACATGTACCGACCTTGGCAACCTTGCTGACGGTAAAGCCTTGGGCTGAAATGACGGATGGTGCCTCGAGATCGACTCGTATCCGCGCTTCAAGCCCATCAGATGCCGAGTGACTGGCTCGTTGCAACGGATAGAAATCTGGACTGTCTAGGCCTCCTGTCCAAAAAGGAACTATGCCGTGCACGGGGTAATTTGGTTCGAAGAATTCCGTGTCCCAATCGTAGCACCAACGGGCTTCTGTGTACTTGCTCTCAGCAAGAGCCATGGGGAGAAGTGTCTTGTACTTGGCCATGGTTGCTTTAGCAAAGGCCATCCATAGCTTGTCGCGATTCATTTTATAATCGACTGGCAACTCCTCCAGTGTCTCAAACTTCATCAACCCTAGAAAAGCGTAGATCCTGTCATAGGGAACAGTGCACTGGCGAAGGCGAAGTTTGTATGCAAGTCCGAAGAGACCTAGTGGGGGGTCTTTATATGACGGGTTTCGCATCTCAAATACTTGCTGGAGGTAGCTTGCCAAGGCATAATTGACTTTAAGGTAGTGTCGGGTTGTTTGCCGGACCAGGAGATGTGCAAAGTCGAAGAAGGGAATGGTATAGGAGCCGTAGCACAGGATCGCATTCCTAGCAAGGACGACTTCTTGGACTGTCCACGCACGAGACCAGTACTGCCCAAAGTCATTAGCATAGGCTGATATAATAATCTTACTCCCCTTACTGGTCTTTTGATCATCTCGTTTAGGCATGCAATCCACTCTCCTGGTTCGCTCCAAATTTCTTTCTCGGCGTCTGGATCGTGACAAGCTAGAAGTCGTTGGATCTGTTCAATCGCCAAGCCAGTGTGATCCTTTTCTTTGCCGATCCAGACGAGGACTTGCTGGGCATTGCGGTAAATATCCTGCATTCTTTGCACTTGAACACTCTTCTCGTCAGCGTCAAGCTGGTTGATGCATATTGCGTCAATCTTGACGCTCAAACATTAGCCATCGGTCAGCGCGGCTAGAAGGGAGCTTACCCAGAGAGACCTCGGCTCATCCTCGAGACAAAATTGCTCTAACGCGTCATGCAAGTCTGCTGTCACTTTGACCTGCTGCCCATTCAGGAGGATCTTCTTGGTCCTGTAGTGCCTTCCCCAGCAATAGCTGAGGGCTTCATAACTGCATTTATCCCAGCTTGTTTCAATGAGCTGGGCAGTGACAGAGATATTATCGGAGGTCTTTGATGGTGCAAGTTGAACGACTCGAATGCTTGTTGCGTCATCGCTCAAGGGTGCGTAGATGTTAGAGGCCATGACTGTTCTTGCGCTTGAAGATATGGGTGAGAATGACTAGCACAAAGAAGCAGGTGTCACGTTGTTCATTGTGGCTACGTGTTAGAACAACAAAAATCACAGAAATGATTGAGAAAGAGGAGGATGTGAAGATAACAGGAATCGCAAGGATAAAAGCAAAAATCGTCAGCACTAATCCCTTATGGGAATAGTCACCGGTCTTCATCCAAGGAAGGTTTAATAATCATGGCAGATGGCACGGATGCATTTGTCAAGCGTCACGAAGTCGGGTGATAGGCAGCTGATTTCAACTTCTTGGCTGGTGTCATGGTCGGCGTGATACCTAGACAACCACTTTAAACCAGAGAAGAAGAGAAGAACGATGAAGATGGAAAATAGCTTGTTATAACACATATGAAATTATTAGTTGAAACTAGGAATGGGACTAACTATTAGCTTCAAATCAACCCCTGCATTCTCGTATTGCCCAGCTCAGATCTCAGTCTTGTTAGTGGCACGGCGCCTATCATGGCCGTCCATGGTGAGTTAGTGAGTCTTTTTCCCCACGACAACGTGCTTGAGCTTGGGGCCGTTGAAGTGCTTGGTTGGTGCGAGGGTAGCGACACTGACGTGCGGCCAGCCAAGACCATTAAAGTCAAGAGCCACAAACTGCGAGTACTGAATCTGCGTGTACTCGACTGTGATAGTCTTGGGCGCCGTGACGACATGATGTCGGTCTATGACGAACTGGGGAACAGCATCCCTGGGACCGTGGGAAACGGGAGAGACCACATCGCCCTTTTCCATGCACGGAAGAAGACGGATCTCTGCTCGCACCTTGGAGATCCAGTACTGAGCAGTCATCTTGGTCGCGTTCGCATTTCCACTTCTCTCCTTGGGAGTTGCAGGAAACACAGCTCCATCGTCGGCGCCGATGTTGAAGCCAATGTTGCTGGTCCCTCCGCCGAGGTTAGGAGGTTGAGAAGCGGTGGTGACAGTGAAGGTCGTATGTTCCACAATATGCTTTCCCTTGTTTGCATTTCTCAAAACAGTGTTTGGGTCGTTAAGGATCTCCTGAGTGATGGTTCCATCTTTCTCGAAGGGAGTGAGGTCCTGGGGGAGGCGACGAGACGCTTTATCTGAAGCGGTCTGACTGGCAAAGGGTGTCTCTTTTCCAGTAGGAAGAAAAACTGGGGTTATACCCACAGAAGGAATCACAGGTGGCCCCTTGTGAGTCACGGCTGGTCCGAAACACTGGGCGTTGATGGTAGTTCCATGAGGGATGGATGCCATTCTGTTGAAGGAGGCGGCTAGATCAGGCATGGTAGCGACCTCAGGAACACGCATCCACAAGCCAGGTTCGAAATGAATGACGGGCGGCTTGCAAGGTGAGAGGACATCCGAGGGCATAGCGTCAAGAATGGTCTGCGTGTATGGAACACCATTGAGCATGATGTCCGCCTGCTCTCCCAAACCACGGTTCGGAACGTTGCCAAGTTCATTTCCAAACGTCATGGTCTCACTTGTGAGATTGAGTTGCAACACATTGTCATCGTTGGTATCAGTCGGTTTCACAGGGAAATGGGTTGGTGTGATCTTGTTGTCGGGCCGAAAGATGGTGTTGAAGCCAAATCCTCGAAAGGTTCCTTTAAAGTTGGCCAAAACATCCAACGATGTCACTGGCACGGCTGCAGCGCCAGTGACGAGGTGAGAAGGATGCTCCTTGCTGTCACCATGGGTACCGTTGGTGCCGTCTTCGACGGGTTGCTCGATGGGGTCAAGGACAGTCGGCCCAAAGGCAAAGTTCTGTGGGATCTCAATAGAGACGCTGGGGGCGACAGGAAGAGGGGGACTCATTTTGGGTGAGATGTGTAGGTTACAGAAGGTTAACTGTGTATTGTGATGTGGATTAAGAGATATCTAGCGATGATAGAGTGCCATGACTACCGATTAAATAGAACAGTTGCACCTACTGTTATAGAATCCTACCTCAGGTCAGCCCTTGGTGGCTTGCTAGCAACGGGCTGAAGGCTTACGAATAGGATACCGCAGCTAGACACCGATCAGTGACATTCCATCTCAAATTCGTCAGCTGGAAGGATATTGCCGCCATATATGTTGGATGGAATGTGCGGAACTCTGTGGCGTCGAGTGAGATCTCTTGGTTTACTAACCCCGCGGGCATTGGGAGATATTATGACAACTGCTCAGGAATGTCATGCCAGTTCAGCCGCTCGTGGCGTTCCTACTTTTAGACTCGATAGTGAGGAGAATATGTAGAGGCGTGAAAGTCTCAACAGCTATGGACGTATCATGTGATGAACCCAGATACTTTTCTGCTGTCACAAGCCAGATGGTCTTGTCTGAGTTTCAGGTCGCGAGCATCTAGGGTCCAGACCATATGGTATCCCGAACGACTAGATTCCAGCCGTCTGATGGGCGTTTTGCCAAGCCTGGGGCTGTTGTACCCCTCAACGCCTAACAATCTAAGAGGCAAGGAGATCAAGGGTTGCTGAAAAAATCCATGAGCATAGCTACAATATCTAAGTCTTGTAACTTGTAGCCTATGGCAAGATCTTAGATTGCTGGCTGATTCACTGTCATAAGTATAGCATCGTACGATGCCGTGTAGACATTTTCTATCCTTTTCATATGCCCTTAACACTCTATTTAATAACACATGAGAGAGGAGAGTCATTGCTGTGCACGAAAAGCCATCAACGACCTACGTACAACACCTTATCCAGCAACGCCGGCCACACTTCTAGCAAGTCACTCATTTTTGCCCCGCGCCATGCTACGATACCATCAGGCCGAACCAGAACAGCTCCGTGCTTGTCAAGACCACACTGTCTCTGCCAATCACCAAAAACGTCCTTCCAGCCATTTGATCCTATCATCTCCACCTGTACGAGGCTATTCTCAAACAAATCCCATCCGGAGGTCTGTGCAAGAAGCAGCATCTTACTCAAGGGGACGAGATCACGGATCGCCACTCTCTTGCCTTGCTTTTCCACCCAACAATGTGGCAGGTGATGTCCCGGAATGGTGGACGGATGATAGACTGTCTGATCATATGTTCCATCCTTCAAGAGTTGTCCACCGTGATGTTTCCCACCCTCGTTGTTAATATCAGCTGAAGGGTAGAACCAGCCGACCTCTGAACCGGATGCTTTGAATTCTGTGTCTAGGACCTTGGCGGCGTTCTTGACTGCTTGCCGCTTGTTTGCATTCTCTGGATGCGTTGAGTCAAACAAAACTTCCAGAGCAGCTTCGTTTTCTGCTAGTGACTTGGTGTCACTAATTCCTAGCGCCGTGTCCATGACTTCGCGGTGCATGCGAAGGTTCTTGAGACTGGTGAGACCGACTCGCTCGCCGATGGGTCGACGCTCTGTGTCGTAGCTGTCTAGCAGGCTGTCATACTTGTTCTCATCGCCGAGTGCCAGCTCAAGTTTCCACACTAGATTCTGGACATCTTGGATACCAGTGTTCATCCCGAGAGCGCCCCATGGAGGAATCCTGTGGGCGGCGTCGCCTACCAAGAAGACACGGCCGACCCGGTACTTGGAGGCGTTGATAGCGTTTACATTCCAGTGGCTGAGCGTAAGGATGTCGATGGGGATGTCAGCGATGTTGAGGGCATTCCGTATTCTCTCTTCCATGGTCTTTTCGGTAAAGGAGGTTGGGTCGTTGCTTGACAAATTGCAGAGGAACACCCATTCCTCTGACCCGTCGTCAGGGGTTGGCCATGGCCCAAGCTGGTAGATTGCGCCCGACTTGACGCTTCCTTCACTCTTTGGATCTGTGAACCATGTGATGAAGTTTCTCGGATCTGGGTGACGTGATCGTATGGGCGCCCGGAAGTGTGCCGTCACCATGTTGAAGATGTCCTTCTGGCCAGCCCACTCGACACCGAGTTTCTCTGTGAAACTGCGGCCTCCATCGGCGCAGATGACAAAACGGGCCACTATCTCATCTTGTTCGTCCTTTTCGATATCATGGACCTTAAGAACCACGGTGCCATCGTCTTTCTCCGTCAAGGATGTTACCTCAGTCCTGTGCCTGATACCGTCTGGATTGAGCTCGATGGCGCGGCGCTTGAGAATTGGCTCAAGGCGGATCTGAGGGAGCATACGGAATTGACTGGGACTGTGCGATGCATACTCTTCTGCATATTGCCCCTGACCCCAAGCCTCGCGAGAGAAGATCTCCCTCCCGTCTGGTCCAAGGTTGGTATACCAGGCCAGGCGTCCGCTGATTTCTGTGGGGGCACAAGCGGCGTAGACATCTTGCTCGATACCCAGAATGCGAAAGACTTCATTGGTACGCTGGTTGATGCCGCAGGCTTTGGGATGAATTGATGTCCCTGGATGTCTCTCAAAGAGTACATGCGGAATGCCTCTGAGAGATAGAAGCATGGAGGCAGTGAGCCCAACAGGGCCGCCACCGATGATTGCAACAGGGATGGGTGACGGATTGGCCATTTGATAAACGATGAATAATAAGCTGTCGGGTAGTGTGAAGTTGTTTGCCAATTTCAATACTGTCAGATTCGCCAAGTTCGGTGCCACTAATATACTATGATGAAGTTCTTTGCAAGCACTTCGGAGCGCGGACAAGGCCGAGCGGGGGGAGATAGGACAACTGTCTGGCCCAACGCATCCACCAACCTGAAACAGATACTACGTTCTATGCAGAGCCAGGGCTTGACTCAGTCCGTATTCTTCCGATGTTTAATATCGCAGTCGAGTTCATGGGCACTTCCCCAAGTGGAAGAGTTCTCCGGATCTTGTGGGGCCTATACCATGGACAAGTATCCCACCCCTTCTCTGCCGTTAAGTCCCCGGCAGCTAATGAAGGTCCCGACCCGAGAGTCTGGAGAAAATCCGGGGCCCCGTGGGGTTACCTGGGTGCCACAATCTCGGCTCCAGATCCGGCGTGAACCTGGACACTCTTCGCCCCATGCCAAGACGCGCTGTACGCTGCTTGTATATCTTTGGGTGGCGAACAGTTAATTCTCTGTCTTAACCGCTACTCACTCCCAATCGTCTCGGTCATTCTCTGATCTTGTCACTTGACCTGCAACTTCCTGCATAATGTCTCAAAACCAATCCGCTATTGCTTGGCCGAGCCACATTACGGCCTCGGAGCGAGAGTTCTTTGATAACTTTTATCAACTTCTTGATGGGACTACACTAGAGGAAGGCAAAGCTTGGAGCGAGACGTTTGCCCCCGATGGGGAGTTTCGGGCATTTGGCCATGTATTCAAAGGTCATGCTGGTATGGTTTGCTTCGGTCCTCCAGTTGATTATCATAAGTTGACAGAACAAAAGCCACCGAGAAACACATCACCAACTTTTGGAAGTCCTTTCCAGGATTGAAGCATCAGCCCTTAAAGGCTTACACATATGATCCAGCCGGACGAGAGTTAATCATTCTGACCAACTACGAAATGACTTGCCCCGACGGATCTATCATTCAGGACAAGAGTGCTGCCCATTTTAATCTGAAAAAAGTGAGCGGTAAGCATATTATTGAGCGATTGACGCTGTACTTGGTAATACCCAAGCATCTCAATCCAGAGAACCTTCTGTTAATGAGACCAAGGACCCCCAGGTGTTGACCAACACGTTGGCTAAGAGTGCGCTCTAGGGTGCTACCATGCCTGTAGAGATAGAAATAGTGGAAATGAGATTGAGATTTTTGTTCCCTTGTAGAAGATTCATTTGCCAAAAAAGAGATCCCTGAGGATCAGGTTTTGTGATAAAGAATGTGACTATTCCGGATTGACCTGTTATTTTCTCGGAAGGGTTGTCCATTACCTCGGCGTCACTTCCTAAATTTCCGTACATATTCGATGGGTCAACTACTAAGCTTGTGCTGTTGGGTAATTCTGTCAATGTCGTTCTGCAAAATGAAAGAAACAGCAAGAAAATCGCCTAATAGGGCTGATTGCAATCACATTCAACAAAGTTGGTTCAAAGAAGTACCAAGTTGCCTATGCTAGATCACCTAACGACGGAATATTAGGCAACACTGCTCTATGCTCTGTCCCTAAACTTAGCCCATTGCTGCTCAAACCCAGCGCCCTTGACCCATCTGTCCGGATACAATGCCTCTTCTGTTGAATCTAGAGCAATGTGTGCTGTCTTCAGAAACATGCTCTGTTTCATTGGAAAGTCCACTCTCTCTTCATATTCCAGGGACGCCCTTTCGCCGTTGGCCAGGGCCCGGACAAGCTTGGTTACATGAGAGTCATCGAGGAAAGCATTGACACGTTTAAATAGTTGCTCCCAGCCCATCTCTGGCTTCTTGGGTCGATAGTTGACAACCTCGTTGATGCGTAGCTGGGGACTGCCTCTGGCGGCGTAGGCGACAATGTCAAATCGGCCCTTCCATTCCAACAGTCGAGCTTTGTCTTCAAGAGAGATCCAGTCCTTCTCAACAAGGGAGGAAAAGAAGATCGAGCAGTTGACGTTGTGGATGAGGAAGAAGTCAAGCTTGTGCTGCTTCTCTGGCCGTTGAGCAGCGGCCGTGTAAAAGGTACAGACGTTGATCATCTCAGCCGTCTTCAGTTTCAGTTCTTGTGGAGAGACTCGCCATTGCGCGGCAATCTTCCACAACTCCTCTGGAGCATTGGCAAGTGGGTTGTCGTCGATCCAGCTCCCATCTCCCCAACAGGCAGCCGAGCGGATTGCATCGTTCTGTTCTATCTCTCGGATGAGATCGATCATGGGTCGGCTTGGGTTGTTCTTCAAAGACTCCTCTGCGGTCTGGATGCCTTTGAAAAACTTTCCAACTTCAGGTTGGCGGACAGCACTCTGGGCAAGGCCTTCTGCAATGATGGCTGGCTGATTAAACTCGAGCCCGAAGCCGAAGTGAATTACGGGATGTAAGAAACCTACAGGGTTAAAGATTAATTGAAGCCATTTAACCCCTTGCATAATGGGAAGTACTCACTTGCAAACAGTCGAGAGAGCAGCTCTTCAGCGATCCGCGAGCGTGAGAAGAGATATTCATGAACAACAGCACCAATCCCACGCTGAGCAATTTGGCACTCAAAGAATCGCAAGAAGTTGTGATAATTGTCAGGGCGAGACAAGCAGGCGAGGAAGTAGTTTTCATTCTCAAGTCTGCTGACTATTTCCTCATCAAGAGGATGCTGTGGACGCTGAAGCGACCTCTCTTGTGTGTAAGCTCGACGCATCTGTGTAGGAGTAGCTCCCAATGCAGCTTGTGTCAGGATGTAATGAGTGATGTGGTTGTGGAATCCTCGGTCGTTAAAAAACACATGGTGTTGTTCATGGTTTGCTTGAAGCAGCTCGTTGGCAGTCTTGATTGTTTCATCAGGGACAAGGAGGACGTGGAATACTCCCACATTATCCTGAGATATTTCGACTGTTGATGCACCAGCCATGATTGTAGGTTTGTCAACGAGATGGGGATGTTGGATGAGTTGATAGACTTGTACTGGATATTGGGCTGTTGGTTGGCTGAGTTGTCTCGAGCATCTTTTATCTGTAGTAGTGATCATTTTCATAACATGATTTATTAACATCATATAACCATAATAGCGTCACACCTTGTTTTCCCCATGGGGTCGGGTGTCAGATCCGGCTGGGGTCCGGCATTCATGGTGGGGCGGGGAGATAGGGGGTAGGTATCATGCCGATGATCTTAGACCTTTTTCAGGTATATTGGAGTTGTCATTACGTTTATTGATGATCCGATAGGCTCATAGTACCCGGTCCGTAGCATGGTCATTTATCCGAAGATTTGCTTCCGATCCAAGTGTCATGGGGTTCCAATGTTCATCGAGTTCCAAGTTTTGCAGCCATGTTTCGGCCGAAGAAGGCCGACCCAAGGAAAAACTACAGGCCTTGATAGAGTATAATAGACTTTGTAAGAATTCCAATACTATTTCCATTCAACAGTTTCTTTCAGAGTTCCTTCACCGTCGAAAAAAAAAAAAACATCTTTCCACCTTCATCATGTCCGAGGCTATCAAAGACATCAACAATCTCAACTCCTTGGGCGTTCAGCCCTTCTATTGGAGAAAAGGCCTCGATCCCAAGGAAGGCAAACATCCTGGCCTCAGAAAGAATCAGACCGAGATTGCGGATGGCATGGAAATCACCTGGGACGTCCCTGTCCCCATGCGCGATGGCGTCAAGATATATGCCGACATCTTCCGGCCGGAGGGCGTAAAGGGCAAGCTTCCCGTCATCCTCACCATGAGTCCCTACGGCAAGCATGGACCCAAGACTTTTGCCATCTTTCCCGGGGCTGGAGTCCCCGACGGCTGGGTCTCCAAGTATGCAGTCTGGGAGGGAGTGGACCCCATCACTTGGACCAAAAAGGGCTACATCGTCGTCAATGGCGACAGCCGTGGATCTTGGGGTTCCGAGGGCAATCTCGAGGTCTTTAGCAAGCAGGAAAGCCAGGACGGCCACGATCTGATTGAATGGCTGGGCACGCAGTCTTGGTCCAATGGCAAAGTTGGCATGGTGGGAGTTTCGTACCTCGCCATCATTCAATGGGGCATCGCTGCAACCAAGCCCCCACATCTGGCCTGTTTCATGCCCTGGGAAGGCTTTACAGACCTCTATCGGGACTATAGTCACCACGGAGGTATCCCCGAGACCAAGTTTATGCATTTTACCATGTGGTCCTGTCGCTGTGGTCCCAACTTGGTTGAGGACTGGATCAAGAATCACGAAGAACATCCGCTCTACGACGACTACCACCGTTCCAAGGACAAGTTTGAGACTCTTGCCAATATCACAGCCCCTGTTTATGCCGTCATTGACTGGGGTGACCACGGCATGCACACCCGTGGATGCCTCAACGGCTGGACAGGCGTCAGCTCCAAGGACAAGTGGCTTGAGATTCATGGCCGTAAGAAGTGGCGTTACTTTTTCGAGGAGGAGAGTGTTGTTCGCCAAGAAGCCTTCTTCAAAAAGTATCTGAAGGGAGAGCAGAGCGAGATCGACAGCTTTCCCAGGGTGAGGATGGAAGTACGCGATCGGGCATGGCAAGGAACGTTCCGAGCCGAGAACGAGTGGCCTCTGGCTCGCACCAACTACACCAAGTACTACCTTGACACGGAGTCTATGCAGTTTGGGCCAGATTCACCTCATAAGACATCTGTCGTGTCTTACGAGTCTGCGGAACAGGATAACTGCGCACACTTTACGTACAAATTCACCAAGGACACGGAACTTACCGGGGGCATGCGATTGAGGCTCTGGGTTTCGGCCGAGAAGGGAGACGACATGGATTTGTTTGTACAGCTGGACAAGATTGGTGCTGACGGCAAGGTTGCACCATTTGTGGCTTTTTCCATGGTTGACGATGGTCCTCTCGGGCTTGGCTGGCTTCGTGTGAGTCACCGAGAACTTGTCATCAACCGAAGCACCACGGATAGGCCCTGGCACCCCCATACGCGCCGTCTGCTTCTGCGTCCAGATGAAGTTGTCCCAGTCGACATTGAGATCCTTCCAACCTCTACCCTATTCCGGCCCGGCGAGACGTTGAGGGTCAAGATTCAGGGTAATGACTGTTTCCGACACTCCACGCCTGATGTCGTGCAGTTCCATGAGCGAACTGTTAACCAGGGAAAGCATTACATCTACACGGGTCCTTTCTACGAGTCGTATCTAGTTCTTCCTATTGTCGAGTAGGATAAGACGCTTTCTCATCGGGCTTGTGGTTGAGACGCGTTACACTACAAATCAGAATTTATATGACTCAATTTAGGATCACTTGATGCTTAATCTCATTGCTTGAAAGCAGATGGGAAGTGAATGACTGTTTTTACCCTCAAAAGCTAAGATGAGATGTGTATACTTGATAATAAAAAGGAGACGGTTGACTCACGCCGATGAGGCTTCCATGAAGGGCCATTGGGCACAGTAGCATTAGACATGTTTAGCAATAGGTGTTGATTTTTGACTACTACAGCGGTGACCACACCACTCACTCATGATGCTGCTATGTATATTGGCCGAAGGCGATGGAGTCCTGGATGATGCGAGTATAGCTGAGTCCGCTTTGTTTGGCCATTTTTGTAAACTGTTTGGGGTAGTAGTAACCATCTTAATTCAGTAGATGATGTCAGGATTATTAACTAGGTAATGAAATTGCCGGGCCGACAACTATGGCTCTCTTGTGGAGGGGAAAAGACCAATTTTAGCTCCCTAACTCCCCCCGATGAGCCACGACGCCGTGGAATTGATTATGCATGCAGGTAAGAATGGAACTTCCCTATTATGAATGGACCCCGGCGTTCCCGGATGCATACAAGTGTAGAAGCCGGAACACCCCCGGTGGCACACGATAAAATACCTGCCTTTCAGGGCGAAGGGTGCTCACTTCTTAGTAACAACTCCGACTATCTTTCCGAGACTGCAACTACCCCGTATACATTTCCCTCCTTGTTTGTTGTTAGCCAATATGACCCTCTTAGTCGGAATTGCAGGCATCACTGGCCAATTTGGTCAGCTGTTAACTTCCAAACTTCTTGATGCTGGCCAACAAGTCTCGGTCCGTGGCTTTTGTCGAAACAAATCCAAGCTAGCCCGAAACCTCTCTGCTTCTTCTCAAGTCGAGATTGTGGAAGGCGGCGCGTATGGTCAAGACCAAGTCGCCAAATTTGTCAGGGGCTGCGATATTGTCGTCTGCTGCTACCTGGGAGACGACGATCTGATGATCCAAGGTCAGAAGGTCCTCATTGACGCATGCGAGGATGGAAAAGTCCCTCGCTACATGGCAAGCGACTGGTGTTTGGATTATACCAAGCTCGAGTTCGGGCAGCTCTTCATCAAAGATCCGATGAAGCATGTCAAGGCTTACTTGGGCACCAAGGTGTTCGTGAAAGGAGTCCATATTCTCATCGGCGCTTTTCTTGAGACTCTCATCAGCCCTTACTTTGGCATATACGACTCTGGAACACACACGTTCTCGCATTGGGGCGAGCCAGGTGTTTTGTTCGAAACCACGTCTTATGGAAACGCGGCCGAGTTCACGACACAGGTCATTCTTGACAAGGAGGCGGTTGGCATTCAGCGCTGTGAGTATATGTTCGCGTGGTTAAATAGTCTAGGTGTTCAGTATTGACCAGTCTTAGTTGTGGGAGACACCAAGTCCATGGACGACATTGCGAAAGCGTATGAGAGGGTCTATGGCGTCAAGGCTAATGTCGTGATAAAGGGCTCTGCAAAGCAACTCTATGACGAAAGGTGGAGTGTACGAAATCGACCTTCGAGCCAACCCAACGAATACATGGCCGTGTAGGTTGGAACCGACCGTCATGCTTGAATACAGAGCTAACCTCGCAAATAGGCTCTACCAGTACTACATGATAAATGAGCAGACCTACGTGGGACCGTACCTTCAGAACTTGAAGTACCCAGACGTGAAGGCTTTGAAGATTGAGGAGTTTATGCGGCGCGTCCCATTGGATCAGCTCCCTGTTGTTTATAGCAATCCTGTGACACAGAGGGTGTAAGTTTGCGAGTTCGATCCGTGTTTGAGAGAGTTTTGGCTTCAAATGAAACACAAAATCATTTTATATCCTCATAGAGTTGTTTTTTCGTAAAAGATGTGTCGTAGGTGCCAAAACATGTGTTGTCTGTACTGATGATGTTATGACCTTGTCTTGGAACTCTACTGTTTCGTTCTCTCTCTGAACACCTTGTAAATGACAGACCTATCAGTCGACCTATTTTCTACACATAGCTTCTTTTCGACTCATGTACCTGATGCAGTGTTCTGTCCCCCCCTCGAGTGCATAATCTTGAGATCAACTTTGCCAGGTAAGGATGATTCAACGGCTTCAAAATGCAGAATTCTCTTCTAAATCAAAGCGATCTAGTTCTTCTAGCACCAGTCTAAATCTTGCTCTGCGTGTTAGGACTCATCTGATCCAGTACAGAATTGGTCGCTGAAAAAACATCATACCCAAACAGCCATTGCTGAAACATCTTACCACTCAAACTATTTGGGTTCGCATTTTCGAGTTCCTCCTCAAACTCTTCATCCCTGGTATCCAAGTCCATGTAGGAGAATGCCTTGTCCCGAGCCTCCTGTTCCGGGCCATCGTGCATATGCCAGATCAAGCTGCTATCCCTGGTTCCCTTCTGGACGCGTTCTGCACGAGGCTTGCGAATCTTTTCGTAAGCTTCAAGGTATTCTGGAAGATACGAGAGACTCTTGACACGGTCGAGGCATTCTGCTAGGCAAGCACCATCTTCAATGGCTTGGGCGGCCCCCTACGCCAAGAAAGGCACCATTGCGTGGGCTGCGTCTCCCAAGAGGACAACTCTCTCATTCGTCCAGGTTGGCAGCTCAGGAAGGTCTGCAATCTTCCAATTGAGACAGCTTGTAACTTTTCCAACCACCTTTCGAATAACTGGATCAAAGTCCTTGTAATGCTGCTGCATCTCTTGCAGGTTCCCAGGTTCGTTCCATTTCCCGGCGGCAGCGACACCGCCTGGATGGGAGAGCACCATGTTGTACATGGCCCCTTGGCGGATCGGGTAGGCCATGATGTGATGGTTAGGTCCAATCCAACAGTTCGCGTTGACATCTGTCATGAGGTGCGAGACTTGGGGATCCGCATTCATGGCTCCAGCGGGCACAGTGGCACGGTAAGAACAGTTTGCAGCGTCATTAGGCTGCACGTTGCTATCGCCTAGAAGTGCAGCCCGTGTCTTGGACCGGATTCCATCCGCCCCTACGATGAGGTCCGCCGTCAGAGTCTCGCCGGTGAGAAGCGTTATGCTTGGTAGGTCAACGTCAACGGAATGTACAGGAGACGCGAGTTTGACGTCGACGCCAGCTTCCTTGGCGGCATGAAACAGGATGGACTGGAAGTCGGCCCGGTGAATCAACCAATACGGGAACCCGTAGGCCTCTGAGAGTTGAGGATGCAACGGCGTGGTCCCCAAGATGTCTCCAGTGGCGTATCTGCGAAACGCAAACCCCCGAGGCCATACGATCTTTTCAAGGAACTTGGAAGTAAGGCCATATGCCTCGAGAACTCGGGAGCTGTTTGGTGGAATCTGGATGCCTGCGCCTACCTAACAATGCAGTCTTGTTTAAACGACAGTCAACATTAGGGATCAAGCATCAGTCATACCTCTGATAAAGCGGATACAGCCTCAAGGACTATGACATGGTGCCCCTTACGTGCAAGTCCGATGGCGGCTCCGAGTCCTCCCAGCCCAGCGCCGTTGATTATGATACGTAGCTTTAAGTTTTAACTGTGGCCCATTTTGTCGGTGATGTGGATGTCGAATCTGATTTGGTAGATATTCTCTTGATCACAGGGGGTACTATATGTATATCCTCGCACCCAGAGGAGAGGATTGTATCTGTACTGATACATGGCAAAGCGGACGCTCTCACGATGACCAGAAGAGAGCCAATGCCACTACGGCCCAGGGCGGTGGGTGAGAGACCGGAGCCGAAGCATCGGAAGTATTTGCTTCCGAGCAAGAACAGAATCTCCAACAAACTAACCGGCTGCAGTCAAGGATATCACGTAGTCGCAACGCAGGCCACCGCACCGGTCAGTCACTACCTGCCATGAGATAAAAGGATTAAATCTATGCGCTGGCATCGCAAGTAGTCCAGATTTTGCATCACACATTCATACTGGCAAACCTGACCGGAGATTCAGTTCGCCAAGTGCTAGATGTTAGTACTATTATTCATGTAATCCCCTCATGTCTATTGATTAATCCGCTGATATCAGAATCACATTACGCTCGTATCAACCACCTGCACCAGAGAGAGGTAAGTGCTGATAGCTAGTAGTGTCCATTCTATCTAGTTCTCGTATAGTTGCGCGGGTATGCTATTAAGCCAAGACAAATCGTCAAAATCCAGTTCATAGTTGAAACCCTCAAAGTCAATCGCCATCAGCCCGTCGATCGCTGCTAAACCTTCCATCACATCAGTATGAATGGTCAACCCAAAATCCAAAGACTTGATCTCGTTAGGAGTAGAATTCATGAAAGTAGTATGGCTTGCACCTTCTCTACTGGCGTCAAAGCTGTGCATAGACTGCTTTGTCAGGCTTGCTTGGTATGCTCTCTGGTTCCCCAGATGCTCGCATGCATCGTCTGGTCCCCTCTCCTCTGCGAGAGACTCGGATTGATCCAGCTCAGCTAGTTCCCCTCGCCGCTTCTGCAGTGTTAGACCCTTCTGCCTCCTTTGGACGTGACCCAGAAGGATGCCAATGGCAGTCGCGCATCTCACGGCATGGTCCCCGAACCTCTGGAACGATGTGAGAAGTTTGATGCTGGCTCGGCACCCATCCAGAATCCTCTTTGGTCCAACTTCGGCCGTCAGCGCAGGGTGTAACTGTGCGGCTACGAGAATTGTAGCAGCGCTGTAGATGTAAAAGGTGCTATACCACCAGGCAGGCAGCAAGTCCTCGCAGTCTTGGATACTTCGGTTTCCAATGCTGGACTCGTAGAACTCGACAGTTTCCAAGGCTGCCCTCACACAACTGACAGATGAGTGAAGAGCAATCTTCCAGGGCACCGTCTCTGAGAAGCCTGCCCGGCCGTGGTCCTGTCTAGCACAGAACCGTGACAGAATGGGACGCAACAGTAGAATGCGAGTGTGGTGGAAACGAAGAAATAGAATATGGCTCTGACGCTTGTGGATAATCGACTTGGGAGCATCTGGGTCATTGCGAAGATGAATAGGAAGACACCTTTGCCAACGCTGGAGCTTGTCGTCAACTTCGAAAACCTGACCTACGATCCTGGCCGCTTGGCTGCCAAAGTACACGGCATATTCGTCGACTTTGACTGCCTCCTCAACAGCTGAAGCGTCGTATACCGTGAGTAGCGCCTCACCCATGAGTTCATATAGCTTGAGGGCTTCAGTGAAAAAGTGCAGATCGCGCTCATGTGCGACATCAAAGCTGAATGGAATGGAGTGGCAGCTGCAAAGGCCCTCATGATTATGTACCAGCGGCATGGGGACTGCTGTCGCCGCCTGCGGGGTGATCATCAGTGGTCGGCCGAATGTCATAGAAAGAGCCCTATCCATAAGGATGCAGCCGTGCCAGACCTTTCGCATCGTCTCCCTGATAGTTGTCGTGGGTGCCTCGGCGCTCGTCGCTACCAAATCCAGGCCGATGCTCTGAGCTACTCGGATGGCCATACCAATCGACATCCAGCATTGCTGTGACTTGTTTGTGCTTTGTAGATACTGCCCAGATAAAAGAAAGCACTGTACGGCCAGGACTGAGCGATTCTGGAGGTCTGAGAAGTCGAGGAGTGCTTGACTGCGTCGGTAGAACACGGCCGCATTCGAGCCCCTTTCCTCGGGCTCCATCCGGGGGTTCAGGTTGCAGCTCAGACTGAATACCACGTTGAGGAGGCTAATGAACATCTTGGTGTCTTCGCCAAGATTTTCCCCGGCCCACAAGCGTCGATACATTGACTCCATCTGATCTCGATCCAGGAATGGATACAACGGATCAATGCATCTCCAGTAGACGTCAAGAAGATGGTCAGCCCTTCGGCGGGGAGGCAGAACCACATCTACGTGAGAAATCTGGTCACCCATGGTCGTGACTAGTTGAGGTTGAACCATGTCGGCCGTCTGATTGGGTTCAACACTGGCAGCGCGAGACGCCAGGTGGTGATCGAGCACGTTTCTGATGTGGCTCATGAAGCTGCTGACACTCGAGTCGCCATGTATCGGCAGTCTCCGGCCAGTCTTCTCTTGTATCAATCCCAACATGGCGTTATTCTGCTCGTCGTCGTCGTCGTCATCGTCAATCCGTTCCTCAGAGACATTTGGAGACATATAATCCCGGGCTGGTGTCTGCAATGTCCGTCGTTCATTTTCAAGCTCTTGTAGCCTTTGCTCCAGTCTGAACAGATATTCCCGTGATGTGCTGCTTCCTCGAACCTTTCGAGAACCCCAGGTACAGGTGGTCGACGTCTGCTGTCGCCTTCGACAAGGGCTACACACTAAAGCGCTCCGCGATGCATCGGTCAGTTAACCATTCAACACTTTCGGGGCGATGATTATACCTGGTCGAACTCCGTCACACTTTGTCTTCTTGCTTCTGCACCGGTCGCAAGCTGCGCTGACCTTTTGACGTTTCTTGGGCCGTTCGATACTGGTCTCCTTCTCGGTCGACGTGCCGCGGGGGATCCCATTCATGATGGGGTCTTCCATCACTGTTGGTATTTGCGGGTCCATCTTGGTGAGTATCCGGAGTGCAGAATCCGGGGTATCAGTGTTTGCTGATCAAAGAGCTGGAGCATTTTCCTCGTCGGGGCTTAGTACGTCAAGTCCGCGGCACCCGTTATCTCCCCCCGAGCCCCCGTGAGGTCCGGCCAAGGACATTGCCCCCAAGCTGCAAGGCGACAACGACGATCTCGGCCCCCCATGAACGAGAGATTTCACAGACGTGGCTACCAGGTTCATGAATAGCACCGGTATGTAGGAATGTAGGATCGCGGTACCATCCGCGGCTTGGTCCAGACTCGCGAAGTGTGGAGTTACCCCAGAGTATATTTACGACGCAGAATGCTTAGACGTACGGGAAGCAGTTTTCGGCACAGGGAACTTAGACTCACAAGCCGGTCGTTCATTCCACCAGTAACCTAGGTGAGCTGAACTTGAGGAATTAGAGAAGGGGGGTAAATTCAAGGCATTTGAAGAGATATCTTAGGGCTCGTGTCATCCTGTCTTTTCTGTCCGCTCTGGGCCTGTAGGACAGATGCCCCCGTCATCCCAGCCAGTCGAGCAGAGCAAGTCATGTTGGACTTCCGTCCCGGTACCCCCGGAAAGCTATATTTGACAGGCGAATAATTCCGGCTGAGTTGTCGTCGTTCCGCGGATACGATAAAAGCCCAAATGCATGCAACTATAAATATCATTCCAACTTGCTAATTAAAGGTTACTCACACTCTTCATCTCAAACTCAAACAGAATAACTAGCCTTGCTAAAAAAAAGGATAAATACTCCCACACAATACTCTAATTCCATATATGGCTAATCATTAATGATAAGTCGCAATAACTAGTGCAGCGAGCAACATCGGCTTGGCCACAGCAAAGCTGCTTGCACGTCGCGGGGCTTTGCTCTCTCTTGCTGACTTGAGCTTACCACGGTTAGAAGCGGCTCGATCTTCACTCGGGGGAGACAATGAACGACACATCATTACCGCCGTCGACGTCAAGTCTAGCAGCGCCGTCAGTGCCTGGATTCAGGACACAGTCAAGTGGTTTGGTGGGCTCGACGGATGCGTGAATGTTGCGGGCTTCTGTGGCCCGCATAGATACATCGTCGATGAGATAGATGACATTTGGGATTAGGTTATGGGAGTCAACGCTACAGGTGCTTTCAATTGCACTCGGGCTGCTTTGTCCGTGATGGGCGCCGGAGGGTCACTGGTACGCCTGCGCCTGTCCATTCTTGTCTGATGTGCATCTGACCAAAAATTGCATAGGTCAACGTCACGAGCGCCGGTGGTCTTCAGGGGTTAGTTGGCATGGGAGCTTATTGCGCAAGCAAGCACGCCGTCATCGGCTTGAGCAAGACGGCAGCCAAGGAGATGGGTTCCAAGAACGTGAGAGTGAACTGTGTTGCTCCTAGTGAGTCTAGCAGATGAACAGAGATGGGTTGGGCGTTATATGGTAGTACTAATAGGTGGAAACAGGTACAATTGATACGCCCATGGTGAAGGATATGGAAGCGTCCATAGGTACAAGTCTAACTGCATCTCATCAAGCCCTGGATCGAAAGGCTGATCCATCAGAGGTTGCCAACGTAATTGAGTTCCTCCTGAGTATGCCTCACTTGGTCTGTTTCCTTTTCAAGTGGTTCTGACGTAATTGATAGGCGACGAAGCGAGTTTCGTTACTGGTGCTGTGTATAGTGTCGCCGGTGGCTGGATGGCGTAAAGGGGTGTTGTAGAGCGTTGAAGCAAGCATCAGTCCTTTTGATGAAAGAGAACCACAACGTTACAGGGGGAACATGTCTGGTATCAAGGACCCCAAACCATCTACAAAACTGCTCAGATCCAGCATCATGTCTGAGTCGAGGCCCCCCATGAACCCCCCGTCGAGTTGTTCTAAATTTGCATCCGGGGGGATTAACTGGACCTGATCACTTTCACATACTCCACCCCGTCGCTGTTCGGTGTTGGAGGCTGGGGTGTATAAAGCGAGAGAAACTTGAAGCAAACGATGCACAATCTTCTTACACCGCAATGCCTGGTGCGTCTCGCCACCAAGCTGCTCCAGGACTTGGAGTGCTGTCTGCAAGGCTTGTACAAGGTCTGCGGGCGCGAACCGATGAGTTTGCGTATCGCCTCTGTTCATGACGAGGATGCTGCCGTAGATGGCCAGAGCAGCAGTGAAAGCTATGAGATGTCAGGATGGAAATTAACACCAAGCGTTTCTAGAGCAGGGAAGCCTACTGAAATAGACCGAGTACCACCATATCGGTAACAAATACTGCTGGTGAGTCGCCTGTGAGATGATACTAATTGACTCCAAGGCTGCATCGACACAAGTCTCCATGCTACTGACACTCATGTTGAATATAAGGTCTTGATGGGCCTGACGTGACGGCGACTCCAAAAGCCGCGACAAGATGGCTCTGTGTAGAAGAGTCCGCACATTCAAATACCTTACGGTGAGGATGGTCCGGAACCGGTATGTCTGTGTTTCTCCCACGGCCTGTAACTGACTGAGCTCTGACGCAGTGACCTGGGAGAGCCCAGGGGGGAGTTGCTGACGCCAGTTGATTAGGTCCTGATCTACCTCCAGAACCTTGGTCAGCAACTGATGCAGGCTTGTTGTTTGTGCTGGGCAATATATGTTGTTGTCATAGACCGACTCTATGACCTTGCCGAGAATAAGATATAGCCGACTATTAACACACACGTCAGTCCATCATTTTACAAATGTCCCTTTATCATGGCTCTTACGATGTGTAGACCAAGAGACTCGGTGTTGACGCGGCAGAAGCAATCAAGCTATCCGGAAGGTTGCCAGCAAGCGTCTCAAGCTCAACATCGGTCGGCAAGTCCATCACCATATACGCATTCGGCATGAGTTGTGGACGACCGTAGGTCATGCTGCACATTCTACCATTTGGTTAGTATCATCGACCTCCCCAATCACTGGCAAATCCAAGGCGTTACGTTACCTATCCATGATGAAGCACATCCACCAGGCTCGTTTTCGGAGTTCGGCCTCGAGAGGAGTATAGTGAGCTTGGCTAGCTGGTTGGTACAGGCCTACTTGAAAAGCCGCATGGATGAGCCTGCCAAGTATATCCCACGTCTGGGACGATCTCTGAGTGCCCTGAACATATTGGGTTGCCATCAACAGCGCCTGTACTGTGTATATGATCAGCACAATCCACCGGTGGTGAAATGTACTTACTTGGCTCAAGATTGCCTGCTGCCGGCTTGATATCCGGGATCAGTAGCAGTGCTCGCTGCAGGAAAACATCGCCTCTCTCTGCCCTGGCTGACGCCGGCAAGTCTGAAGGGCAGTGGGTGGTGGCGAAGGCCATGAGCAGATTCAAGATGCAAAGCTGGGATCGCTCAACGTTCTGGAAGCCATTTCTGCGCATGTTGGCAAAGCTGCGGAGGACGTAAGGCTTGTAAAGGTATGGAAAGAATTTCCCTGTATTGTCAAAAAAGGTATCCACCATTTGCAAGACATCGTGATGAGAAGGGAGAACGTGATGGTTTGCTACAGGAGGACTTTGTGCGCCCGTCAATGTGAGCGACGGAGAAGCTGGCCGTGAAATATCAAGCGTAGGGGCAGCTTGAAAGGTATTCAAACTTGGTGTACGGCTCTGTCCTTGTCCGAAGATGATGCGCTGTGCGATAATGATCTTTTGGAGAAAGGCAGGGTTGGATGTAGGACCTTGACATATGTTATCAGCATTGGCCACAGATGAACACAACCTTTATCTTTCGTACCAAAGACCCCGGAGCAAGTCTCGCCCTGGAAAGTGATTGATGCCATGCCATCAACACTATCGTTGGGATCAGCAGGCCACGCCAAATTGTCAGTGCCTGAGGCTAGATCCACGCAGGTCTCATCCTGGGGCATGGCATCATGGCCCTGCGTCTCAACGGAACTGGGGTGAGTTACTTCTTCCCGGGTATCATTCTGAGCCAAGGATGAGGGAGAAGGAATGGGTTCTCGAGAGCAAGCTGGGACCAGCCTATGCAGCAGACGTTCCATATCTCTCAGACGAGTGTCAAGCTGTGCTACGGCATGATGATCCACCTTGGGCGCTGACACTGCCACGGAGTCTCGATAGTAACATTCAACGCCATGCTCGTTACAGAGGTCACAGACTGGGCGTGACCCATCGCAGCGAGACTTGCGCTGCCTGCAAGGCTCGCAAGCATGAGCGGTCCGCTTTCTCTTTCTGGTGATTCTGGGCTCCTGGCTTGCACTGGTTGGCCCAGGATCGTCCATGTTTGGTGGTGATGGAAGGGGTCGTGATGCTGGATGGAGGAGGATTAGTCATGGCAGATGGGGAGAGTCCCTGATAAAACTGAGCTGACAATGACTGTTTGAGACGCGTAGGTACTGTACGGGGCCAGCTGGGCCACATTAAGGTGTCTAGTAGTGCTGAATGCTCGCGTTTGTCTCCTGGCGCGACCTCGGTCCCGTGACAAGTGGCTTTTGCTACCCTAGAGGTTTGCCAGTAAACTTGATTACATCATCACAATTGGTGGGTACGGAGATATCTTACGTCCCCGGCACCGTCAAACGATCGGTGGTCTTGGCATTCCCCGAGTGTCCGAGGAACCAGGCACGGCAAGATTCCTCTTATTAAGTCGCCGAGTCCGAGAACCAACCAAATAGCATTGACTCAGAGAAGCCCACATGGTAACGTAAAGAGATTCGCCATATGACTTGGGGAATTTTGTAAGCGACTCCACCGCCACGAATGCTCTGAGGTGCTGCTTTATCTAAGCAACGGGGTTCATGATGGAGGCGTGGCCATGGCGTTGTACCTCGGTTCTCGCGCCAAGTCCCAGGAAAGACCGACATGACAAATGCAGTTATTGGTTCTGTTGTGACTTGCTGTGGCCCTCTTGCATCGGGGACTTAGGGACCCTACCACGCCACTATCCTGAAAACTACGAGTAAACAAGCTCACCGACCAAGGCTGTATATGAATGGACCTTGATCTTGGTTTGGCGGTTACTTCATCGTTGATAAACATTTCCAGCCTCCAAAGCTACTACTGCAAGGCTTAAATCAACACTCCCTTGCAACATGGCGAAACTCTTCACCCCCCTCAAGGTCGGGGCCATGTCCCTCTCCCAACGCATTGCCATGGCTCCAATGACCCGGCTCCGGGCTAGCGATTCTCACGTTCCGTTACCCTCTGTAAAGGAGTACTACAAGCAGCGTGCCTCGGCCCCCGGATCTCTCGTCGTTACAGAAGCCACCGTCATCAGCCCCCGACACGGTGGTTATGCCAACGTCCCAGGCATCTACAACCAGTCTCAGATCGACGCCTGGAGGGAAGTCACCAGCGCCGTGCACGCCAACGGATCGTATATCTTTCTTCAGCTGTGGGCTCTTGGTCGCGCTGCAAACCCGCAGTCCCTGCAGCAAGCAGGACACCAGATGGTTTCCAGTAGCGATGTCCCTATGAAGAGTGCCTTCAGTGATGAGATGCACTACCCGACTCCATTAACTGAGGATGGTATTCACGGTGCAATTTCCGATTTTGCAGTCGCAGCTAAGAACGCCATCAGCGCTGGGTTCGATGGAGTGGAGATTCATGGCGCCAACGGATACCTCGTCGACCAGTTCATCCAAGACGTCTCAAATAAACGAACCGATAACTGGGGTGGAAGCATCGAAAACAGATCACGCTTTGCTGTCGAGGTCACTCGGGCTGTTGTCGAAGCAGTCGGAAGAGAGCGCACTGCGATCCGTCTAAGCCCCTGGAGCAAGTACCAAGGCATGCGCATGGACGATCCTGTCCCTCAATTCTCAGATCTTGTACACAGGCTGGCCGACTTCAAGCTGGCCTACCTTCACGCATGCGAGTCTGACGCTAAACAAAGTGGCGAAGATATCAAGTTCATCCTGGACACCTATGCCGATGCGAGCCCTGTTCTCGTTGCCGGTAATTACGATGCAGCTTCCGCTAAGAATGCGGTAGATGTCGAGTATGCGAACCACGACGTTGTGGTGGCATTTGGTCGCCCGTACATCTCTAATCCCGACTTGGTATTTAAAGCGAAGAAGGGCATCGAGTTTGCGCCGTTCGATCCAAAGACTATGTACGCACAAAGCGATGAGGGCTACATAGATTACCCCTTCGCCCAGGAGGCCAAGGATGAATAAAGCGGCGCTGGGAAACTAGGGTATGGACTATATAGGTTGTATATTAAGTCGTGAGGGTAGAGGTTACCCCTCTTTAGATATTTATATTTATAGACTAGAGAGATATTATTACTGTACTTCATCGTTTCACTTCTGTGGCTTTTGCCTCATTTCCTTAAGGCATCTATAGCTATTGTGTACGGCTCGTCTTGAAATGGCGCGCTACCCTCCCTATAGGTGGGCTTATTGTTCGTCTGCAAGGTCCCCTACGGAGAGTCCCCATTAATTGATATTGTGTTATATGCTACTTGACCACCTTGAAGCCATTACAAGAGCGACAGTTAACTATACATTGTTCAACAACTACTGTTCACTATCTATGGGAATATGGTCTGCCGCTCACACAAACTTCTTAGACCATGTAAAACTGCTAATGTCGGCTGGCTTCGCAAGGCGAACCCTGTTGGCGGATATCTCTGGTCGAGAAAGAATCTGCTCGTAATAGGGAGCCAAGGCAAATGATCCGATACTTCCGTTCTTTGCCGCCATCTTATCATGCTTAACTCGAAACGCGAGCCAGACCTCGTTGGAACGAATGTTGGTCTCGGCTAATTCTCGACAAGCGATATTGGCAAGGGAGAAGAGCGCTCCCTGACTGATGGCAGTCACGCCAGCCCACTAGAGATAATATGGTTAGTTAAGCTACATCCCACAGGGAGTCCAAGCACGCCAACAACTTACACCACTGTCACCTGCGGCACCGGTCATAAGGGTCCAGGTGCTCTTTCTATACTTCTGCTTAAGAAGATACGGAGTTGTGGCTCTGTATGCGACTTAGACAAGTTAGGAAAATTCGGTTATGAGGGATAGATGCTAATGCAATGGGTTGCGGGCAGGCTTACAAAAGTTGGCCTCAAGATTAACATTCATAATCTTCCGGAACGCCTCGGTGCTGATATCGGTAATGCGAGGCGTAAGGTCGAAAGCTCCGACTATCCCACTGTCAGTATTGTCCTGTGGCGCTGTCTTCAAATGCGTATTTACCTGATGAGTAAACATGCTGAAAGGACGGAAGTTGGCCTTCTCATACACGCTGCACAACGCTTTGGACACCATCTGGAGACGTGACATCGGCTTCCGCGATCGTAATCCCCTTGGATGTGCCAATATGACGAATAAGTTTGCTGGTGCTGGCTTGATTTCATACCACGGCGATGACGTTTCGCCCAGTGTTAAGAGCAGCTTTGACAGCAGACACGCCAATGTTGCCAGTGGCTCCGACAACCAGAACGGTCTCCATGATTGGGTTGAGTGTCTAAATGCGCGTGCGGTGGAAAGCAGCGATAAAGGCCGTGTTGGCAAAATATGGATTTGAGTCTTGCTGGCGTTATTCGTAGCCTTTATTTAGCGACCTCCAAGCCAGTGATTGTTTAGATGAGCGTGTGAAATATTTTTAGGGATCTCTGACGGCAACAGAAGGTTCAGCTTATCTCCCCGGCTATCCTCCACCTCCAATGTTGGCTCCTTGGTATAACTTTGACCATTGTATAGAGGTAACGAAGCCTATCCATTACGAAGCCACTCCTCAACTTGACTTGGGGAAATGACTCAAGTAATGATGTTTTTGGACTCAACCTCTAGCTAGAAGGCTTCACCACTGCCGGGAAGCCAGGGGAAGATTACCAGCCTTCAATGTTATCAAGACGGGAGCGGCTCGACATCATTCCGTGGCATGTCCCAACTGCCCTCCTATTGGCCTTCGGCGATCGGGAAATGCCAAGACTGCGGCTAGTATAATCACAGAACGGCCCGTCCACTGAATGGGGCTTAAAGCTGGCGGTTTTACGTCGGGTAGTTACCATATCTCCCCGAGTAGGCCTGGGCATGGCTGCATTTCGAATGCTTAGCCAATTTTTCATGGCTATCCTTGCCCTGATCCATGCTCGGCTCGCGAGTCCGGGACGCCTCGGGTGAATTTTAGTCAAACGGATCGACCTCGCTGTCCGATGCGCGATGCGAGACAAGGAGTGGGGGAGGATTGTGGATAGGCTCTTCAAGATGACTTTCAGGGATAACGTTGATATCACAGCATGAGTAATCTTAAGCCTCAAAACTATCCATCATTAATCTAATAAACCTACGAGCCCGGTTTGATCGACCAGGAAAACTGATTATTGTCATTTTCTCCAAATACCTCTTTATTCGCGCCGTTCGTTTACTCCGTTCGTCATGACTGCCTTGAAACCCCTCACGGTTTATGTGCATAGTAACACTCCAAGCCCCTTTATCCTGTAGTAGTCAGCTAATAATGTGAACAAGGCGCGGGGCCAAACCCTTTCAAAGTCACCATTGTTCTTGAAGAACTCGGGATCCCCTATGACAAGGTATGTCCTCGGTTGTATCGATGCTTTGCAACCACTGACATGGCCCAGATTGTAGTGGACAATCCAAAGCAGGATTGGTTCCTCGCCTTGAATCCTAATGGCCGGGTTCCAGCCCTCACTGATCCCAATAATGAGGATTTCACCATCTGGGAGTCTGGAGTTATTGTTGAGTATCTTGTCGAGCTGTATGACAAGCAGGGCAAGTTGACAGTGGAGGATGCAAGGGGAAAGTGGGCGTTGAAACAATATCTGCATTTTCAGATGTCAGGCCAGGTAAGTCGTTCAGGGTTTTGGTCAATCCTCGAGGTATTAATGAGATTTCTCACGCAGGGCCCGTATTTTGGCCAAGCTGTGTGGTTTCATCGTTGTCCTGATGACATTCCGATCGCAAAACAGCGATACATTGAGCAGACAGTTCGAGTTTTCGAGGTGCTGGAGACTATCCTCAAAGACCGGGAATACCTAGTAGGGGACAAATGGTGAGACTGGACTGGACTCCTGATGAAGTTTCTCTCTAATAGTACCACAGCACGTATGCAGATCTGTCCTTCATTCCGTGGAACAGGGTCGCCCTATACGCACCATTTTTCAAGGAGGTTTTGTGGGAACAGTACAAAGTTAAGGAGAAATTTCCCAACTTTCTAGCATGGCATCGGCGTTTGAGCTCTAGGCCGTCTGTCAGAAAGGCGTATGGTGAGTCTCAAGAATGACGAGAAGGGAGTTTTGTACAATCTAGGTAGAGATGACGGAGATGAAGTGATGTGATATTATCTACGTTCACTTGCCATCCATACTATGCTACATGCTGAAAGATCGAACTATCATAAATCTGCCAAGAAATCCTCTTCAATTAGAGTCTATGCAAAAAATGGCATGTAAGGTGCCGTCCGTATAACAGAGTGAAGCATGACTCTGTAATCCGACCAGCGCCCAAGGTTTAGGTCATGATAGTTCCAGGCTGCTTCAATGAGATGTCTCAGCAGAGCCAAGCGGCGGCTCCCAGTATGTTCCTCTATCTTAGCCACAACATCGAGAATTAACAGCCGCGTCGAGTCTCTGTGTGCCTCGCAGGCTATGATGAAGATAGGCCACGGAGTATAAGAAACACTGAGAGTCTCTAGGATATCCAGACCGCGTTTGACCAGGACCTCGTGGGCTGCTTCTTCTCCAGTGTAATCCAATGCTGCACGGTTAAGGAAGATGAGGGCGGCGATGGCGTGGAGGAGAGTACTGGTACTGGATAATGGACGAGACTCGGCGGTGGACTTGGTGGATGGATAGTCTGACAGGTATTTTCGTAAGGAATTCTCCGTCTTGAGTAGACGCTGCCTCCGTTTTGGTGAGGTAGTATGCTCCGTGTCAGGGCTGATGTTATGGAACAAGAATGAGATGATGTCCAAGACTGGCAAAGAGCAGATAGGTCCCTCGCCATGCTGCAAAATTTGGGTTGTATCGGGAGCAGCATCAAGTTGGTCATCTTGAATGCGAAGGATATCTGTCTCTTCAATCCTAGGCAGACCCAAGAGTGAGGCTGCATCGACGAAACATATTGGCGGCGGATCGGGAGGTGCCCACCAGACCAAACTGAAGTGGCCCATGATTTCATGATAATGCAGCCAATTGAAGAATGGCCCGACATCCATACAACGACTGGGGCTTTGTTCGGTGTATGATGATTTGGCAATCTTCTTGACGCCACAAAGGTATACAGCCCATGAAGGGCCTGTCAAGCTTGGGTGGGTAGTCTACAAGTTATCTGCATTAGCTACCGTTAGTTGCTAGAGGGAAGATTGGGAGTGAATAACCTCATATAGATATAGAAGCATGCTCGCAACGACAGTCTTGCTTGTCATCTCGCGCGTCTTGTCTAAGCTCAACGACCGAGCAAGGGCAGATATGGCCTTTGTCTTGTGTGCGAACGCAGCAAAGTTCCCTGATAAGCGTAGAGATGACAAGGCCAATATGCCCTGTAGGACGGCTTTCGAAGAAGGTGTAGAGTCTGCAAGCGCCATCTGAAGAATCACCTGCATCAATGGCCGAGGAGGGTCTGCGCCAGGAATCTTTGTATCCGCCCGCATGTCTGAAATGAATCAGCATCCATCACACAAGCGGAAGGTTAAGTCATCGAGATATCTTACAATAGTCCAGAAGCATAGACTCATCTCGGTTGATCAACGATAGAGAGTACAGCAAAGGGCCAGGGGGTCTGACGACCAGCTCTGCCACCCATCCTCGTTAGACTTGGGCCAATTAGTCGAGGCGAGAAACGTACTTGAATAGCTCCCGTCAGAAGACGATCCGTACATGGCCACATGCCAAGTGTATGTATTAATGAAGTGGAGAGCCTTCTCGCTTTCGAGATTGGCACGTGGGGGTTGGCCGGGGTCATGGATCATGGAGCGTCTCCGGTCGTTTAGCCGTGGCCATGATAGTCTTATCCCGTATCCGGCGCATTTTCTCTTCGATCGGGCGCAGTTTGCGCACGAGGGCTGTCGCAAGTCACAGCGGACCTTGCGATCTGTCATGCGTCAGTAGGTAATGCCAGGTCTTGACAGAGGAATAGGAATCGTACCTTTACAAGTCCAGCAGCCCGCAGCCATTGGTTGGTAGATATCTGTTGGCATTAAACTGCGAGGTGAGTCGATGCCAATTAATATCGACTCTCTATGGACGAAGGCTGAACTTGGGCAGAGTGTTTACCGCCGTCCTCCGTCCTCTTTGAAGTTGAAGGTCACCGTGACTAATCATGACACTAGATAAAATGATCTGCGTTAGCGTCGTGAATTCTTGCCCTGCGGAATGAGTAGCCAATCATAGAACACGAGTCTATCCTCACTTGGACAAGGGCGTCAACATTTGCGCCATCATGAGACATCGGCTCTTGATTCCAAGGCTGCATGGAGATCTCGGCATTGATTTATCAGCCTTCTCATTTACCTGGCCGGGAACCTCGAGGCACGGCATTGGGACTGACACCATCTCAATCCAGCCGCACGTCTGCCATGCCCAGGGGCATTTTCGCATTTTCTTGCCATTCAAAACGCTCTGTCCAGCCAGAGCGATGGGTGATGACTTGGGATGTGATTTTATAGCCCTCGCTGTTCCATGAGATAGCTCATTTCAAAGCAGACATGTCATCTTAAACTGAATAAATGGTTAAGAATTGCGAGCCAATTTGTCATCCGCGATGTGATTCAGCGAAGAGAATAGCGCATATAAATGCTTGGATGTTGGCTTTCAATATGGATGAGTCCAACCCTTACTCCAAGTTCTTTTACTACCCATATATAATACAGCGCTTTCAAAGATCGAGGTACTATTTGCGACTATGGGACAAAGCTGGAACCCTCGTGATGGAACCCCCAGCCTCAGTGGGAAGGTAGCACTAGTCACAGGCGCAAAGTGAGTCTCTGCCACACAGGTCATGAACACAAACTCACACTTTCAGCTCTGGCATCGGCTTGCACACAGTGAAACATCTCGCATCTAAAGGCGCCAAAGTCTACTACACCGCCAGATCCGAAGCCAAAGCCAAAGCGGCCAGACAGGAAATACGCTCCTTAGCACCCGAGATTCCTGAAAACTTGCTGGTTTGGCTTCAGCTCGATCTTGGCGATACCGGCAGTGTGCTGAAGGCAACTGCATGGATGAAAGAGCACGAGTCTAAGCTTGATATTTTGAGTATGTTCCCACGCTATTAGGACTGGTTGTTTACTCACATCTGCCAAGTCAACAACGCAGGGTTGGCAACAAAGGATCTCGAGACCAACGAAGCTGGTTGGGAAACAGCCATGGCAGTCTGGTATTGGTTCCTAACTCCCTCCCCTTATCGCAGCATCTCACAGCTTTTAGTCACGTCGGCCATTTCGTTCTCACAAACGGCCTTCTCCCACTCCTCAAGAATGCAGCGGCCGTCAAAGACGCCGATGTTCGCGTCATTACCGTCTCATCGAGCGCGAACCACATAATTCTCCCCGCGGACTATACATTCGACTTCTCCAGCCCAGCGTTTCTCCGAGGCGAACTTCCGTATGAGCCGTGGAAGTACCGCTACGTGCAGAAGCGCATGTTCACCATTAATGTCCTGCTGTATAGCATGGCTAAGCTTGCCAATGTCCTGTTCGCGCAGGAACTTCAACGACGCTTCGATCAAGCCAATATTCCTATTACTTCCCTATCGATCAACCCAGGAGCCGTCAAGAGCGATAACGCTGTGGGCATCTTCTCCTTTTTCTTGCAGCCGATCATGAGACGGGCTATGCTGGAGTTGGACGAGGGCTCTTTCACAACCCTATTCGCCGCTACTGCTCCAGAGGTCTGGCGAAAGCCGGAGGTGTACAAGGGCAAATATTTGGAGCCTTTTGGTGAGGTCAAGGAGCCTCATCGCGTTTCAAAGGATCTGAACCAGGTGCGAGCTTTTTGGGAGACGACAACCAAAGAAGTTGAGAAATATCTATCTCAGCGTCATCAAACTTCACTTCTTGAGTGGTGAGGTTTTTGCGCTCACCACTTGTGGGTTTTGCACTGCTCTGAACTTTTGAGCTTTGAGGGGATGCGCGGTATAGGTGGGAGACCTAATAGATTGTCCGTAACGGTAGATTGTCTTTCAATTGCACATATATTTCATGCCATTCAGTCCTCTCCCCTTCCTACATGGAGCTCCGCAACCAAGCTGAGCGAAGTGAGTGTCCACCTTATTTTGTCTAAAATCTCTCTCAATGTCCTCCGAGTACCAAGCGTCTAATTTATGCTCACTCTTGCAACGTGGAGCATCCAAAATCATATACCATCTCATGTCGGTGAGCCTGACTTCACCAGATATCTTCTGTCTCGTATCCTTGTAGAATAAAGCAAAGAGGGCAACTCAACGGGAAGTCAACGAATGAGTCCCAGCTAAGGCATGGTATGCTTATAAGATCCTTGATTGTCAATAGTCACGAAAGCTGTAAATGATTTGATAAATTGACTACAAGTGTTGCCCCTCAAAGCTACTCTTAAATGGATCGGAGGATCTTTCACTGACACTCATCCAACCCTCAGATCCTCTATGCATATTCCTGACAACCAAAACTATAAACCCTTGGTCATACTGCGTGTCACTCTAGCGCTACGAAATTTCGTATTTCTCACCGCTCTGCCGCTTCTTGCTCTCGATGATTGAGCCTGCTGCCTCTTCTTCAAAGGTTTCTGCTTGTGAGTTGCTGCCTTCGGAGGACGGCCCCTCGGTCGCTTTTTCTCTGGTGTCTTTTTAAGTTCCGGTACCCGAGCAGAGAGACCTCGAAAACCTCGTAGCTCCTGATTGTAAGCTCTTGTTTGCCGTGCCCTATCACTCCTGGTCATCTTCGACTCCGCTTTGAGTCGTGACCATTCGGGCTGAGGCATGTTTGAACTCAGATCAAACAGGCTTGCCATGTCATCAACACCCAGAGAGCTACTAGAAGGTATGTCTTCATCGCTGCTCGAGTAAGGATCCTTTGACGGGCTTGGAACGCTCAGTGGTGAGGCTATGAAAGAATTATTATTTGCTGCGGCAGGGTTTGTTGTTCTCTTGTGTCGATCGTGCCACGCCTCAAGATGCTTCATGACAAAAGGGCGATGCTGCTGGGTGGCATAATCATGTACCTGGTCGATGATACATATGAGCTCTATGGCGTAATTGGGGTACTTGACGTCCCCTTCCCATACTGTCTCCACCATCTAGATCAAGGGTGTTAACAACCAGTTGTTAAAGGAAATCCAGTTTGGCATTGGGACAGATTTATGTGAAGCTTGAGGGGGGTTTGTAAGACTTACACAATCATTCATGAAATTCCATGCGACAAACACTTGCCAATAAGAGCCGCAGGATGTAAAGGCAAAAAGCTGGTACTTATCGCTCTCTTCTGACTGGTACTCGGAAACGTTATCGGGATTGCGTGCCAAATCATCTAGCATGGCCAAATACGTCCTACACGCGTGGTATATCTGCTCCTCAGCATCATCATAGCTTGTAGCTCGCTTCTTCGCTTCGTAGACTGCGAATGGGAAGATGAGATCGGCCTTTCCCCACACGCCATCAACGATTAGACCACATTCGGGATTCTGCATCATAGCAGAGAGAAGATCTTCCGAAAGTCTTTCGTCGGGCTGCTTTGCGATGTGATCGTCGTTGCAATCGGGATCTGTGCACACATACCCCCGTTTAAGGTAGTAGTTGTCGTATGACTTTAGTCCCATTGTTGCGTCTGGAATTTTGGTTTTAACCTCAAACTGTCCTTTTTCGTCCTTCTCGGCGAAGTCATATGGTCGTTTATCCCTACGACCATGTTAGAATGTTTGACCCTATTAATCAACTCAAAAAGCACGGGTCAGAATCCTACTTACATCCTCAGCCCTTCATCATCCAAAATCAGATCGAAAACGTCTCTCCAAGCGCAGATTTCCCAGCTGAACTCGGAAACTTTGTAAACATGATTTATACTTGCTCGTTTCAACAGCTTGGCGGCCCTCTGGCTCTGTTCGACGCGTTTCTCCTCACTCAGAGCCAGCAGATATCGTCGAAAGTCCATATTGGGGCAAAATCGGCCCCATGCTTCGGCCATAGGACATTCTCGGTACGCCCCTAAGAGCGCCGACTGTCTTGAGATGAGGGTTCTATCAAAGGGCAGGGGCACTAGCGGCATTGCGCGTTCCCTTGGCTTCCTGCGACGCATGATACTTAGCATTCAAACATACTATTTCTCTAGCACGTAGACTTACTCTCGCATGCTGAACATTGTGGAAATGAACGAAAATCAAGATTTTTTATCAATCGTGTTTCTGTGTTTGAGGAGGCCTGGCTCTAGGATGTGTACAACTGACGAGGCCTCCAGGCACAATCTGCCATATGGTACGTTGGCGTTCTGTATTTATGCACAAAATGGAGTGAGGAAAGGCCGCGTCAGGACCTAGGCAGCCGTGGGGGCAGGGAACTTGTGTGCAACCTCTGATTGGCCTGTTGGTTCTACATCTTCTCCTTTCTATCATCTGGTGCAACTTGATACAACCAACAAAGCATGGGTTTGCTCTGGGGCTGTGCAAAGTCGCTATTTTTACAACCCGCGGCACTGAAGGATTTCAATTTCATTTTAGTTAGGCACTTTGAGTTTAAATATCGAGCGGGGGTCTGGACGTGAATGTGAGGGGAGCGTTTCAGACGTGGGCTGTGCTGATCTCCGCAAGCCAGCGGTGGCATTTGGAAGTTGGTCCAGACCAGGGGACGACTGGAGGACTTGCAGGTGTATTCATGTAAACACTAAGTTATAACGAGGAAACTATTCCATGCATGCCTGAATGAATGAATTGCAGGTGTATCGTATCCGTTGATCAAAAGCTCTTCTCGGGCCCTATGACCTGCCGAAGGACCCGGCTTCAGGCATAAAAGAATCTAACCACGGGCTACGAGGCTTTTTTATCTGTGACCCCAGTCCCAAAAGAGGACCTCCCGTCGACAAGACTCATCAAAGTCGCCATGCCTTTCGTTATGCCACAGTAAGAGTTGGATAGAGCAATAGGATCAATTCAGAGGTCGAGGGTCCTAAAATGGCAATATCTTCCCTGCTCACCCCTTTAGGTAAGTAGAACTAATAGGACTGGGGGGCGCGGATGAAAAAACGAGGCGATCGAAAAGACGTAAAAGCGGCCACTCGTGCTGTATCAGATGTCACTCAAGTTTCGTCTCATACTACCATGAGATTACCAGCCAGAACCCTTCAGCAATGCTTTTTCAAGGCTCATCACTCATTGTTTTGGCGTAATGGACTCAACACCATGACCTTTCTGAAGCCTCTTCCAGCACGATTCCTGTACCCAAGACAAGGAAAACTCTGTAAGTAATAATAATGAGACCAGAATCCCATATCATTACGATCAAATAAGGCACCAAATGTAATAAAGCTACCCTCTGGTGGAGACTACAATACCTGATAAGTGACAATATAGCCCTATGAGGTTAACCAACAGCAGGGATGAACCGGCAACTTTGGCAAACTTCCGAAAAATTACTACAACTGGCATACGTCGGCACCGGCCGGCTCGGGAGGGTGGCTCAAGCCTGGTCGAGCGCTCTGAAGAGGGCCTGTTAGAAGCTCACCGCCGTTTCAAAGACCTATAATAGGAATACTATGAATTTAGTCACATTAACAAAATGTACATGTCGTAAAGAACCCCCAAGCCTAAGTTCTTAACCCCAAGGTACCTAACCACAAACGCTTTTCTCCCCCAAGCGCCACCACAAAACACCATGACATCCAAACAAAGGAAAAGGCACGCCTCATGAGTAAGCCATCCATCCATGCCAAGGGTTTTTAGACCTCTCGATCCTTGAAGCGCTCATGTAAGCCGTACCCTGCAGACGATCCTGAAACTCCTTGAACTTTTTCGTAGGCGCCCTCTTCTCGAATAAGATGTCCAGCTCGAGATATGACAGTGACTTGCACTCGGGTAGTCTCAGGTAAGCCCATATTAGGCACAGGATGGTGGTGCCAATGTACACGAAACACACCCTGCCCTTGAGGTTCCATGCCGTTGGGCTCAGCATTTGTGGGACCACGACGTTGTTGAGCATCATGAAGATGTTGTATGTGACTCTTGCAAGTGCAACTGTTTTGACGCGGAGTCTTGTTGAGGGGATTTCGGCAACAAGTACATAGCAGACAGGACCGATTGTGATGTTGTAAGTGAAAGTCATGGCAATGATGATGCCACCCAAGATCCAGTTGGTTACACCAGTCGATGCCAGGGCAACTGACGAAATTCCACCGACGGTCAAAAAGCCAAGGGCACATGACAATCCAGTCAGATAAAGCTTGCGTCTGCCGACGAATGAGAGAAAGATCCAAGAGATCATGCCTCCCAAGATGCCCATGCCGTACATGCCAGTCGACAGTGTAAATGAGTGTGCGGCATTAAACCCAGCCTGGGTAAGAAAGTAGGCCCCGTACGAGGTTAAGGTAGAACCGCAGAGGGCCTGACACGCCCAGACAGCACAGGCAATCTCAGTCCTGCGACGGTTCGCACCCTTGAAGCAATCTCTGTAGCTCGCGCCTCCGTAATTGTACTTGTTTTCGAGCTGGTTCGTGTGCTCCATGACGACGATGGTGTCTTCGATGTTAAGATTGTGGCCGTTGGTAAGTCGTTTCAAAGCCTTGCGAGCTTCGTCCGGTCGTTCGTGACGAATAAGCCACCCTATTACAGTCAGTAAAAACATCACCCAGAGGCATTGAGGACAGGGCGCTTACATGGACTGTTGGGGCAAAAGCACACGCCAATGATCAGAGGCACGGCGATGGCCCATTGAATCGCGAATGGCAATCGATAAGACCACTCAGTTTCATCGTCGACAAAGATGCGAAGAACGCCCATTGCTGCAAACTGCCCAATCAACCAGCACATGTTGACATTGCTGAGCAAAATGGCCCTCAATGTTGATGGGACGACCTCGGCGGCGTAGGTGGCGGCGAGGGTCTGAATAACGCCCCAAGGGAAGCCTGGACTGATCAGTTTCTCAATCCATTAGAATGATGCCATATCCGATGATACATACCACAAAGTGCCTGTCCAACTGCAAGCATGGCGATGCTATTGGCAAAGAAGGAGGCAAAGATAGCAATCATGAGCCAAATCATGCAAAGGACCAACATCTTCCGATACCCAATAAGATAAGTGATGTAACCATGGGCAAGGAGACCAACGATTTCGCAAGCAATGGCGGCATTCTGCAGCCCCATCTGCCATGTTGGCGAAATCTCGTAGTCCTGCGTGACGGTTGGATCGTCAATGTTTGTTATTGGGGTCCCATACCTCCTGCGAAAGGGTGGAAACGCAATGAAGCCTTGTATCAGCGACTTGTCAAAGGCCTCCATGATGATGGTGCAGAACAACATCAGAGACCACGCTACAGCCTTGGGATACTGACGACAGCATCCCCAGAATGTAACCTGGCGTTCTCTCTGCAGCGTCCTGCGGACGTGGTCTGGGATGTCGTTGGAGCTAACAGAGACTCGACCCGGGCCTCCCATATCGACGGCCGTGGCCCAAGCTCGTGACCGCGGGGATACAGATACAGGTTCTGAAACAACCTCCTGGTCCTTTGCCGAAGCTTGCTCGCTGTGGATTTCTACAAGGGCGATCTCGTCGCGGCTGTCATCGCCCTTGTGGCCTCGTCCAATGAATGTGAGCATTATTCATGGAAAGATAATAAGGCAAGATAATGATGGAATAAGTGTGAAGTGAAATGCAGAAGCGTGGAACAGTGTAACATTCATCAAGTAGTCTTGAGCACGGAGCACGGGTGATCACTGCCTTAAGATATCTAGGGTCTCTGACTGGGGGTACAGAAACATTGCCTCGGGACGAGGCATCGTGCGATGCTTGTCACCCGGAACGACTGCATGGGCTGTCACTCCAGGTTTGAGGGGAAGCCTGGAGAAGTGACATGCTTGGCGTCAGGGGCCGACATTCCCCTTACAGCAACATTTTGCTGGGTTAATCTCCACAAACGACAGTAATTATGCAAGCTCTCAATCTGACATATCACAGGCAATCATCAGGAACAAGAAGAAAAGCGTGTGACCCCGACTTCGCTTGGAGGTCGGCCCGTGACAAGCGGGTAAGCGATCGGTTTGGGGTAAGGCTTGACATGTCAGATGCAGGTCCAGGGGTCGTTGAAACACCCTTTTTACCCCGATCTGTTGATTCTGGGTGTGACTCGGGCCGACATTGCGACCCGGATGTCGGAATACTACTCCACATCCTTTGTGATATTTAACAGCCACCCGCATTATTGCAGCTTTTTCGCTCTCGACTTCCCCAAGCTGGTGTCACATGGTTGCGGCCCGATCAAGGAATACATATTGGCAATGCTTTTCCGAGCAGCCACCTCCAGACACGATTGGATTGTCGGATATGAGATCCATGCTCAAGTTGGTTCAGGTGTTGGTAGGATTCGAGGTGCTACGCCAGTGGTATCACTTTTGACTGCACAACCCCCACAACCCGTGGCAAATTGGCCAACATTAATGTTGATGCCTCCCTATTCCTCGGCTTACTACCTCTTTATGGGCTATGCTCCATACCTACATGACAATAGTCCAGCTTCCCATTGACCTCCTGCATTGTCAGCACCTAAAGGGGAGGTTGTGCACTCCTTCTCACTGTTGGTTGTTGTGACACATTTCTAAACGAGCCTCAGCCACAATCACGGTGATCACAGCCATTGACACAATCGACTGACCCAGTAAGGGACTCACAAGTTCCGCTTACTTTGAATGGCTGACAGGGAGGCGTGCATCCCGGAACAAACAAAACAACAGCTCCTTAACCTATCCATGCCTAAGCGTAAGCATAAGGAAGAATAAAAAAAAAACTTCTAAATATCTTAGCTAAATTATAATATTATCTCAATGTATTTATCTAAATATAATACTAAGTTTTACTCAGATTTAATTCTTCCTTTGTTGTCCTGGTGTCCTTATTCTTGACCTCCGAAAGGGGAAAAAGTGGGTGTGCAGGGTAGGCTCGTGGTTTTCCAGCACGTGACTACACGATGCCAAGTTTTACCGCGGGGTCGCTCACCCCCAGGCTTCACTCTCAACATGAGCCCTTAACACAACCAAGCCCTATATCGTTCGACAGTGTCGCCTCACCATGTTCAAGAAGAAACCCGAGATCAAGAATCTGGCGCCCTTGCGTTCCTCAGACCGTCGCAAACTCGCCGATCAGATCATTCGCGACTATCAGATTCCTGTCCCTCAGTCATCGGCTGATGATGATACGTCATCAGGCGCGCAACCAACGCTCTCTTCTCTACGCAACTCTCTTCTCCCAGAGTCTACCTCCTCGGCACGGTTTACGACATCCTCCGGACCTAACCTGGCTCAAGTAAGCGGCACCATCTATGTCGGTATATGCCCCGAACAGGATGAGAGGATACTTTGGTTCCAGCTCGGGAAGAACCCAAGGCTAATCCCGACCGTTTACACACTTTGGCATAATCCCGGTATTTTGCCACTGTTACACACGCCCGACTTTGTCGTTGAAGAGAAACTCACCCATGGCTCCGACTTGATGATACCTGGCCTGATCAAGGCACCTAGCGCTGAGTGGGACTCAAGGGCAAAAACAGGTTCTGTCGTCGCTGTTGCTGGTATGCAAAAGGATACGGTGCCTCTATGGATTGGAACATGCCAGGTCGACATATGCAACCTACCACCGAGCGTGAGGGGACAAAAGGGTGTTGCGGTCAAGGCTCTGCACTGGGCAGGGGACGAAGTTTGGAGCTGGAGGCCTCTGGGGAGTGGAGGGCAGGCTCCACCGGAAAGCATAGAGGGTTGGCCAGGGTTGACAGCACAGCTTGTTGAAGGGGTTGAACAGCTATCCGTGGAGGATATCGAGAACGATGGCCAGGAAGCGGACGCCGGAGCACCAGTTAACAGCTCAGTTCACGTGGAGGAAACCCCCAAGGACAACAGGGAGACGGCGGAGGAGGTAGAGTATGAACCTACGACAAAGGAGATTGATGAGGCATTCCAAAAAGCATTTCTCTACGCCATCCACAAAGCCAAAGCGGAAAACTCAGGCCCCAAATTCGGCTTTGTGTTTCCTATTCAACCCTCCTTTCTCATCTCCAACATGATCCAGCCATATCTCCGGTCCCAGAATCCACAATACTATATCATCAAGAAGACGTCGTGGAAGAATGCCAAGAAGTTCATCAAGCATCTGGACAAGTTGGGATTGGTCAAGTCCAAGGATAGGAACGGCGGAGAGACGGTTATTCTCGACATCGACTTTGAAGACGACCTTGTCACTGGGTTCAGGCCATACAATCTGCCAAAGCCTAAGCCAGCGGGCTCTGAACAAGCAAAGACAGGAGAGCAGAGCGGTGGACAGGCCTCATCATCTGCCGATACGTCTTTGGGACAAGCCATCGCGATTCAACACGTCTACCGCTTGTCTCCTAAGCTTGTGCCGACATTGCTCCCTTCCAAGACGGAATTTTACACAGCGCAACAAGTCTCGGCCGCTCTCAAGTCATACATCGAGTCACGGCCAGAGCTTGGAGGACAAGGGTCGTCGACCGTGAAGCTCGATCCATTCATTGCAAACAGCATTCTGGGGTCCAACCCGAGTCATGATGACAGTCAAGCTCTCGCATCAGGACGTATCTCCAGAAGCGCTCTCCAGAAACGCGTGCTGGACGACTCCCACCTCTGCCAGCCTTTCTACGTCATCAAGAGAAAGGATTCCGCATCCGAGCAAAAGCCCAAGGCTGGACATCCACCTCATGTCCTCGTCACGATCGAAAAACGAACAGGCACCAAGGTCGTGACCAAGATTTCCAACCTCGAGCCCTTCTTCATCGATCCGCAGGTCCTGGCCCCAGAGTTGCAGAAGAAATGCGCCGGGTCAGCAAGCGTCGGACAAGCCAGCGGTTCCAAGCCTGGTTTGCTGGAAATCGTCGTGCAGGGAGATCAACGAAAAATTCTCGTAGGAGAAATTCTGCCCAAGAGGGGAATTGATGCCAAGTGGGTGGACGTGGTGGACAAGACAAAGGCGAAGAAGAAAAAGTGAAACCTGGATTGTTAGGAGGGACATACACGAGACGCAAACGTCTTGGCAAAAAAACGAACGATTGATAACTAATGCACACATAAGCAAAGAAATAGTCGCAGATATTTTCGCCAAGCAGCTCCACCGTCTTGGCGTGTTGGTTCACACTCAGAAAACCTGCTTTTGAGGTCTTGTCACAGCGGGGACCATTGTCATGATTCAAGTCGGGCCTTCAGTCGAGGAGGCTGATGATTCCAGTGGTCCAAGCTGTGTCTTTATGATTTTGTGATGGAATCATGTCAGACGAGTCGTCAACTGTCAGGGCTGAGCGAGCAGGGTTCGGAGTAGAGAGGCCTATTGACACTCTAACTCCGACGATGTAACCCTGAGCAACTCTAAATCTTTGCTCCGATTTCAATCTGACCCTCAAACTCTTATCGTGTGACGGGCCGCGCGTCATTGATGAGATGAGCCCCATTTTGTCTGGTGCCAAGAAACACCAACCTCTTGGCCCATCGAGAGAGCGTCATGCAACGAATGGGCATGGTACTGGTGGCATGGAGTGTACATCCAGACAAGCCCCTTAAGACGCATGGATAAATGTACCCATTAACAAATGCTTAGCAGGCGAATTACCGATGCCAAGACGTTACTGACGCGTGGCAATCCTTGTAAGACAAATTACCGTCGTCGCCAAGCTCACCTCGCCTTGCGGAATTAGCGGACATATGCGCTATGCTGACAAAACTGGGGTCTTGGCCTTGCTATCCCACATCGTCGGCCGAGACGGCCAAGGGCTTGGTACAGTTGCTGTCCCACGATGAGCTCGAGTATTTATACTTTTTTTGCACCCATTTCATCATGGTCTCTCTCCTTTGTGTTGTATTCTTGGCATTGCTACATCCCGCTCCTCCCGAATTCTCAGTCGCCCTCTTGATCAGGAACAGCTGATAAGGAGAATTCACCGGCTGGCTATTAATCAAGCTTCTTGGATATGTTGCGAATTGGTGCTCTGATAGCTTCTTTTGCAGCATTACCCTGCCAAGCTCTTGTTACCCGTCAATCAAATAACGACGACTTACCGCCACTAAAGTTTAACGATGATGGAGCCTTCCAGATCTGTGTGTTCTCGGACCTCCACTATGCAACAGGTTGGTCTCTTACATGCCATTGACTCAATTTATGTGGTGCTAATAAGAATAGATGCATCTGGGTCAGGTCCAGACGTCGATCGCAGATCAACAAAGGTCATAGGTGATGTGCTTGACTTTGACACGCCGGATCTAGTCGTCTTCAACGGAGACCTCATAAACGGCGAAGACACATACCGCGACAATAGCACCCATTATATAGATCAGATCGTCGCACCTCTAGTGGAACGCAACCTAACCTGGGCTTCCACATACGGAAATCATGATCACAACTTCAACATCAACGGCGATGACATCTTGGAACGCGAGGAAAGGTT